TCATCAACTATTTTTAAAAATAACTTCTGCTTTTTTAGAGTACCTTAACTACTTTTCTCAATTATATTTAAATCAAATGAGATGTTTGTTACACTTAATTAGAAGCACATAAGCCTGCTCAAAAATGTCCCCATTCCCTCAGTTTTCTGTGTGGTGAGGACGAATTTCACATTATTTGTGTGTGGATGTGGGTGTTCTGGCTTCTGAATACTCTTCTGTGAAATGCGAAACTCATTTCATGTAAGAAAATTGTGCGAGGACAGTAATGTGAATAGGCATTGCGTCCACGTGCGGCTTATTATAAATTAAACATTTGCATTATAGCCATTGTGACGCACATCCTTACATACGTATATACATATGTTTGGAGGTTGTTGTGTATACTATATACTACATATGTATATACAGACAATTACGTGTGCTACCGAGTGTGTGTTGATGATGACGCTGCAATGGCAAGCGGAAGGAAGGAAAACTTAATTCCATTTGGTTGAATGGCGCATGCAAGCGGCCCAAATATTCGTACCACAAAGTACAACAGACATGTGATTATTGTTGTTGCTGTAGTTGTTGTTGGGCTCGCTTAACCCCCACAAACGAAACCGAAACACCATCCAATTTGGACTACAATTGCTTGACTCGCTTTGTCGTCTCTGCCAACTGCAGTCGCCTTCTTATACCACACAAGTATGTACGGTGTGTGAGTGTATGGGTGTGTGCCATCGTATTGATATAAAAGGCATTGGCGGCCGTGCCCTTAACTTTAATGTTCGTATATATAAATATGTGTATGCCTTCCCTCCAAAGGGTCGCTCCAAAGCGTCTTAGGATTGTCAATTGTGTGTGCGTGTCTTGGCCTCCCAATGGGTAATCCAGCTGATTTCTTTTCTGCTGCTGCCTGACTGAACCTTTTGCGGATTTCTTATTGTGATTGTGATTTGGCTTTGAGTCTGCAGCATCACATTTGAAATTTACATAATTTGCTTTTTAAAACGTGCGTCGGTGTGGCATTGTGTTTCGCCATCTCGTTTTCTCGTATTTTGTCAACAGACAGACTCAAACGGTGCACAGGAAATGCACACTACCTTAAGACAAATTTGTTAAAGTTAATTCTAGGTTGCTGCGCAAATGCTGCTTACTTGTATACTTCAGATGCCTGGCATTACACAAACAAACTAATTTATGCGAGACAAACGCTCGCACACACCTTGAGGAAGTCAGCTCGAAAGACCCCTTTCTGTCCCAGCTCGGCTTGTCAGATATTTGCATTTGAAAGGCAAGAGCAGCGGTGGCAGCCACAACAGCAACAGCCGGCAACACCTCAGCTCAGATCAGTCAAACAATTAGCTGTGGGGCTGACTGTTGACATAGAGCCGACCAAAGCGGGCTATGCGGGCATTGCACTGACATATCTTCCATAGCCTTCTGCTAATGAGAACTGCCTAAGACAACCGCTGCCATTCTGCGCTTCAAGCGCTTCTATAATTATGCATGCCGCTCAGCTTGGCCATCATCTTCTTTTGACTGACGTGAATAGTTACGCTGCCTTTGTTGTTGCTGCTGCTGCTGCTGCTGCTACTACTTTGTTTGTTTGTTTGCATGCTGAGACAACAAAGTCAACAACGAGAAAAGAGGTGCCACCGTGCGCGTAACTCAAGATGCACGAAACCAACGTCACCGTCACCGTCACCATCACCATCACCTTCTACTATATGTACATCATCATCATACAGAAGCCGGCAGCGCATTCAAGAAAAGGAAAATAAAACAAGCCAGCAGCAACACAAAAAACAATGCGACACGTTTCTTGTCTTTAAGGTACATACTCATACATATAAGTATATGCCCCTCAACAAGACCCTATCCTTTTGTTACGGTTTCTGCAGTTTTGGTTTACATTACATGTTTATAAAACATTTTTAACATTTCTTATTATCGCTATTACTAACTATAAACATGATATCTTGGTGCGCATTTCATTTGGCTTCTACTAGAAAGCCTATATATTTTAAAGTTTCTACTCTAGCAATTCGATTTTTTAAAAACTGCAGTGCTATAATTTTTGAATATTAATATAAGTATTATTCAATTTCAAAGTTTTTCCAATAATAAGTAGCAAGAAAAAGGGACACGAAAGATAAATCAGGCAAACAGCTGTGTTTTTTCATACTCCGAATGCGTTGTTGTATCCAATTGTCTAGAATGATATATAACTGATATATATATAGAACTTCACACAGAATATTAACTTCAAAGAATACTTTCATACACTAAATCTTTTCCACTGCGGCGTTTGTTCTTCCGTCTGTAAAAGCAAATAAAGTCATTTTATTTGGTCTATCATTCTTACCTCGATTTTTCAAATTTAATATTTAATTTTTGATCTGAAATAAAATAAATAAAATTTGTAAAACATAAATTTTTTTGAATATTTTGTATGCTAACTAACTTATGATACGTTACACATATCGAAATTGTAGTCTATTCGAAATATAAATACAATTTTAATTGTGCTACACTAGTTGAAGTTTTTATTTTACTTTAATTGTTTTGAAATCACAGATGTTATTTTGAAAGAATCCCATACACTAACAATAAGCAACTTCTCGGAATTCAAACCAATTCAAGTATGTATTTGCTGCTCAGTTCTAAATACACACAGAAGCTTTCGATGTGAAATAAATATACAACTATACATATATTATAGAACTGTACTATGTACTCGAAATAGATGAATAATTAAAGTGCACTCAGATAGATGTGAACTTCGGCATTCCGCTTTACATACTATCTGCAGGTTTTCTTTCTGTTCCAATTTCTTTGTTTTTGGGAAGCCCGTAAAGCTCGCACCCACATACACGTACAAGGTACCTGCTGGGCTTTACCAGCAATTGTTCCTGCTTAAGTTACATTAAGATTTGCATTTTTATTTAGCGGGTAGGTGCGGACGAGACTGCTTCCCTTCTTTTATTTTGCAACTGTTTTTCTCCAGCATGCGAACTTAATGCATGCACATGCATTCATGCTACCAAGAACAGCAACAACAACGACAACAAAATACTCGCATTTCGTGCACTCTCGTCTTGGCCAAGTTTCCTGTGTGCGCCAGACAAATTCAAATGCACATGTCTTGGCCCAGTCAACTGTGGATATAAACAGTGTCGCAATATTTAGGAAGCACATGCAACCAACCAGGCGATCATTGTGGCAACTCAAGGTCCAGTAGCGAAAGGACTTTAACATTTAAATCTGCAGTAGACATTTGGGATATTGTCCTCCTGAGAAGTATATAAGTATAGAAGTATATAAGTATTTATGAAGTGTACAGCGATTGTCAGCGTTAAGCACACTTAACACTTTTCACTTTGCAAATGGCACGAGAGTTGTGATAATAATATGTTGCCACACTCATCTCCTTGATTGGCGTACAATTTGCTGAAAACACATTTAATGTGGAAATTGAAAGTGCACTTCATGCAGATAATGTAGCAATAATAAATAATAAACGAATGCAGAGATGAGAGTGCCGTATGGCATGCACATCGGCTGACAGAAAATAAAATAATTACTGCACGGTAGTCAGATAACTATGTACGACGAAGAAATAAATGTCAATCATTCGATTAAGGAAATAATTAAGTGGAAACAATTATTTTTGGAAATCAAAAGTTCTTTCGCTTCAGTCCTTCCATAAAAATAAATCATATTTTGTTTCACTTTATATTAGTGGAATAGCAAAGTTCTAAGCACACTAATAGGTGTTGGTTTAAGAACGCCATCAGCACTTAGTGTGCCATTTAAAAACTTTCCACCACAGGAAAGAGAAGAGCCATTACTGGCCACTTTCGAAGAACTCACAACAAAGCCACAGGCTGGACACCATAAGAAGCTTATGCCCCCACCTTCAATGGTCGGGCCAGCAATGTGGTTGAAAAATACAGAAAAAAACGAAAGATTAAAAATCGCACAGTTTTTTTAAGTCGTTACAAATAAAACACGGAAAAGAACCGGGGAAGAGAGGCAACAACAAGCAACACATTCGCCGTTTATGCGTGCAATATTAAGCCAAAGCTACTTTAGCCAGTAAGAGCATGGTTGTTAGAAAGCCATTACACAGCTATTAAATATGGCTGGACTGAGAAGTGGGCACAAAACCCATACTTGTATAATTACATGTTGTGCTAATCTACAACTAGCTGGTCCTCTGCTGGCCATATCAAGCCAACCAGCTCTTGGTAAATTATTTATCCTTGACCGATAAGCTACAAAAAAACATATCTGTAACAACGATTGTTCTTTTGGCCAGTATGTGGTTGTTAGAAAGGTGTATAATTAGCTATAAAATATATAAAAAAAAGAGTTTTTCCCCTAACTGGAGATATTCATGTTTTTTGAAAACTTTATGAAAAACCTCTATCTGCTTCTAGTTTCGGAGAACTTATGCAGAAAACGAGAATTGAATACGCTAGAATTGAACGAGCGGTACTCTTATATACCTTGAACGCACTCCCTAAAAACAATAAATTTAATTAATTATTATATATACTTTAAAGGGTGCGTGTCAGACCTTCTATGTATGACATACATTTCTCTACCATTCCTATGTCTGTTATAATAAAAAATAGCTAATCTGACAACTCTGCTTGCCGATATAAGAGTAGTATAAGAGATTTTCTGCGCTATAGAACTTTAAAAACGAGAGACTATGTAGCCATCGACACAGTTATAGTATTCTGCCTGCCAGCATGACCGAGCGGGAATTCAAATAAATATTGACAAATTTGTTCGCTCTCAAAAATTGGAACTGCTGATGTTAGCTACTCATTTGAGGCAGTACGCTCTTATCACTCATTTGGTCAGTAGAGTGAACACTCGAATTGTTTTCTGCTTCATCATGCTTACTTGTTATCAAGTACGAGTAGCTTATTGTTATTAACTGGTTCTGTAGGCATTGCTGAGAATAAAATACGAATGCCGGCTGTAAGCGAGCTCAGTGAGTTCGATTCGGTTGTAGACAGCTGTGCTACACTCAAAATGTTTTTCCTACTCTATCCACTAATCGCGGTGCTAACGCTTATCGTTTATTTATTACATCGCAACATAAACTATTGGAAATATCGTGGCATACCCTATGACGAGCCGCATATAATTTTCGGAAATCTGATTGGTTTTCGCACAAAGCGCACAGTCCACAGTATCCATTACGAGTTCTACAACAAATACCGGAAGAGTGGACACCCCTTTGTGGGTTTTTACTTTCTGCACAAGCCATCTGCCTACATAATGGATACAAAGTTAGCTAAGAACATATTGATCAAAGATTTCTCTAACTTTACCGATCGCGGCCAATTCCACAATGAACGCGACGATCCGCTGACCCAACATCTTTTCAATCTGGACGGAAAGCGTTGGAAGGAGATGCGACATAAGTTATCTCCCACATTCACTTCGGGAAAAATGAAATTTATGTTTCCAACGGTCATCAAAATTGCTGAGGAGTTTGTCAATGTAATGACAGAAGAGGTACCCCTTAAGCCAGGAGGCGCCATCATAGAAATCAAGGAGCTAATGGCCCGTTTTACCACCGACGTGATCGGCACCTGCGCCTTCGGCATTGAATGCAACACATTGCGCACCCCAGAAACGGATTTCCGCAAAATGGGACAAAAGGCATTCACGGAGACGCGCCATGGTCCGGCTATAACCGCTTTCCAGTTCAGCTTTCCTGCGCTCGCACGTCGTTTGCGCATGCGCGCCATTCCCCAAGATGTGCATGAATTCTTTATGAGGCTTGTCGCAGAAACTGTTTTGTATAGGGAGAAGAATAATATCAAACGGAAAGACTTTATGGATATGCTGATCGAGTTAAAGCAGAAGGGCACCGTAACGCTGGAGAACGGAGAAGTCATTGAGGGCCTGAACATGGGCGAGTTGGCAGCCCAAGTCTTTGTTTTTTATTTGGCCGGCTTTGAGACCTCTTCATCGACAATGAGCTATGCCTTATATGAGCTGGCCCAGCATATAGACATCCAGGATAGGCTACGAAGTGAAACAGCGGATGTTTTGGCCCAGCATGATCATAAACTGACCTATGAATGTGTGAAGGACTTACGGTATTTGGATCAGGTCATATCAGGTGGGTTAGGCACAACAGGTTGATTGAAAATATTTCTATAACTTCCATTACTTTATTACACAGAAACATTACGTCTTTATACGATCGTGCCTGAGCTTGATCGTAAGGCTCTAAACGATTATGTGGTGCCGGGCAATCCCAAATATGTGATTGAGAAAGGAACCTCCGTTATCATACCAGCTTGTGCCATGCATCGCGATCCTGATCTCTATCCAAATCCCGACCAATTCGATCCTGATCGCTTTTCGCCCGAGCAAGTAGCTGCTCGTGATTCTGTGGAATGGCTGCCATTCGGTGATGGCCCTAGAAACTGCGTTGGCCTGCGTTTTGGCCAAATGCAGGCTCGTATTGGACTAGCCCGTTTGATACAAAATTTTAAGTTCTCGGTCTGTGAGAAGACAGACATTCCTTTGACCTATGACCCTAAGTCGTTTGTAATGGGCACCGTAGGTGGTATTTATCTACGAGTAGAGCGTGTTTAACTTTTGATTTACTAAGTATTTACGTACTATGTTTTGAAGTCTCCGAGCTACGCAGTTTCTGATGTTTTCATAACTCTATCATCATTGTTAATAATATATTGCATATGCAAATTGATGAATTTTTGCAAATACTATTTAAATACTCCCTCGTCAAGAACAACTGCTTCATTTATTTCCAGTTTCAGTCAGAATTTGTCAAATAATTTATCAACATTAAGAAAAGTAAATGGAATTTGTTAAATATTTGATTTAATTGAACAGATTTTTACATTTTAACCTTGTCCTACTCATGCCATCTAAAGTATTTTGTGAATGCTGCAAACTTTTGGCCAAATGCATCGAAAATTCTCGATTTAAATATATCTGGATTTAGATTCACGCTTCAACAATTTTTGTTATTTAAAATGTTGATGGAATGATTTTCTGCGAGTAATCGTTTCTTTTCTCCTTTGTGAAGAGGAAATCATGCACATGTATATGCAAAACTATTTTTAGTATTTGGTTATTTTTAAACGACAAACATTTAGATGCCACAAGTTCCTGTGACACATTTTTGTCCATATACTATATATATATATTTTTTTTCAAAGCAATCGAAGCTAAAAGCCTGATGTTTGGCTGAAGGGCATATATTCAAATGTATGTATGAGTATGTATGTAAATGCTTCCATACATATGTAAATGCGTGTATCTTTTACTCTTATATGCCTCTCAGCAACGTTCAGAAGCTTTGAGCTACATTAAAGCATTAAACGTATAATACTCTTGCCTCTTTTAGCGGTTCAGCCTGAACTTTTAAAATGACTGTAATAACAGTACACATACGTACATACATACTTGTACATATGTGTACGCACGAAACTTCTTCATAAAATTTGTTGTAATACATTGGTCTTTCCTTAAAAATGAAGCAATTAAGTCCACGCTCCCTTTGTTGAGAGGCAAAGTTTTTAAAATAATGCCACAAGAACATGCACGTGAAGTACAATTTTGCCATGTAATTACACTTTAAATACTTCTATCCGAAGGCGTGGAAAATTCTAACCAAGAAGCAGTTTTTCTAACGGTGCATAACACCAGCAACTCATTAAAAATAATGACACCTCATGTAAAGTAGGCAGCATTGAGTTTTTCATGAACGAAATATGCAGTAACCCTTCATAATCACAGTTATATACATACACCATTTTATATATAATTGGAAAAATAGAAAAGAAAACAAAAGCCAAAATACTTTGTTTTAAATGTATGTTTAAAGGCAATATGTTGTGAAATGAATAATGTTAACTCATTGACCTCAAATTAATGGGAGGAAATGTGTGTTTGCAAATTACCGATATTTTCCAAATATAAAAACAAAAAATAGTTGGCATGCACTTCCAACTGTAAACATTTTAATGAGCTAAAATATTGAGAAAAATGTGCATTTCTCTGAAAAATATATAATGGAATATGCAAATAACATGAAATAAACTATTTATACCCTGTACCCGTAGGGTAAAAAGGGTATATTAGGTTTGTGCAAAGTATGTAACATGCAGAAGGAAGCATCTCCGACCCCATAAAGTATATATATTCTGAATCAGCATGACGAGAGAAATCGATCTAGACATGTCCGTCCGTCTGTCCGTCCGTCTGTCCGTCCGTCTGTCCGTCCGTCTGTCCGTCTGGATGAACGCGAGGATCTCAGAAACTATAAAAGCTAGAATAACCAAAGTTGGCATCCAGATTCTCCTAGGTCCGAGTAAGGACGAGTTTATGTTTTTTTTTTAATTTTCCCCCCCTTCCCCCGCTACAGAATTTCGTGAATAGCGTCCACATTTCAAATGCTACCTCAACCAAACTTTGCACACATAATTTATATATAATTGTCTATTGTTGTTCAAAATTTTATTCAATTCGGTCAATTTTAAGAAAAGTTATTAGCAAAACAAATTTTCGCCAGTACAACCCCCACAAACTGCAGCAACAAGTTCGCTCTTCTTCTTCCTCTTTTTGCTGCTGCTATGGGCGCATATAACTCAGTGACGGAAGTTTACCTGGGTACAGGGTATTACACTGTCGGGCTTGCTCGACTGTAGCGTTCTCTCTTGTTTTTAGCTGTAAACATGTACATAGTAGTATTTTCCATTGTTATTGCAATTCCAATTGGATGACTTTTAATAAGAATGCAATGAATTTATTTATTTGTTTGACCTTGTGATTGTTTTCTTTTGCCAAATTACTTGAATGCTTTTATGCAAATATGTTGGTGTTTGTTGTTGCCAATGCTATAACTATTCGCGTGCTGAGCTTTCTGACAAATACAGCAGGGCACATGAACCGCTACTAACTGCTTACTCATTGTGCCCAGTCATTGACTTTTCCGATCTCGAAGCGACACAACGTCTGTAGTTTTGACTCAATGTTTTACATTCACTTACCTACCCAGAGCCGGCGCAGGCATGAAGCAATGCAAAATTAATTACAGGTCGCTGGCATACCGCGAATGTTTGCATGGTACAAATAATGGTTGAGCTCATAAAGCACACGTTGGCACAACAAAAGCACCAAATGAACTTAAACAATACACGAAATATGAATAAGACAGGTTCGTTCAACCTTAACACTGAAAACATAACTCAAAGCATCATAGCAGACATAATTAGTAATCAAGTAGTGAAGGCAAAAATTTACTTTCCTACTACATTTTATTTAGTTATAGATATTAGAAGGAAGGCAAGAGTCATAATCGTACGCTAAAGGCACCCCTTTATTTCATACAATTCCAATTATCGTGAGCAAATGTAATACGCGTTCAACCACTGCACTCCAGTTAACTTCTTCTATATTATTTAAAAAGAAACATTTAATTTTATTTTAAATCGTATGCAACTACATTATGCACTGACAGCATCAAAAAACTATGAAAATATTAATTAATGTGGGAAACTGGAAAGCATCCCATAATTACAGCATCTTTATACAAGTATACGTAAACACACACACCCACATACTTGTACACACACACACTTGTTCAGACTTCTATTTTCTCTGGACTGAATGGCGGACGTGGCAAACAGAACAAAAAGGAATGGTAGGGCCGGGCATGTTCGAGAATAGAATACCCTGTAAAGACAAAGCTATCATTTCGCATTTACAGGAGAGCTAGTTCCCACAGCCTCTCACCTGGTCTTGCTTGCGAATATACTTGTATCGGGTGTTTTTTCTTAAAAAAAGTATATAGTTAGAATTCACTTTATAATGCTTAAATTTTGCTCCCAATTAATGTGATGCTAAGTACTTATAATTCGCAATATTTCTGAAAATACTTGAGACGCTTCCTCGCTCGAAATCCGAGCCAATAATCATTAATTAAAAGCGTCCAATAAGAAGTTATTTCCTAATAATATATTAATGAATGATAATAATGTTACAACAGATATGGAGATAACTTATCAAATCCAAAAGGCCTTTCTATGTACATTAGACACGCTCAACATCAGTATTTTAGCATACCCAAGTTTCGCAAGGGTATAACAATTATGCGACCAGGACCAACTTCACAGCCGCGTTGCCGGAATATGCACCATGTGGTCAGGAACTCAGTGAAATGCAGAGAACCGTACAGTGTTCGAAATGAGGTTTATTTAGCAGCTTGTACCTCCACCGTGCAAGGTCTAGCCCCGAAGGGGGAGTGTTCGTATGGGCGTATACGGTTTTTTCAAACAACTTTTGGATGGCCACGAGTTGAAAACAGTGGACAAAAGCAACAACAACAATGACTCTCAGTTTTACGCTTTTGGGATATGAACATCTGTATACGAAGTGCGTGGGCCGGATGATAAAAACTGCGATTCTAGTATTTATAGTCTGAACTATATACGACCTTGAAAATGTTATTTATTTACTATGTTTAAAAACAAAACAAGTAAATAAGAAATCGGGAAATTAAAGTTGCAGCTCTTGTTTCTTACAAACCTAATTTCTTAAATTCAGTTCGTCTACGCGTCTCTAAATAAAATGAAATAAAATCAAGTAAAGGAATTAAGCAAGCAAAACTTGAAAATGAAATGATGACATTTATTTCATATGCGTACATATACATACGTATTCATGATTGATCAGTTTCTTGATTGTTTTATCCCGCACATGTAATTGTATTTTATTTTAAATTATTTTTTCACCATAAAATATGATTGAATCAATATTTGTGGGGGGCACTTTTTTTAAATAGCAACACAATATTATTTAGTCATTTTTACTCATATTCACGAACTGATTAAATTATACTGATAGGCTGTTCTATAAGGTCCAGTTGAAAACGCAATAGTAATAAATAGCATCACTGTTTCATAGTTTTGTTTTTTTTTTTAATTATGAAAGATATAATATTGGCTGTCAAATTGTTGAGTTGTGCATCTGATATGAAGTTGTTTTAAGGTATTTATATTCCCCCAGTCTTCAATAATCTGCCCAATATATAACAATGATTCCATCCCTGTTTTCTATTTATAGCTTTTTGAAATATAATTTTATGCTAAGATTCTTAAATGAAATCCTTTGAATTAGAAAAACAGTATCTAATACTTCAAAAGAAGGTTTATATTGTCCAATTTCCATATATTTTACTAGGTAGTTTTCCTGATTTTCAAAATTGTCACCAAACAGAGAAAAACAAATTAATTGGAATGTTAGGGTTCACTGATTATAAAATATCTGGAATGCTTATCATGCATGCTTGTCTACTACTCACTTAGGTACCAGGTAAAGCCTATTCCTTTACCCTACTAAAATAATAAAATAAAGAGACCCAAGCATGCTAAATCCAAATAGCCCTAAGTCCAATGAGGCATTTCATCTAGTCAAACATTGTAATGGCCAAAGCAAGTCAAGTTAGCAAGTCTAAGCTAGATTCCGGCGGTTTTCTCATGCATTTGAAACTGTCTAGAAGAAAATAATTAAAGAAACGTGATGGGGCTAAATGCAGGAAGCAGCCTGTTTTAAACCTATTCCCCTAATATTTCTTAAATGTCATGTAAAAGTATTGTTGGTGGTAACTGATTTAGAGTCCAGTCGAGACGAGTCACAGGAAATACAAAATGGTATATTTCTTTTCTCGCCTCAACTTAGGCTGCAAGTGATTCACATTTTCGCAGAGTGGGTCGTGCCTAATCTTGCTTGCTCAACAAATTAGAAATCATTGCTAGCGTCTATATAAGGTCAATATCGAACTGTTGGTTGAAGTACATTTCGGTTCATTTTTGTTGCAAAGGCAAAAACTTGTCATCGAGCCCTCTTACATGTCAGCAATTGCACTTTTTGCTGCCGACGATGATGATGATGACGTCTGTGTTCATATTCATAAAAACTAACATTTTGGCGTAAGACAATGTGGGCGAGGTATCTGCTGTATTAATTACAAACATTTGGCATTGGTTACCACTCTCGAATCTGTACGTCAGTGAAAGTTTTGAAAGCAGTAAAAGCTGTAGAAATGCAACACCTTTTTGCAGTGCGCACATTTACTGCAGATCCTCACATTTGAAGGCACTACCTGGGCTCATTAAAAGATTACCTCATCTTGTTGCATGCTGTGTGAGTTATTGATTATAGTTACTTATGCATGTATGTGTGTATGTACAAGTAAGTATACGCTTGATTGATCGCTGTCTAGCGCTCCAATTTTCGACATGACTTCTAGGCACGACAACCAGCCAACCAACAACCTACAAGTTAGGCAGCAGAGTGTCGCGTTGCATGTGTTGTTGCAATTTCTGATTGTTGTTGCTGTTGATGTTGCTGCGGCCACACTTCAGCAACTCCAAACAGAGTTAACGGACACAAAGGTGCATACACATACTTGTACATACACGAACACTGTACTTGTATAATATATGTACATAGACTGCTGGGTGGTTGTGTCGCCACAAATTCAAAGCGCATGCTGTCGCTAATTTAACGCAAAGGCATTGTTGCTATTGTTGTTGCTGTTGTTGTTTCTGCTGCTGTGGGAGCTGTGAATGCGTCTGTGGCTGCAACGCGACAACAACTTCAGCCAGTGTGGCTTGCGACTCAGTGCCGTGCGGTCGCCAACAAAGTAAAAGTCGAGTCATTGTTAAGTGGCCGCCTTAAAGAAAATCGTACTATATATACATATATATTCAAATCAGCAGTATTTTGTGTTAGGCTAACAAGCAAATATGTTCATAAAAATATGAATGTGCCCATTAGATATAATAAATTAAAAAAAAAAAAACATATGCGATTTCTAAATTTGTTTGTGTGTTGCTAATGAGTTTGCTTTATTCGGCCGCCCAAAGTAGTGCGCACGTTTCGTTTCTGTTGTTAACTAAGCCAAAAAATAACTAAAACGTCAACAATAACAAACACGTCAATCTATCTTGTACGTGCATTTGCATCGCCATAACAAATATGAATACAAAATTTACATGTTTTTGCTTCACATTCATTTAAACTATTGCCACACATTTTGCATAATTCATAACCGCCGGCCTACCGCGTTCGTGTGCCAAAATGTTATTCCGTCGCGGATGTACGTCATATAATGTGGAACAATCAACGCGACATTATGCAAAGGTAAAAACCGCTTGGCATTGTGTTTTTGCAACAAGTACGTTTAATCATGAATGAATATCGTATATGTACATAGTTACACATACGTTTATTTGCATATACTAGTATACATACAGTTATAAAAGTAAGCATATCTGTACCTGGTATTGTTGAGTTATTCATTAAAATGATTAATTCACGACTATGCCTTTAAAGGCTTACACACCAGTATTGCTTTAACAATAATAAATCAGCTCATAAACCATCTATCAAAAGAACAAGCAACTTCACTTTTAAATGAACATCATCAAATTTGAAATACACTGAATTACATATTTAGAGGAACTAGTTAATTACAAAATAAAAATAATCCAACACAATTATTTCACAATTATTTCATCTCTAATAGATTTTTAGTCTATTCGCGTCTCTACGAATCGGCTTCATTTTCTTATAATTTCATCTGCACTTGACACACTTTTTTGCAAGTAGATACGGAACAATAATTCCTAAAGCCAATTTTAAAGACTAAAGCGCAAAATAATGATGTAGAATTCAGAAATGTTTTAAGCTAATTGTAAAATAAATAGGCAATTATTTGCTAATACCGACTTTATACTTGGTAAACAAAATAAAAAGTTGTTTAATAAATGTATTCTTCTATTGGTTTTAGCGACATTTCTTATGTCTTTAAGTGGTTTTTCTGACATGTGTCTTGGTTGACTGAACGTTTTGATAACCAGCTAGAAAAACATATAAAACAGAAGCTTCAACTCTTTCCTCTGCGAATGCTGTTTAAAGTTCTTCAAATATTTTTTACAAATAGAATTCTGCAATAACTTGCAATATGACTATGGGTAATTTCAATTGCTTTTTATTGGTGGGCGAGAATATCAAAGAAAATAAATATTCTTATTTATACTTATTTGTGTTGTTCAATCGCTTTGTACATACTATATACTTGTATGTATAGTATGTTTGTGTGGACTTTGTAGCAAACGCTCGGAGCAATTTTTAAGTATTTTGGTAAATATTTACACAATAACCGCGTGCCCAACTGAGAGTTGATGTTGTTTGCAGGAAATTAAAATTCTAAATTTTATGCTTTCATTATTTTTTTTTTAAACAAGAAAGGCAAACAAACCCATAATGAATCAACAAACTAAATTGTATTTCGAAACAGGTGTGAAGTTCAAAGCGGCTACAAACACTTGACCACAAACAAGAGAGAAACAAAATTAACATTAATAGCAATAGCGATTGTAATTACAATTACATGGTGAACATTAATTAAATTATATTTTATGGCTGCTCTCTTAAGTGGTTGTCGCTGTTATTGTCGCCGCGGTTCCCGTTGCTGATGCTGCTCTTGTGGTTGATGTTGATGGCCATATACGAGTTGGCCGCAAAGAAAACTTGCACGCTGTCAACAAATGCGAGTTTTACAATTTCTGCGGTTGTGTGTAAGTCTTGTTAAGCCAATTACAAGCGCAGCTTATTGCACAAAACAACTATAGGGAGTGACTACGGTTGGCATATGACAGTGCAAAGAAATTGTGTTGTGGGAAAGCGCAGACGAGCATCAACAAAGGCAAAAGCAAAAGCAAAGACTCACCCGAATCGCACCAAAACAACACAGAGGGAAACTGAGCTGCAGTGTTAATTGAAAATGGCAATTCAAAGTTGCGGTTAAGCAACACAAGGCCCCTTGTGGGCCATGACAGTTCCAACCAGCATATCGAAATAGTCTGCATTTCCGGGGCCACCCATCAATTTTCTCTGCGTGTTTGGGTTTTTCGAAGGGCAAATGTTTACAGTAGTTGTGGAAGTAAACCGCAAGGACCAGAATTGAGCTGAGAATTGGCAATGCAATAAAGCAATTACAGTGGTTGTGCAAATGTTTGCACAAATTGTCAAACTGCTGCCAATGGCACGAAGACGTTGAAACAAATTTGACTCACATTTAACAATTTCAACTAATTGTGATTGCGGCACGAACAGCACTAAAGTAAACACACAGCACACATAGACAGCCACAAAAATACCAACAACAACAGGGGACCCATCCACAATAAAACGTATAAAACATTACAGGCATCATCCTTCTAAAATCGTCCTTTTGCCTCTTTCAGACAGCCGTAACTTTGTGCAATCTCGGCGTGGGAGCCACATTTGGTGAATCAATACTTCACGACTTGCCACGTGACAGCACAGTCGTGACAAAGACAACCTGTGAGCTGTTGCGTGTGGAGCAGCAAGACTTTCGACTCATCTGGGAGGTAAGTCGAATAAAATGTCTATACGATAAAAATATACCTCAAGAGCAAAACTGGGGGTATAACTGAATTCGCACTAGTTGGCAAAATTAGAGAAGGGTTTGTGAATCAATCCACATTTTCCATGTGTATGATTTGCTATTCAGTTAAATATAGTTTCACCTCAGCTGAAATCAAAATTGGAATATAATTAATAGAGTTCACAATTTTAAGTGCTAGTTTAACACACAAATCGTCAGACAGGCAAAACTTTTTGCAGGTAAACCGTCTAACTTTTCAAGGTGGTCATGATAATTAAATAAATCGAAACAGGTGGTAAAGGCTAATTTTTGGCAACCTCAAATTAAAGACCAATTTTGTTTTTAGATTAGAATAGCAGACAATGTTTTGACCTTACAGATGTTTTGTGCTCATATGGCTTAAAAAAAGAAGTGCCTTACTTAGAAAGCAATTTAAATCCTAGTGCATTTATTGGTTAAATATAATGCTTTGCTTTAGCTTGTTCTCTTCCAAAAACTTCTTGTTAAATAGATATACAATTTTGAAGTATAATATGTTTAATAATAAATAGGAAGCCCTTTAAATTTTTCGTTGGCCTTTTTGAGTTGTCAACCAGGAAAATTTTAAAATATTCGTACAACAAGTAAAAGTTTAGTTGCGCCATAGTATGACAGCTCTAGTTAGGCATTCATCCTTTTCCAGGCATCTGTAGAATCAACACAAAATAGCAACAACAATAATCTTGGTTTATTCTGAAGAAAGTTTTGGGTAGCAAAAGCGTTGAGTGCGCCTATCTTAGCCATTTGTCGGTGCTCATTAAATCACGCTGACACTTTTCACGACAGACGCACCGTCATCGCCATGTTAATGAGTGGGAACAGCAGCTCTGGGTGTACACTGATGAGGAATGGGTGGGGCGAGAGTGGCGAGAGGGGGAGTACTGGAGCTTATCTTGCTTGGTTTTACGGCGAGGATAAACAAATGGCACAAACAGCTGCTTTCTGTTCCACTTTGTAGGGCATAACTATTTGCGGTGCTTGCCTCATTGTGAAAATATTTAATTACGTATTTTAATTTGCATTTGATGTTGTGCTGTGTGGGCGGAAAAACTGTCATCTAGGCTCCAAGTGCCAAGCAGTTAGAAGTCTACTACTCGTAATGAACTTAAAGAACACATATTTAGCATTTAAGCCTCAATCTGGCTGCGGCTCTTCCCGCTGTTATTTTTGTTTGTGTGAGCTTTTGTAAGATTCTGCTCAAACTAATGTGCAGCACGTTGTTGCCTCAATGAGAGGCGGCTTTGGTCGCATTAGCAACGACTAAATAGCTTGTAAGTAACTTTTTCAACAACGTTAAGTTGTTGCTGTTTTGTTGCGTAACTAGAGCGTGTGAGTGCTTTTCGTATCTTGGCATACTTTTTGGCATACCAGTCTTATGTATTCTTCATACTATACATACGTATGTAACTGCATTAGACAAATTAAATGTGCATACGCCAAAAAGTTTGTCACAAGCAAATTTGCAAACTAAAATCTTTTTACAAACTTATCAAACTTGCTGACTCGCATGCGTCTACAAGTATGTTAGGGCATGTTAAAAGAAACAAATAGCCGACTCTTATGAATAGTGCAGACGGTTCAGTATTTGATTCAAATTTATAAAATATGAACAACAAATTTTTAAATATTAAATTTTAATTTAAATACTAGATATTAATAATTCATAATAATGCATACTTAGCTCGTAAGTGTGTGCTGCTGAATTGCAGAAGGCTCCTGAATCCGAACAACAAGTTCCGGAAGAGCGTGTGCAAAGAAATTTCAGATTGCAGATTGCAGATTGTTGCTTTCATACTTTTCGTAAAAGTACACTTTTATCTAAAGGTTTATTGGAATAGGTTGTACAGTATAGAATAGGCTTAGATTTTTTTGTGACTTAACGAGACAATACCAGTCATTTAAAAAATTAAAAATAAAGTGATAAAAAAATAAATTTAAATTTATAATAAGCTCACTTATTTCATTCACAAATGATTACGCTTTATTATACAAATATATAACTCGATGGGGATTATAAAAACGTATTTGTTGACTTTAAAAAACACAAACGGCACGAGAAGAAGATACACTTAGATTGAATAAGACGTCTGCTAACGATTTTTGGCAACTTGTGAAAAAGTTAAATCATACTAGTATAAGTATTTTATGAAACTTTGAAATTTTGTGAGAATTTGTGAAATTTCTTTTTTCATTGCGATTGGTATGTATTTCCCTAAGCTCGTTTGATTAAACGTTAGACCAACCATGATTGAAAAGCTTATAAGCAATTAGTGCAGCAATATTCCCAAAACATCAATGTCAATTTCAGTTAGCTTGGCAAGTGCACAAGTAAGTTAAATTGGCCTTTGTAATTGAAATACCAATGCCATTACACAAACATATGTATCTATGTACGTGTATATATGTATCTGCATCGTAACTTACCCAATAGCATTAGCAATTCTACCGAACTTGACAGCTTGCAGCTATTGCAACCACACCGAGTGAAGTTCGAGTGTATGTGTGTGTGTATTTATAAAAGTTTTGCCACAAACACAGTCAATGTGGGTAAACCAAAGATATGTTGCTACAAATACAAAGAAAATTACAAGCACGCAAGCCAAGTTTCCAGCTAACATTTACAAATTTTGGTTAAACAACAACAACACGGCCAGCACACACATATAGTAGACATTCAGCAGTCAAAGCCATCCATTCTCCTGGAAGAAAGCTATCCCCTGAGGCACTACCGCACTGACACGTGCACGCACAATATGTCACATACACACCCACACACCCCCCCGGCCTTAAAGGGAACAGAAGCCCACACCCAAGCATTCAGGAGACACAAAATGAATGAATGTATTTACCTTTTTCGTTACAAACCCTCAAATGGGAGCATATACAATTTTGCAACATTACGGTAACCCAGAAGGAGCATCATCATGTGGGGGAGGCGGTCACACACACACACAACTTGAATGTTGAATGGTAGAAAAAAGACTGTGCGGAAGGGTACAAATATTCCAACACTTGCCACGGCGTTGCGGGAAAAACCGAACGATAACAAAGTGACTGCAGCTAACTGCCAAGCAAGACACACACAGATACACGTATGTATGTATGTGCGCACTCTGGGTGCATGTGTGAGTGTGTGTGTGTGTGTGTGTGTGTGTGTGTGTAGAGTATGTGTGCAACAACGAACTGAAGCCATGAATAGTGCTGCAGAGGACTTATAAAAAATGCTAGGGATATGGATAAAGTCAAGTAAAATTGAAAATAGTATACTTGTATAACCCGCAGAGTTCATGGAGCTTGTGACTGCAAATTGTACTATATAGTATTGTACAATCTTTCATGGAAGGATGTGTGTAGTTACTTACAGTTGTAGTGATTGGTATTGATGTTTTTGTGGATTTGATTGGTGTGCCATTTGTATTTGCTGTGTGTAATGGCAGCCAACTTGGAAATTACCTAGAAATAAACAGCACTAATTGAGTGTACCCCAACCGGGAGTGCAAATATGAGAGCGCACAGCACGCGTCTGTACTTGCAACCTGAATGCAATGCAATGCAATGCAATGCAATGGTACTGCCAATTGAGCTGTACGAATACTTGAAAATTGAGCCAAATGGCAACAAATTTTCTGCTGTCAAGCTGCCAGCACTGATTAAGTGCACCACTCCTGCTCCCGAGTGGAAGCAAAGGCAGAAGCGAAAGCGAATGTGAAAGCAACAACTAAGCAGGCAGCTTGGCAATTGCTTATTGAAAGTTCACTTTACATCAATTACCCGTACTTGGACTTTCTAGTTGCATTGTGGGCTGGCCAACGAAGGGCCCAAAATTGTTGCCACACACTTCACTCAGCCAGAGCTGAGCGAAAACTAAACAAATTGAAATGGCACGATTTTCATTTGAGCGCACAACTGCTTTTATTGCATTTGCTGCTAGGTTGGCAATTCGTGATTTTCGTGCTTCAGTGTCAAGGAGGCAAACACAATTATTTTGCACGAGCACACACAGACTCATACGCCTATACATACATACATATAGTATTGACAAACATATGTATGTACTTCTGTAATATACATTCAAAACGGCTGAGTAACGAATCGAAAACCAAGTGCACTGCCCAAGGACCGCAGTGGGTGTACATCAATGTGTGTGGGTTTTATGCAGTAATCAGTTTCGGAAATTAGACTCGACGTTGTGGCAACACAAAATGTGGCAATTTGTAATTGAATGTGCTTAGCAACGACGGACATATAACCCAATAATAAACGAAGATACGACCGAACTACGAATAGCATGCATGCGGGCTAATTCATTTTCATCGCATACTCGTATTTGTTTTTATTCCCATTATAAGAGTACATACTTATATTTATTTCTTATATATACATAGTTGCCAGTAATTGTGTTCTATTATTAACCCTTGATGTAACACTATTTCGACAAAAATTGAAATATTTTACTAAGCAAACACATCGCGTCAAAAACTTAAAGTAATTACAAAACACAATTCAAATAATTTATTGCACGATTTTAATTTATTTGTAAATGCTCAATTACAGGGAAAGGCTTTACACTTCATTACATTTTTTCTTTGCCTATTTACATTTATTTTAGATATAATAAAAATTGACCTAATTGCGATGTCAGTGTATTCTCGTATTTAACAACAATTATCTATCTAAGTGATATTTTATTCATTGTCAATATTTTTTGATTATGGCTAACCAGCCAACCAACATTTTCTGACCATCATCAATCATCTAAAAGTCAACAAAGTCTTTTTTCTAACCCAGAGAAGTTGAAAAGGCTTTTTTTCGGATTACTGCCTTCAAGGTGAACTAAAATCCCATCAAGGACGCAGACTGTGGAAAATGTGCATGCCCTACGCCACCTTATGATTGATTGATTAATGCTAAAAAGCTTAGCCTAAACTATGACTCTAGTTTTGCTCAACAAAGTTAAAGTAGGACGGTTAATGTTTTAAAGTAAAGAGCGAAAAACATTTAAATATTTGTATAAACGGTACTATCTAAAACGGTACTATCTAAAACGGTACTATCTAAAAACACTAATATATTTAACGAAACAATTGACTTGGCATAAAATAAATGCTTATAAGCTGCAGTGCAAGAATAAATAAATATATGAATAAATGCTTTAGACATTGATACCTGCCAAACATTATTTATCAAATTTAACTATAAATGCAAGGACATTCAATGGAATTTATTTAATATTAAAACTAACCCAAAATCAAATTCAAATAAATATGCAATTATGTTTGTGATCTACAAGTTTTGAAAAGGCCAAAGGGAAACTAAATTTTGCAAAGGAAAAATAAATACTAATTATTTGCCCTAATTGATTTCACATTTCTGCAAGTAATTTATCATTTAATATATAGTAAATGTAAATAAATAGTAAATGGGGTCAAAAATGAGTTATACTTACATTTGAATTAAAAAATAAATTCTGCCGTCTTGTTGAAGTGTCGCTGGTCCCAAAAGGGTTAACTTATGTCTTATAAATCATGCATACTCGTATTTGTGGTATATGTGGTGTACAGATCAATAATAATGGCTGCCAGCATGTGGTATACGTAATATGAACATCATAAATAATTGCAAAGAAAATACGCAAAGTAGAGCTACGCAGCACAGTTGCGCATTGTTTGTAACTTCTGGATTCCAATGCCACAAAATACCACTGTCCTGCAGCCAAGTAAACAAGCTCATGGTCTTTGCATTGGCATGGCTCAATATTTTGGCTTTCATGTTATTAGCCTGCAGCTGTACTGTACTGTGCAAATGCAGCCTACAAATTCGAACAATGGCCAACAATAGACGAACCAAGTCTGATTTTAAGGTATCTCTAGCTTTGACTGTGACTGAATGGCTCACAATGCCCGTTTTTAAACGAAAACAAAAGCCAAATGATTTGCATGTCAGTGTAGCGTGCTTTCGTTCTCATAACGCCATTGTATGCCACGCACAAAAGCTCATATGGATGGCTCTGGCATATTTCGGCACTCTATTGTCTTCCCTCGCCTAATTATGCAAGATGTGTTCTTTCGAAGCCGGAGGCAATGCAGCAACTCCATCAAATGTATCCCACAACAATCGAATGTGTGTTTCAGTACAGATGCAGGCCTGACATTGCGCTTTCAGTTGCCAAGAACATTTTGGCCGTAATTATATTTCACTATTGAAAAACACCATCTGTGCAGTTGAAGGATAAATCAGATTACGAGGCATGTCTGTTTGAGTCAGTTAGAGATAAAATCACAAAGTGCACATTTTCGCAATACTTTACACTAGAAACTCTACCAGAAACTCTGCGATAGCAAGCAAAAATAATTCAAAAACACGAATTAAAAACTCAAAAACATATTATTCATACTATTGAGGATATTGTTACCATTATGAGAATACGATTTGGTCGCCACTGATAACATAATTCACAAAATGGAACCATTTGTCAAAATATGTGTCTGAAGTTATTTTGTGTATTTTTCAGTTCATTTTTATAAAGCTGTTCATTTAAATTTTGTTCAAAGCCTATGCTGCTATAACTTGTCAAAATGATTTACCTTTAACTAACTTATTTTCCAACAGAATCTATAATTGAATTATTTCTAATTGCTTTTCAATTGCGATTTCATTTTGATTTGAAAATATGATGTTGTCGGGTAATTATCTCCTGTGGCGTGGCAGTCATGTCCGTCTGTCCGTCTAGATCTCTGATATTATAAAAGCTACAAAAAAAATTTTGCGTTGAGTTTATTTTATTTGTTTGATGCACGCCCCCATTCCCCCCCTATAGGGGATTATCCAAAGTTTTGTTCGTATAATTTTACCACATGAGTAAAAAGTGTATTTCTAAATTTTCCTCCCTGCTCCCATTCCACCACCATATAATATTTTATTATAATTCACATATGTAGGTCCAGAGTATTTAAAGGTCGGAGCACCCGACTTTAGCTTTTCCACTTGTTTTTATTATTTTTGTCAATTTTTATAACATTTGTGCTCAAAAGTCTAGTAATTAATTGTGATTTATTGGATTTGTTTTTAAACTATTTTTTTATTTGAACAGAAAAATTTGTCTTAAATATAGGATATACGCTTGTGGAGTTAAATTGCATTTTTGGTGATAGACTCCAACGCCAGGGTAAGCCACGTTAGTTACTATATAAGAAAGAATACTGGTTTATATATTATTTATTAATAGAACTTTTATATAATACTAATAGTTCAAAAATATCAAACATGCAACTTTATTTAAGCATGTGGCAGAAAATCAATAAATATAAATAAGTTGCTTATTATTTGTACGTAATTCGCACAACACACATTTACTAAAGAAGTCTATTTTGCGACTGCATTGCTATTTATATTGTTATGCAAAAGTTGTGTTTGCTAACAGCAGATTATCAATATCGAGAGCACAAATACCATAAACATTATTTTTTGTGCAGATATGCTTGTTGGAACCAAAAAAAAAAAGGAAACTAATACACCATGTGGGTCACAGGTTATGATAGAAATAACCACTGCTGTTTCAATTTCACAAAAGAAACTCATTTTCATGATGCTAGTATTTTTAATTCAATTTCAGTGGATCAGGTAATTCCATTACGTTGCGAATCGTATCAATTAATATTTGTGCGTGGCCATCAATTTCCACAATTGGCTTTATCCCTCTTCCAAGGCACGCAAAACTGAGCTCTCTCCATGAAAATAGTGCTATAATGGTTTCGCCTCAGTGCCGTGCGTTTGATAAGCAACTTTAATTATCGCATTGTCGTCACCCACACGTACATTCCAGTAGATATGTACAAGCATGTATATACTATATAGCATACACAAAAGTGTGCGTATGGAAAATACACTCATAGGAACATGACTGCTTATCATTGGCGGCAACTAAGAGGGTTGTCATGCGTCATCTATAGGCTAAATATAGCTTGGACACCGACATTATTAGCACTTACCTCTGTTGCTTCAGTAAGTTGTTCCTTAAATATGTCACTAATAAGTAAAGCGTATTTAGAAACTACAATGTTTGCGAGCAACATGCTGAAAAACAAAGTAGTTGACAACCCTGACTTCGTTGGAATTGCAGAAAAAACAAAATGAAACTGAGAACCATTGATTTCTCAGTACGCCGAAGACTAGATTCCCCTAAAAGCTGTGACACACTTCTTAAAGCAGAATTTCTTTAGTGAAGAAATTTTTATTATTGTATCCAACTCAAAGTTCGTAAGCACCTACTTGGTATGAGAGGAAAACTGAGCTGAATTCCATTTTATTCATCTCAAGAAACCAAAAAGAAAAGAAAAAAATTTTCGCAATAATTTTTTTCTGTTGATCATATGCATAAATTATTATTTTAACGCATCGTCCTTTATTTAATCAAAATTTGGAAAAGCTGCGTACGATAATTATACAATACAAAACAAAAGTTTTTGAATAAAATATAATTTGCTTGTAACCAAATTGCAAATATTACTAAAAGATCGAAATTTTTAATGCAACTGAAAGATTAATTTTTAAATAACATTTTTATAGAAATTCAAAATTATAATTTGATAATTATTAACTAGCAATGGAGAAGCTTTGTAATTTTTATTTAAAAAGTTCAAACATCAGACTTGTGTTATAGTACTTTTATTAAGGGTATAATCGACAAAATGCTTGCTAAACCATCACTAGTACAGTGAAAAGCGCTTAAAAACAACCATTTTACGGGATGTCATTTAGTTATTAGATTCGACGTAATGCTAACAACGATTTTGTGATTTGCAGCAGAAGAAAGATAGCATAGTCCCTTAGTGATTTAATTTAAATGATTCCTTTTAAAAAGTGTTTTAAAGTATTAAAAGCACAAATAAAATACAGTGTGTAATTGAATATTTTATTTAAGCAAGCGCTACTGTCATTTTATTGAGTAGATACGTCATGTGGCGCTCGGCAATTCACTGAAGCGCTCGTTAAAATTTTCAGCGTGAGTTCTTATCAGTATGTGCGGCAACGTTTCACTGAAATCACTTAACATGTTTGCCAACTGGCTCAGAAACTTTAAAAATTAAACGCTAAGTTGCCAACATTTGGTAAAGGGCAAATGAAATGCGGCTGAGAAAGTGTGAAATTAAAAGCGAATTTAGTTCAATTAGCGGCTATGGCTATGGGAGCTGAACAGAGACGCGTGCCTCGGACGTGTTGCAAACGCTGGTCCCAAGTTGTGGCCAGTGATGAGATATCGCCATGCGTGCTGCTTCATTATCGACACCACGGTGACGAGCACTCTCCACTTCCGATAGACTTGGGGCCAGCGATAACTGCTACGGCTTCTGCGTCAATTGGCGCCACTTCCTTCACCATCAAGCTGAGACGCCTCGTTCAGCGCCAACAAGTGCGTCCTAAATCGACTGCATTTGAACACAATGAGTGCAATGTAATTATTATTTTAGTTACGGTTATGGTGGTTGCCTTTATTAACGTAAATTTAATTAAATAATATATTTGTTTGTTTTTGCATTGCAGAAAAACAAGGAGTTGATGAATGACATTATCACTAATTGCAAACTAAAGAATGGTAAGTCAACCGCAAAATGGTTTCATTACAAATCAAATAAATATTTTTGCAAACATAATAAAAATGTTGTCAGCGGCAGCGTTCAAATTATTTAAATCGCCCCTCATAAAAAGTACATAAAAAAATATAGGCATATAAAAATTGCACTAGAGCACAAAAGCAATTAATTACATAGTACACACAGCTGAATAAGTAATTTAAAATTGAATTATGAGCTTATTATTCTAGAGTATGTAAACACATTATGCCCCTATTGCATACTTAATTAAACACATGTATGGAATTTGCAGGCTTTGGTCCCGGTGTGCAGCCCGCTGCAGCAGCATCGCCCACAAAACGCCCATTGAGTCCGGATCATCCCAATCCAGCGCTTCCCATAACCGAGGTAATTATGAAATGTGCATAATATATAAACAAACACAACCTTCACTCCTTATCCTGTGTAATTTTATCAACATTTGCATTCCATAGTATTGATTTTTAGAGCTGCAATAGTCCAATGAATTAAATAAATATTACAGAAGTCCAGGATTTAATTATTATTGTTTCGATTCTTTCGAAAAGCTCTTCAAATTAGTAGAAGTTAGAAGTACATATAATTATGTTTTTATTTCTTAAGTCTATAAAATGCAACAAGATTCTGAGAAGATATCCTTCCTTAAATCGAATAATAAAGTTAATTTAATGGCAAAACACATTCATAAACATCCTTATGATATTAAATGCCAAAATAAAATTTTAATTACTTGTCTACCCTGTACTCACAGGGTAAAAGTTTAGCCTAGTTTTGTGCGAATGTATATAACACACAGAAACATAGATAAATATATTTTTGACCAATATGACAAGACGATATATATGGTCTAAAATAGCAAAACTGTATATCTAGTTTGTCCTCGGTCCCAAAGAGACAAGTTTTCTTTTTTGCTTTTTTTGTGGATTGTATGCAGATTATATACATGGCCCTATTAATATGGCTAAGTATTAGTATAATGATTAGGTTATCAGTAGTTTTAGATTTTGGCATGAGTTAAAAATGCATTAAATCGTACAGAGAGCTCATGTCTTTAGTTCTATAATCCATGAGTTTCCAAGAAAAGAACTACACTATGATTATTTTTTATAAATACACAATTTTCTGTCGTCTCCAAAGTTTGAAGGCCATAAGCGTAACCTTTACAAAAACTTAAAGCAAACATTTGTCTTCAATTTGCTCGCCCATATTTCAAGATTGTGTTTTCCTTTTTTGCACACAGACGCCGAGTCCTGCTATGAACCGCATGGGTTGGGCGCTGCGCACATTACTCGTTGCTGATAACTCAAGTTGTCTTAAGGATCGCAAGGTGAGTGAGTGAGCTGAGACGACAATTGCCAGACAGCATGATGTCTGTTGTTGCTTTCTTTATGGCTGCCAACTAACTTTTTTATGATGCTAATTATATAAATTGTCTCTTTGCGACCATTGCCATTGCTCACCAGGTTTCGGGAAAGTTAATACGCAAGTGTGCGCCCGGCACGGAGCTAGTGGATTGGTTGGTCAACCTATCGCCCATTGTACATACTCGTGCCCAGGCGGCTGGCATGTGGCAGGCTCTGCTCGAAGAAGGCGTTCTGACTCATGGTGAGTGTATACGAGTATTTTGTGTGCGTGCTGCTTTTATAACAATTCAATTAATCTTGCTTTTTACACATTTAACAATTTCCACGCTTCTTGACGCTTGCCTTTCACCAACGCAGTCAATAAGGAGCAACCGTTCAAGGATAAGTGCTTTCTGTATCGTTTTCGCTTGGATGAGGAGGGAGGTGCTCCAGCAGCTGGCATACCAGTGGCAGAAGATTTAAACACGGCTAATGAGTACATACGCGAGGCATTAAGCACGCTCTTCCAACGCGGTCCTGATGCCACGTTGCGTATGATATTACGGAAACCGTAAGGAAATAGTACCTAAGTGTTTTTAAGACTTGTTTTGACTTGTTTGATAGAAATGCGAGAACACAAGTGGCTGTTATGCTAGTTCGGTGGGCACACTGTGCGTATGCGTTATATTTTGTGTTGATTGTCTTAACAACGCTTTTACCTGCTAATTAGTTTCATTATCCAATACATACATGTGCCCCTGGCTGAATGGGTTGGCATGAAATCCCACTATTTGGTTTAATCAATTTCCTCTTCTCTGCCTCCCTCCCCTCATACAAACACACACAGGTCGCATGAACGCACACCCGAGGAACTGGAGCTGGTATTTGAGGAACTCGTGCATATTGCCGCGCTCTCACATTTATCGACTAGCATCAAGCGTGAACTGTCATCTATAATTGTATTCGAAGCCCACACACAGGCGGGCACCATACGTAAGTATACATATAGATGGTACATGTGTGCTTAGAGTTAACGTCAGCTGAATATAAGCTGAAGCAGACATAAATTAACTGACCGACATGGCCACATCACTCTGCATTGTGCAATTTCCATTAAATTAGAGTTGCCGACTCTACCACAAACGTTTATTTGTGTGTACGTGTATGTGCGCCAAATGATTTGTCTGATCGAACTGATGTCACAGCCACTGCCAAAAATATTGTTTTAATGGAAACACACACACACACACACACAACTAAATTGGAAACACTCCATTCGATGTTATTATTATCAAAATCTCAAAAATATATAATTTTGATTGAACCCGTTTCCCATTTATAGACCCTTTATGGGTTCGAGGCCCGCAGGAGATATTAACTATACAAAATCTTGTTTTTTACAATTGTTGTTCTTTGTATTGTGTTAGTATTTTAAATTTATATAATTATTCTACATTCACTATTCCACTATATTAAAGGCATATGCATATATTCGAACAACATGTTTACTTTGTACTTGTACATTTAAGGAGTTTTTCAACGAAGTCCTCGTACTTGTATGTTACTTTTATCGAGTATCTTTCGTAAAATTAACAAAATGTTTAAAAATTCTTATGGACCTGGATAATTTTCATATCAAAAGTAATAATAATAATAAATTAGGTTGTCTTTTTATCAAAACTCGTTTTTTTTTTATTTTTTTTTATTTAAATATTTTTGTGATTATGAAGATTAAAAACTTTAATACAAAAATAAAAACATAGAATTAACATAAAATTATTAATTTAGTTCCACACATTTAAGTAAAGAGAAGAAACACAAAATGCGTCAACATTTTATTTGCATATTGAGCCCCTTTGTAATCACGGCTACTCAAGCGGGTAGAATGATTGGAAGCAACGCGCAGAGTTTTTAATTAAATAAACAACAATGCCATTTCATTATGGCTCAATAGCCTGAGTGAATATAATTGAAACGCAGACAACGAAAAAGGCTAAATTAAACCCTTTTATTCCTTCATTTTTATCCTTGTTTGCTAATGACTACGGCTCATTAAATGAATGTCTACACCAACGTCATTGAAAACAACAACAATGGCCACAACAACAACAATGACAGTATTCAATCAAGGCGACGAGGGCCGATCCTGGTACATCTTGCTAAAAGGCTCGGTAGATGTTGTGATACATGGCAAGGGCACAGTTGCCACTTTGAAGACTGGCGATGATTTTGGCAAATTGGCTCTCATAAACGACGCACCAAGGTGAGTTCTGCTTCCCATCCTTCTTAAGCGAAATGTTTTAAAATGTTTGCCAACAAGGCCACAAACTTATTTTAGTCGTGCATCGCACTCAAGCATCTATTGAATAAAGCCCCTCTCCAAGTATAGTACATACACAAAGAAAAAAAATCGCTGAACGTTTTAAACTGTCGAACAAAAATTTGTCAGGCAAAAACTTGTACCTCAGTGTCCCTTCTAAAGTTAGCAGACTGCAACAATTCTTGGCGTATCACTTTCATCTTTGTTAAGAGTTGAATAGCCACTTTTTACTTATATTTCAAGAAGAAAACTTTTAACCTGGCAGCACAGAACAATAGCGCGCTCAACAAGTCGTCTGTGAAAATGGTAGCTGTTGTGTGCTTCGGCAAAAGAAAAAGGAAAACAACTGCATCGTCAATAGCCTTATTAAGACCATTGTTAGTCTCTGAACTAACAATTTGCCACTAAACATAGCACTGCATTGAACTTAGTCTTGTTTTGTTCACTACGTATTCATAGAAGCTCAAAGAAAATAATTTAAAACTTAGATTTTGATATTGTTGATATTAAAGCAAAGCTTCAAGCTTGCAATAGCATTTTAAAGCGCTAACTTACTCAGCTCTGTGTGAATGCATTCATTTATTTATCATTGCCAATATCCTGCTGTGAGTGATGAAATGCAATTCCGGCTGCAGGAAGGCACAGTGTGAATATTTTCTTAGCGCAGCGCTTAACATAAAAAAACAGAACGAATAAAAATTGAAATGCTGAACTTTTCTATTTAACTTTTGAAAGTTTTCCAGCAAGAGTTACCGACAGAATGCAAATCCAGCAAGCACAAAACATGAAAAGTTTACAAGAGAAATGTACACCCTCTCTCAGACTTTTTGCTTATATTTAATAAACATATATTAGATTAAAAAATGCTGTCCAAAAACGAACAGCTGCCGAATGAGGGCCAACAGTGCGTATAAGTAATTTTTTACAATTTATCTATTGCTTAACAGAGCTGCTACCATCGTACTCAAGGAGAACAATTGTCATCTATTGCGAGTCGACAAGGAGCATTTCAATCGTATATTGCGTGATGTGGAGGCCAACACCTTGAGATTGCAGGAGCACGGCAAGGACGTTTTAGTGCTGGAACGCGTGGCCAAGCAACGCGGACAACATTCGGCATTCAAGTGAGTAGCGTATTTTAATTATTTTTAATGCCCCAATCTAATCAATTTTAAATGAACGTAAAATTCTTAATTGAAAGCAAACAACAGTAACTTTCCCAGATATCTGCTGCTAACGCATTTAATTCGGTGCAATTGTGTGAAAAAAATACATGAAATTTTTTCCTTTATTGCCGTTTTTATGAACATATAGTATTTGATGGCCGAGCGCTTCGAGGCATTTATCGGCGCATTGCCGTGACCCAATATTAATGCTTTTGTTTGGTCTTCCATTTCCAGATACACGGTCATGTCGGGCACTCCCGCCAAAATGCTGGAACACTTGCTCGAGACCCGACTGGGACAGACGGTCAGCGGCATGGATCCATTCCTTGACGATTTCCTGCTCACACATATTGTTTTCATGCCCGTGGTGCAGCTGGTCGACGAGCTGGCCAATTAATATCCTTTTCAAATCACCAATAGCTGGCAAACAGCTTTAGCAGTTATGCAAAAAATCAACAAAGGAAGGCAGCAGATTGAAAAATGTTCAAAATAGTGCATTAGGCATTAAAAAAGTGAACACCCATGAAAACTCAAATACAGGGTCTTCATTTAAAGCAATATTTTTACGAGTTATAAAGCTAATTTGGTTGGTTAGCATTGCCAGCTGAATTGATAGTATTTTTTCAGTTTGTTGTGAGTTCTGCATTGTAGTCGTACTTATTTGAAGCATCTAGAGCATCGTCAATTTAAAATAAGCCCATACAATTCAAACCCGCATCGATAAGCCCATTTTAACATATAGACGAATGCTTATAAGTACTACAAAATTGTAGGTCTAGAAGCTTAATTCGTAGCAATAATTGTGATCAAAGCCATGACATTTTTATTTCTTAAAATTGCAACCATTCCGTTTTTGAAAATTGGCAAGCAATATACGTATAGCAGTAGATTAGAGTGACAGCTTAGTTCACCGAAGCAGCAGCATTAGTTCTTTGATATAAATTGAATATCTGAAGGCATATATTACGAAATGCGGCCACGTTTTATAACTTACGACTTAACTCTGCGCGTATATTAAGGGGCGAGCTGCAAATCCATACAGCTAGATTCCATTTCGCATTCCTTTTTGGGAGCCGTGCCTAAAAGGCCCTTTACTGCCTGGAATGGGCGTGCTGCTGTCATAACACTTTAAAAATTCACACAGAACAACTGAACATGGACAGTGTTGAGCCAGTCACGTGCCTTGAAACGCAACGCCCTGGGGGTAACAAACATATCCATAGCGACAGTTTGAGTGTCAGCAGCACGCAAACCACACGCAGCCCCACCGAACAAAACAGAACCGCATACAGAATCACAACCAGAAGCAGGAACCTACCAGATGAGAAGAAGGGGCATATATACCTACATATACGTATACACCCACTCACAACAAGGCTAACAAAGAACACATTCACATCCGTTCGAACAAAGCAACTGTTAAACCTGTTGTTGAAACAAAAGCCACAACAGCAACAACACCAACAACACGGTCGAGCTAGCTTTGGGTCAACAATTTGGTAATTTAGTGCGTCAGTAGAAGTTGGGTTTTGGGCATATACTCATACATAAGGTTCAATGATGCTCGAAACTAATCCCACAATCTGCATTGGAATACGTGATATGTTTAATAAGAAGGCAGGCAGCCAGCGGCAGGACTCTTGACAAAAGAGTGGAGACGGTAGGAATATTCCTGTTGTGCGTGCGTATAAGGCTGTAAAGGTGTATTGTTGTCAGGATAAGACCTGCTTTACTATTCCCCCCCCACATTTGCATTTGCATTGGTTCTGTCCTTAACCACCGTGTACCTTTCATTGTGATGCGCATGCTGAGGCCCAGACGCCGGAGGATCGGGAGTACATAATCAACTTTAAGAAACGCGTCATACACTTTATGCAGAAATGGGTCATGGCCGTGCGGCATGCGGCCTTCGAAGAGCCCAGCGTGTGCGATTTTATTGAGGACTTGGCTGCCGAAGTGGAGGCTGATCCCGATTTGAATGAAGAGACAAGCATAATACACAACGTGCTCACACAAATGGCGCGATACCAGGAGGATCGAAATCAGAATGCAGGCCAAAAGTGGAAGCTCCCTCCGAATGGCCAGCCAATATGTTTATTCAGCGGCAATGCGACGCCATCGAAAACGGTTATACGACCGGATGATGACAGTAAGTACAAGTTTAAAAATTTTTAAGCCATTCCACAAGCATTATTTTACGATTTTATACCCTTCATTGTAAAGTAACACCGGGAAGAAAGACTGGTAGACTAAACTTTGTTTATTAAGATATTAAAACCCAATTGAAAATTCAGAACTTTGTTGTCATATTGAAAATAACATAACAAAAAGATTTAAAACTAGTATAGCCTTTCATCCTTTGGGTACAGGCTATAAATATATATATTGTTCAATCTAGAACTAGTAAGGCAATTTGAAAAATTTTACTAATAAATATGATAAAGAAGGCCCAATATTTCCTAATAATGTTAATAATAAATGACCTGCAATTATATTAGTTGTTCATCGAAAATCTAATGTGTCTGGTCGAATTACATTTCTAATCGTTTCAATACATACTATAAATGGCATTAAAATAGCAGGAGAAACTAGATGAGCAAATATATGTTGTGTATGATTAATTCATCCATATAATATAAAACATAATCACAATGGGAAAGCAAGGGTTAATGTAAGTGTTGAATGACTTGTTCTTGTAAAAATATATGGGATTAGTGAAAATAAAGAAATAAAAATAAAGGTAGATCCGTTATTGCTTAAAGGACCTAGTAAAGTTTTATATTCTTTGTGTAATGTTAAAAGAATTCAATTTCAGATAATGTTATATCGTGAAGGTATTAATCAGTAAATAGGTGGAGTTATTAATAATCCTTAAAATTTTCTTAATCAATTTAATGATAGCTTAAAACATGCAAAAGGGTGAAATACAGAAAATAAATTAGTTACGGCCTATGACCATCGATGAATACAATTTTGTTTTAGAAAAAAGTGAATCGTATATAGCGTTGATTGATATTGCAGTTGAAATATATTATAATATATTTTGAAAGAGTATTTATTTCCTAAGCAGAATAAATAATATTTTTCAATAAAGATGTTTCTCCTTACGTTTTTCTAAAATATTGCTCCTTAAACACTTTTTATTTTAATGTACGATACTATATCTAAAGAGAAAGAACAAAATCGTTATAGAGATATATGAAAGAACAGACTGTTAGAGATCTTCTCATCTAGTCTTGCTGTTGTTACATATGAAGTCTGTCATGACTTCGTATTTTCTTTTCGAATATATAAAGGTATATATCAAGTATTTCCTTCTGATACAGGATATAGAAATGTTCAAATGGCGTGAATAAATCGAATCAAAAATATTTTGGAATTAATTGTCTGGTTTCTATATATATTTTTTATATATTTTAAATCTTTATGGGTTTTTTCGTTTATTGTTTCTCGCTTTACACTGTCGATTGTTGTTAACCATTTTTATTTCTCCATTTTGTTTAATTATGTAGTAAAGGTGCTGCCTGCACTCTTAACATTAAGTTATCCTTACCTCACTTGTTAATTCAAAATGTGAATAAATTGAAATTGAAAATATATATTAAATATAAATATAGAAAAATAGAAATATAGAGTGATAAGTAGAATGTATATGTCTCGTCATTACAATAAGAATCACCAATTAAATAATTGATAGGAAGCTTATGTTATATTGTGATTGTTGTAATTCCCAAGCACTCACTTATGTAGCATTTTTTTAAGTATTTATCCGAGTAGAGATAATGTTTTTTTACTGTATCCCCGGTTATTTGCAGTCATTTTTCGTGTGTATTGTGCCGACCACACATACTGCACGCTGCGATTTCCGATGCATACGACCGCAGAGCTAATCAAGGCTTGCGCCGCCGATAAGCTTCAATTGAATCGCGGCCCCGAGGACTTGTGCCTGGTCGAGGTGAGGTCGAATGGAGAGCGCGCCGTATTCAAGGATAACGATGTGAGCATACCAACTGGCTTATCGCTCAACGGCCGATTGTTTGTGTCCGTCAAGGATCATTTGGATGCACTGGTAATCAAAATTGGCAGAATCGGCTTCGTAGTCTTGGTGTACTAAGCGCCTTTTTTATTTCCACTCAGACACCACTGCAGGAGCAGGAATGCCCCACAGAGGGTGTCGACATCGATTTGGAAGTTTTGAGCACCAAAGAGCTGGCCTATCACATCACATTGTTCGAGTGGGATTTGTTTTGGGCAGTGCACGAATACGAGCTCCTCTATCACACATTCGGACGGCATCATTTCGGCAAAGTAAGTGAATGAACAAAGTTCTGGCCAACTTAGTTAGCTCTGGCCAAACGTTGGCATTTTGCTTGGCACTAATTTTGCTGAATGTTTACTTGCAAAATTATAAGTAAAATGTCTGAAATCATTTTATCATAGACATATCATTAAATCATATTCGAAAAATTATTGAAATATATGCTTCTTTATTTCAATTTTGCAGTGAATAATTAAATTTTGAATATTATAATTGTTTTTTGAATAATTAAACAAAAAATTTACGTTGTTCGTTGTACATCGTTGGAGGTAAAAAAAATTTGTATCAATACGAACCACTGTGCCACAAAGTTCTGCCTCCAACAACAAACACATTCCAGTTCATAGTTTGCAAAGCACCTAGGTGTGCATCTTTTTATCATGAACATTTTTCATAAATTCTAAGTGCAATTTTTAAGGCACTTCTGCCAGCAAATTGAGCAAACGAACTTACCAACCTGTAAGCGAATCACATACTGCAAAAGCAACTTATATTTAAATTTGCACAGATAACGGCTAACCTGGATGTGTTTCTTCGACGCTTCAACGAAGTGCAGTATTGGATCGTCACCGAACTGGTCTCCACGCCCAGCCTAAGCAAACGCGTAGGTCTGGTGCGGAAGTTCATTAAGCTGGCTGCCTAGTAAGCATCTAGAGTACTCTATTTAAAATGGATTGATTAAATGAAAACCTGAAAATTGCAGCTGCAAGGAGTATCAAAATCTCAATGCATTTTTCGCCATTGTCATGGGTCTCTCCAATATGGCTGTAACGCGACTACAGCAAACCTGGGAGAAAATACCATCGAAATTTCGGAAAATATTTCAAGAGTTCGAGGCTCTTATAGATCCCAGTCGCAACCATCGGGCGTATCGCGTATTTGTGGGCAAGCTTCAGCCCCCTTTGGTGCCCTTCATGCCGCTGCTGCTAAAGGACATGACATTTGCACACGAAGGCAACAAGACGAGCCTGGATGGACTTGTGAATTTCGAAAAGATGCACATGATGGCGCAAACAATGCGAACCATAAGATTTTGCCGCTCACGCAGCCTGGGTAAGCATTTCGAGTACCCTTACATACTTATATATACAAACGATGACTTAATTTTAATTTAATATTTTTGATGCGACAGGTCTGGAACCACCATCACCGAAGAGCGAGGGCGAAGTACGTTCGTACATAAGCAGTTTTCGTGTGATTGACAACCAACGCATTCTCACCGCCCTGTCACAGAAAATAGAGCCCACTAGAAAAGTTTAGATGTAATTTACAAGTACAAGTACTAAGTAAATTCAATATATGTTGAGCAGCCGCTTAAAGGCTTAAATAGCTATATTGTCATCAGTCAAATATTGAAATATTTTATATAAGTGTCTATAATATGTGTTTAACCCAGAGGCGAAACCGCATGGAAGTAACTTCAACAAAGAGCTTACCTATTCTAACAAATTGAGCATTTGAGTCTAAGCATTGAAATCTTAGAAAACTCCATCTCTACACTAAAACAAAACTTATTATTAAGCTTAGCCAATACCCCATAATATACACATTATAAATAGATACATACTTAAATATTTAAAACACTATTTATATATCAAGTTCTATTAAACTTAACCGCATTTTGTGGTAAATCTGTAGATCTATCAATGCAGTGGTATTGACCTTTTGAAACTTTATGCTGTAGTACAAAAGTCTGTGAAAACAATTGGCAACAAAGGAAAAAATATAATATGGAGTGGCATTTGAGAGCGTGATACTAAACTATTAGAAGAAACAATATCAGAAATGCACTACAACTTTATCCTAAAACTCTGCAGCACACATACAAGTATATAGTACATAACCACTACTACTATTTAAGTACTAAGTTTCAATATTTTGTAAAAATGTATAAAACAGAAGGAACCTGCACTAGCGTTCAAAAATGCAAGTACTTGTAGAATTCCGAACCCAAAGTAGTAACACAGACAAAATTTAAATTAAAAAAATTAGCAATTTATTTTTCTATCACTAATTGGGAAGTAAATACTATAGAATAGATATTAAGCAAAATTCTAGTTGAAACTAGTTATTAGCAAATACATACTTGTATGTAGTAAATAGTTGCGCATAAGTCACGTAGTCCTAGGTATTTTAATTTTGTTTAATATTTTTATTTTAAAACTTTATACAGAAAAATACTAATAAATTACAACTACATTAATCTATTTTCATTTGTTTAATTTATTCACTTACAAAGATTTGCAGATTTGCATCCTTTTATTTTTCCTGTCCCTTTTTCTTAAAAACCTCTAAAAACTCCTCCACTAAAATAATAAGTTATGTTGTTACATCCAAACTATCTACAATTATTATATTTATAAAAGCTACATAAGTCATGAAAGCAAAATGTAAACACTGGAGAGGGACCTTATTAGTTGTAGTCTATAATATTAATGAATTCACATACGAGTGATGTGTTTTAGGTGAATGTTTGTCAGTATCACCTTAAACCTCGAAGAGATAAGACGTGAGACTAGCGATCTGTGCACAAGTGCTTATCTTTCTATTAAAACAACAACAACAATAACTCAAAACAAACCACTATTCAAAGTAAAATTCGCAAAGACAAAAACAACTCTACAATAGTGCAGTTAATACCTTATCTCTAAAGGGCCCCGCCCTACATATATAAAAAAAAAAAAAAAATGAATCGCCCCCCCGATTTAAGTCAACACTACGGTGTAAAAACAAACAATAACAATAACGACGGCAAATACCTACTAATTACTAGAGATGACGACAGTAACTTTGATAATGTGAATCCATTTATAATTAAAAAAGTAATCGACCACACCTGCAATGGTGAAGTCGAGAGTTGTAAAAAAACAAGAGCTGGCTCTCTACTTATCCAAACAAAAACTTACCTACAAGCCCTAAAACTCCTTAAACTAAAAACTTTTCACAACTTTCCCGTCACAGCAAGTGAACATAAGACTCTCAACTCAACAAAGGGAGTAATTTACTCAAATGAGCTTCGTACCATCAGCGAAACCGAAATTAAAGAAGAGCTTAAGCCACAAAATGTGATCGATGTACACAAAATTTACCAAAAAGTCAACAACTCTCTTAAGGAATCCGGACTCATTACTTTGACCTTTGCTTCCCTTACTCTCCCCGAAAAAATAATGATTGGCTACGAGCAAGTCACCGTACGACCATATGTGCCACGCCCACTAAGATGCCAACAATGTCTACGATTTGGACATCCAACCAGCGCCTGCAAACAGACTTTCAAAACATGCCGCAACTGCTGTCAAGAGGAACACACTAAGGAGGACGAGACCTGCAACAGAACCAAATTCTGCATCAACTGCAAAAACGAAATTGAAAACAACCACTCACCCATGGATAAAAACTGTCCTATATTTTTGAAACAAAAAGAGTTGACAGCAATTAAAACAATTCATAAAGTAGACCACAAATCAGCTCTACAAATATATAACGCACGTCACCCACTTTCAACCACAACCTACTCCAAAATAGTAGCCAATTCTCCGAAACAGACATCTCCAGCGCAGCCGAACACCTCATCTAGCACATCGAAACCCGCACACAATACCATTAATAACCTCAGCACCACGCCTACAATCAATACCACTCACCAACCAAATCTAAAAAGAATCATCACATCTTACGCCGATATCGATATGGACACCACACCACTGATGCAAGACCAGCCTAATCACCAACACCCTCAAGACGACCCCAAGCTCCGAATTTTTCACGCTAAGCAGAATACTCTTACCAAGCCCCTAAAATCTAAAGAAAAACTTGACCCGAAACTTTTAAATTCAAAAACTTAACAACACCAGTGCTACCACAACACTATCATTTAATTTAAATACATATATATATATATATATATATATATATATATATATATATATATATATATGTATTTAAATATAAATATAAATATAACAACAAAATGTTGAAAGTACTCCAATGGAATCTTAATGGATACCTAAATAACTACAACCAATTGCAGCTTTTGATAAGAAAATTCTCCCCAAAAATTATATCTCTTCAAGAGACCCACCTAAATACGCTAAGAAACTTCCCTATCCCAATCAACTACCTTATATACAATATCAACTCTGCTGGCAACGCGTCAGGCGGTGTCGCTATTCTTGTACACAAATCCATTCATCATACTGAGATACACCTTCAACAAGACTTCGATTCCGTTTGCATCAAAATCCACTCTAAATTAACCTTCAATATTATATGCTCATATATCCCCCCCAATCATAAGATTACCATCAATAACCTAGAAAATGTCTTCAGCAACATAGACACTCCCACCCTTATCACCGGTGATTTCAATAGCTGGCATATGCTATGGGGATCGCCCCGTAATAATAAGAAGGGACACATCATAGCCCAATTTATACAACAATCACCGCTAATCCTACTAAACGATGGCTCTCCTACCCATTTCAGTACACATAGCACCCTGACCCATGTTGATCTCACTTTCGCCACCCCAATTCTCGCTCTTCATTCCTCATGGCACACCGAATCCGATACCTTCTGCAGTGACCACTTCCCAATTATCACATCCCTATTCGAAACCAACTCAACCCCAATAATAACTCCCAAATTCAAACTAGATAAGGCAAACTGGCCAAGATTTCAAGACGCTAGCTACCATTTTCACCACCAACGCCCTAAAAGTAAAAATCTGAACAAGGAATCAGCAAACATTCAAAAAATCATTCACCAAAGTGCGAACTGTTCCATCCCACAGTCCACTTACCAACATAATATAAAACACCAGGTCCCTTGGTGGAACAAAAACCTTCAAAAATTAAAACAATCTAAAAATTCCCTTTTTTTAACACTAAGACGAAACATATCTACTACTAACATAATTAATTATAAAAAAGCAAATGCACTATTCAAACGAGAAGTAAAAATAGCAAAACGCACATCCCTTGAATCCTTTACCGCCGAAATCAACCCCGGCTCTTCTTCCTCTAGGATTTGGAGCAACCTACGCTCTTTCTGTGGTCTAAAACCAAGTCTTTCAATCCACTGCATTACCAAATCAGATTCCCAAGTCAATATTACAGACAACTTAGCCATAGCCAATGAACTGTGTACCTTCTGGTCTGCCGAATCCAGTGATGAAAACTTCTCCAACACCTTTATTACTCTGAAAAACAGCTCCCTACTAGCCCCTCCCAAGTACCGGCCGTCCGCCTCTGCCTTAAAAATAGAGTCACCTATTTCCACTCTCGAGCTTAACATAGTTCTTTCAAAATTAAAAGGAAAATCCCCAGGCCTGGATCGTATATCTTACGCCATGCTGAAAAACCTCCATCCCTCAGTAAAGCTCCGTTTAGTGGACCACTTTAATAACATCTTCAATAGCCACATACCTCAGCACTACAAGCTGAGTAAAATAATTCCCCTAAACAAGCCACATTCCGATAAAACTTCCCTCAACTCTTACCGTCCCATATCCCTTAACTCGTGCGTTGCCAAAACCCTGGACAAAATTATCGCCAACCGGCTATGGTGGTTTGTTTCCCATAATAAATCAATTGATAGCCGTCAAACAGGTTTCAGAAAAGGAAGGTCGATTTCGGACAGTCTACTAGTTTTAGACCACTTGATTTCGTCCTCTCTATCTACAAAAAACCATGCCTCAATTATATCACTCGACTTTACCAAAGCATTTGATAAAATTGGCATCCATTCAATAATAGACGAGTTGCGTTCGTGGAAAATAGGTCCTAAAATAATCCAATACTGCGTTAACTTTATGACCAACAGAAAAATTAAAGTTTATGCCAACTACCACTTTTCCTCAACCCTTCCCCAACACAACGGCATCCCTCAGGGATCACCCCTGTCAGTTATCCTATTTATCATCGCCTTCAACAAACTTAACTCCATAATTAATAAACACAAGCAATTTAACTTTTGTGCGTACGCCGATGACTACCATATATTTAAAAAATTAAACAATAGCTCTCAAATAGACATAGACCCTTTACTCACCGACATTCTCTCCTGGTGCGAGCATTCAGGGGCCAAACTCTCGCTCTCTAAATGCAAGCACCTCCATATTTGCAAAAAGCACTCCTGCCAAATCAAACTTTCTACCACTCTTACCCCTATAGAAAATACAGACAAATTAAAAATACTAGGAATTACATTTAACAAAAGATTTAACTGGCTGGACCATATATCTAACCTAACCGCTTCAATTTCAACACAGCTTAACATTATAAAATGCATTTCCAACAATAAATACAACTGCAGCCAGCTCAGCGTTATTCACACTATTAATTCCCTAATAATGTCAAAGATAGATTTCGGTATATTTCTTTACGGAAACTCCCCTGCTTCCTATTTAAAGCCAATTAAAACAATTTACCATTCCGCAATAAGATCTGCTCTTGGTGCCTTCCGCTCCACTCCCATATACAACCTCCTCTTCGAAGCCAACATGATGCCAATAGATATCAGAACAAAATTTTCCACAGCCAAACTTATTAGACAAATTTTACTTTCAAACGGATCACCACTGAAACCAACAATAGAAAAAATACTTAAATCAAGAAAGCCAAACCCTAATATTCCATCCGCCCTACATAGAGCCCTGAAATCAGTTTTAGATCTTGGTCTACCCTTCAAACCTTTTCCCCAAGAGAGACACCCTATTCCACCCTGGAATGATGTATCTTCCGCAATAGACATCTCTCTACACCAACTACCCAAACTCATTACTCCGTTACAAGTTTACCACCAAAAATTCCTAGAGCTGAAAAATACCTACTCATCTTACTCATTCATTTATACCGACGGCTCCAAAATGAACGGTGCAGCTTCTTTTAGCATAGTAGCTAATGATTCTCACCAGCAAAACCTATTACCTTACTACAGTTCCATCTATACAGCCGAAATTATTGCCATCCACAAAGCAACACTTTTATCGCAACTCTCTCCTCATCCTACAGCTATCTGTACTGACTCCCTTTCAGCAATAAACGCCATCTCCAATTCCACCAATACTTCATATTACCCATCTGCCATAAGACAATTACTATTAAAAAACATTAAAAAATTAAAACTAATATGGATTCCTGGACACTGCGGGATAAAAGGCAACGAAGATGCAGATAAGACTGCCAAAGACGCTTTTCTCCTCCCACTCACATTTCACAATAACTTTAATATCACAGATATCCTAAAACATATAAAAAAACATTTCAAATCCGAACAAATATCTCTTTTTCATCAAACGAACTCATACTACAATTCCAACAACACAAAAGCGAATACAATATACGACTACGGTCGAAATCAATCCAAGCTTTCAATTCCTCGCTCCACTTTCTCGAAAATTATTCGTTTAAGATTGGGCCACACCAACCTCACTCATAGTTACCTTTTTAATCGTCCTCACATAGCGCCCCTGTGCCCTATGTGCACCAACCAGCGTATAACCATTCAACATATCCTGGCGGAATGCCCACATTTACAACCTATACGAAATTCTCTATTCCCCACAATAAGCCCCGTCCAATCCCTTTTTGATCTCAATCCCCTTAATATAGAAACGATAATCCGATACCTCAACAATAGCAATACCCTTAAGGCCCTATAACATAATTTGTACATACAATAAGTTAAGCCCCGTCCTATATATTTATATGTAACAAATTTAAATATCCTTAACTGTTATTTAATGCTAGCTTAAGGCCTCGTAGCTATAGCTAAATATTTGTTCGCCTGTACATTTTACATTGCAGCCGAACTGTTAATAATAATAATAATAATAGGTGAATGTTTGTAGTGAATAGTACATACGTAAATTTATTGTACTTTAATGGATATAGACCAAATATAAAACAAGAATTGTGCTTATTGACAAGATCGGGAAACAAAAAATTTTGTTAAATTTACATAAATTATTAGTTTACTAATTTGCAGCTGCACAATGTCATTGTAGAATTAGTTACAGAATATAATTACAGTTTGAAGCAAATCGGTTTGAATTTTATTCTATCACAAATAATTTTCAGGAATTGCGATATATTGTTTTTTATATAAAACTCGTATAGGTTAAAAAATAATTAATGAAATTACCTATTTATAAAAATGTTGTTTTCGGTATGTCATATAAACACAATTACTATTTTATAGTAAGAATCCGTAGTTTATTATACGTATGTCTAGAATATAACAAAAAAAAAAAAACCAAATCCTCTCCCAAAAAGGTCTCTCATACAACGACAAATATAAAACAAGAACCGAAAAGTAGGTTACTTACCATAGACAAAAACTCATATGATACAATATACAAACATTCATACATACATACTTACATACGTTCCTTGGTTTATATATTTAACAATAGTGCAATGCATCAAGCGTATCAACAAGCAGCAACAGAAGAAGAAATCATTGGTTTCCACCAAAGCAAACATACATAAGTAAATAATATTATACTCGTATATTTGACAACTTACTATATAGTAGTTATATATGTATATGAGTATTGTAAACACCAAGAAATAAATGTATATGTACTGTTAGTTTTGGGAAGTAATCATATTTTATTTAATGTACATTTATGAATACAAGTATATATTATCTAAAACAACGCAAAACACCAATTTTTAGTATGAGCTATGTGAAAAATATGTGAAAGTGTAAAGGCTTTTATTACTTTATCTACATACCTGCAAAGGCGTCCAATTATAACTTTTCTAGTGGGCATAATTCTTAACAGAAGTATTGTAATGTCATATGAAAACAGCAGAATAGGAAATACCCATATTTATATACGTGTACATTGTTTAGAGAAATGTATGTGTATGTTAGTTGTATTTAGACGTAAGTAAATTCTCCTAAAGCGTTTGTGGCAAATATTAAAGTACATACATATACAGCTATATATTTTTGGGCATTTCTACTCTATACCCATAGAAAAATTAGAAAGGAACTTTATTGATAATATTTTGGCAAAAACAACTACTGATGTGCTATTTGAATAATAGTTGCCAATATAATAATTTACAACTATGTATACAAAAAAACATAAAATTCAAAATTTTTAATTGTGATTAGATTCGACAATCTCAAAAACCTATGAATACTTTATTTATACGATATTTTGATGATTTCATTTTCGAACTTTGCATAAATTTGGCAAAACGATTATACAATTTTAAAAACTATAGAACAACATTTAATTCCGAAAAATGATACATTTAAATAGAAATATTGCGAAAAAAAATCAAGTTGATATAGCAAACATAAAAAGTGCAAATCTAAGCCGATGTTCAAACCAAATATATACTATATTACATCATGTACTACTAAATGTTCAAATAACTGTTTACAAGTTTTATCAATACATATAAATATTATCTGTTACACTACAAAAACAATTAGGCGAAACTACATACTATATATTGAACTCACCGGCATTAGTTGAATGTAAGTGCTTGATTTCATAGCGACCACAAATGCTCGAGCCCCGGCAAGAACCTCGTTTGTTGGATGCAGGAACTCGCATGAAATCAACACACTACACAGGAAATAATAAAAAAGCATAGTTTTAATGAAATTCTCGGAAGAGATCACAGTAAGATTAAAACACCAATAATATATATAGCAGCAAAAAGATAGCAACAATGCATCTGCTGTCAAAATAAGCTTAAACATCAAAGAAATATAATGCCTGGATATTAAGAGAGTCTTCATACCAAGTTTGGTGAATGTGGACTGAACCATCTTCAAAATCCAGGCGTTCATCCAGACAGACGGACCCTTTTTACCCTACAGGTAGAGGGTAGAACAATAAAATAAAATATGCAAAGTGAAGAAAGTAAATTTGGAAAATATTTAAATATTGCAATAGCGTTACATACATATATAAATGTACTTATATAAATGTCTAACATTTCTAAATCCAGCTCATACTATACTTTCATATTTAAATAAATTTGATGTGTTAGCAGAAATCGCCTGTTTTTAATTGGCCCGCCGAATTCGTGACACGATGCTGATGTGCGTGCGTAAAGCTTTAAGCTTTCCGCTAAAAGCTTTTGACAGCACAGCTATCGAAGGTAAATAATGCATATGGTAGGGAAATACTATTACGTGGCAGCCGCAAATGACGTCACACGCTCACGTCTACTCTATGCGGTTGAGTGATTGAAGCTAAATGTACAAATTAGTACAAACCGGCTGCTGGCACGGAACAGTTGGGAAGCATTGATGCTGGTTGAATAGATAACAAGTGGAAATCGCAATACGCTTCATATTAATTGCTGACAATTATCAACAAAATGCCAAATCTCGCGCCCAAAATTACACTAAATAACGGCCAGAGGATGCCATTGCTCGGACTAGGCACCTGGCGATCATATGAGTCGGAAGCATATCACGCCACACGTGCAGCTATCGATGCAGGCTATCGCCATATAGACACAGCTTTTGTGTACGAGAACGAGCATGAGATTGGACAGGCGATTCGCGAAAAAATAGCCGAAGGAGTCGTTAAACGTGAAGACATTTATGTTACCACCAAGCTGGGTGGCATACACCATGATCCACAAGTGGTTGAGCGTGCATTTAAACTCAGCTTAAGTAATTTGGGCTTAGACTATGTCGACCTCTATTTAATGCATTTTCCGGTGGGTCAGAAATTCCACAATGATCGCAATGTGCATGGCACGCTTGAGCTCACCGATGTCGACTATTTGGACACATGGAGGGAAATGGAAAAACTAGTGGACACTGGCCTGGTGCGCAGCATTGGTCTCTCCAATTTCAATGCAGCCCAAACAGAACGTGTGTTGCAGAATTGTCGCATCAAACCGGTGGTAAATCAAGTGGAGTGCCATCCAGGTTTCCAGCAAAAGAAGCTCATAGCGCACGCCACTGAGCGGAATATCGTGATTTGTGCGTATTGTCCGCTTGCGCGTCCTCAACCCGCACGCAATTGGCCACCATTTATTTATGACGAGAAAGCGCAGGCATTGGCCAAAAAATACGAACGCACGCCGGCCCAGATTTGTCTGAGGTATCTTATTCAAATCGGAGTAGTACCGCTACCCAAGTCCTCGAGCAAAACCCGCATAGTGGAGAACTTTAAAGTATTCGATTTCGAGCTAAGCCCGGAGGACATGGACATTATGAAAAGCTATCACAGCGGCGTACGGACTGTGCCTTTCTCTGGGATGGCTAGTCACAAATACTATCCTTTCCATGATGAGTACTAGAGATGCATATGTTATATATTTTTTTGGGTGTTTGCTTTTCAAATAAACACATTCCGACCATTTTAATAAACGTTTTTATTTGCTAGTATCTTATCTACTTTGAGTATTTTACATTAAATACTATTGTATATGGGGAACACTGCGGCTATCTAAGCTAACAAGGTCTTATATTTGAATTAAAAAGCTGTATGAAATTGTTTATTCGATAAGGTCCGCAAGATTTGCGTTATCAAAAATTCAAGAGAAAGTTGTCTCCTACATTGTGAAATGGAACGGCGCTGATTGGACCTGTCCACTTGTTTAAAGCAATTAATCAAGCTGGCAGCACTATATTTTAAGCTTACTGTAAAGCTTCTTTAGCGCAATGGAAACTCTAGATGCCAACATATGTTCCTATTGCTACTGGATTAAACAAAACCGCTTCATTTAATAATTGTTCCGACATCTGCAAAGATTTATTGAAATGTCGCTTTTGGTACGACGCATATTACGAGCCCCTTGGCTGCTCAAGGTAAGTTTCTTCATTCTCAAATATAATGCATTGCACTAAACTATTCCTTAACAGAAACACTACAGTTCAGAGGACGCAGCTACTGCTGCAACAGGCAAGACAATACCCAAAAATCCGCTAGAGGACAAACAATCCGCACAACTGCAAAAGGAGAACGGTGCAATATTTGACAAGAAACCATTCAAAATTCACCTGGAGGAGAGTAAGCAAACAAGATCGCAGGCTGCCGTAACAAAATAGTTTACATAACCCCCCACCAATTATATTCCACAGATAAAAACTATAGTTGGTGCTTATGCGGAAAATCGAAATCTCAGCCACTCTGCGACGGCATGCACAAAAATGAATTTCTAAAGATAAAGCAAAGGTAAAGGGTAGAGATAATTCAGCTAACAACATAATCACTCTATTAATTTCCCAATAGGCCCATTAAATTCAGGGTTGAAAAGACCGGCGATTACTGGCTCTGCAATTGCAAGCAGACTACCCATCGGCCCTTCTGCGACGGCACACACAAACAGCCACACATCCAAGCGGCTGTCAAATAGTTCAAGCTATGGTCAGATTTGCAAATAGTTTGTTATGTCCGCCTTTGCCAGTGCATCCCCTGTCGTTACGCCGGCTAGCCATCGGCTCAGGGTCAGATTCGACCGCGACAGGGGTGCGGCAGACCAAGGCGGACATAACAAGATGGCGCCCAATATAAATACACCTGGGTCTACATTTTAGCAAATGTTGCCCCAGTTCGAAGCGAAGTTAAAAGCCAGAGTCTTGTTGTTTGTTTTTTTTGTTGATTTGTATTCTTTATTTAGTGTTTACATGTAAATTTCAACAGCAATAGCTGCTGGCGGCCCCTGAGCTGGCGGGAAACGGTGCAACTGCCAGGTCCGTGGGTGAGCTTCACTAGGGCTCAGCCCATCGTTGCCGCAGTTGCATCTTTCTTACAGCGCGGTGTAGGTTGGTAACCAGCAGAATAGGCGCAGCGAAGGAGCGAGTGTAGCAGGTCCGTGAGGGGTCTTGGTGCCCACTCATTGTTGCCCTACAGGGTGCTCTGAGGCTGGAAAGATAGAGAGTAATGTCTGTCAGGTGTTAAGTAAAGAATAGTCTAGTTGCCTTATGTTTTTTTTGTGTTAGTTACCGTTTTTTTTTGTGGTTGTTTGGTGGTTCTTATGAATGGTTGCGTAGTAGGTCCATGTCCTGTCCCAAGCGGAAGGAGCATCGTTGCCCTACGTAGCAGAGCATAGGAGCAGCAATTCGCCATAGCCCGAGCAAGATTTGAGTTTTTAGTCGGCGCCTGGAAGAAATTGGGTGGTGTAAAGCGTGCGATACATATGTGTTTGTTTTGGTTGTTTACCTTCTACAGTGACTGCGTGCCGTGGTGCAGCGTCATACTGAGGATCCTCATCTCACCCTTACATGTCTAGTGTTGAGCCTGTGAGAGTAAAGAAAGATTGTTTTGATTTATGCTATTGTCTGTTAGTGTTAATTACCTTTTATTTATTTATTTGCGTAGCAGCAAATAAATTATCAATAGACAGGGAGTCCATTGTGAATGGTCCCGGTCAAGCACAGCTGTTCCTGGGCTGAACCATCGATATTAATAAGTATCGACAGGGTATTTTGGCACAGATTAGCAGGTCTGTGCATAGGGCGGGAATTTGAAGTTCGACTTATCGTTAGTTTGTTTTTTTTTGGAGTAATTTTTTTCACTTAGTATTTTTTTTGTTAAGTCTTTTGGTATACATTTATTTATTCTCATTTATTTATTCTTATTTATTTATTCCTTTTTTTGGTTGTGTGTTTGATGGTATTCCTATATATATATATACATAAGCATTTGATTGGATTAAATAATCCAACGGGTACTTAGCTAAGGATATTATCCCCGCTTATCATTTAAGAAAACACATACATACGAGTGGACCGATCTATTTATTTATTCGGAGTTTGCTCGTTTATAATATAGATATAGTTTTTTTTGATATTATAATCGGCGGGTACGGATCCGAGTACTAGCAGTGGTTTTTTTTGGTTTGGATTAACAAGGTACTGGGAAATGAATCTTGACCCGAATGTTACCCGGAAGGTCAGGCGGAGTCAGGAGTTTATTAGAAATAGGCCATTGGTTCACTTGGACTCTCCTCCTCACGTAGGATTGAGTGAGGCGGGCAAGCCAGCAGAAGCACTCCATGATGACGCATCGCCGCCGAGTGTAAACGAGGCAGCGTTCCGAGGATTCGGGGATGAATTTCCGAACAGTTCCGGAGCAACAGCCGGCGCACGCGCGCATGACTATGGCGGTGAAGAGCAGAGTGGCAGAGCCGAGTCTGCGCTGCCAAGCGAAATTCGGTCAGCGATCAACGTGGCATTAGCACAGGCCCACGAGACGTATCGCGCATCGTTGTCGTCAGAAGTAGAGGCCATTCGAGAGACGATGCAGGCCAGCATGCTGTCGTTCATGCGCGAGATTAATGAGGCAGTGGCAGCGCTGAGGCAGGAGAAAACGCATAGCGCGCCTCCGTCTGTAGCACAGGCGCCGGTGGGCAGGCCAGAGCGAGCTCACGCGCAAATGCAGCGGCCAGCCTTAGGCGGGTACGAGCCGGCAGAGAAAGAAAGAGATTTTGTAAGTAGTAGACCAGCAGCTGCAGCACCGACTCACCTGTTCGTCGACAACCGAACTTTAGAGGCAGAACAGCGGGCACATGTGGAGCAGCGGCAGTTCTCAGCCGATCCGTGGATGCGCGATTTGGGCCCTGACGTGCACAGGCCATTAAGGCGAACCACGATGGGAGACTCCCGGCCCGACGTCGTCCACATCAGAAAGTGGGGCCTTGTATTTGATGGCGAAACCAAAGGAATGCCGGTGGCAGAGTTTATATTTCGATTGGAGCATTTGCAGTCCTTGTATCAGGTGCCCTGGGCCGACGTGTTGCGAGACTTCCACTGCCTGGTGAACGGGAGAGCGAAAGATTGGTATTGGATGTACATACGTACCTCGGGCGTGCCGGACTGGCCGAATCTCCGATATGGGCTGCAGCAGCAATTTCAGACTCGAAGATCGGAGTTTGAACGAGAGCAGGAGCTGAGGGAGCGGAAGCAGCGGCATGGCGAGAGCATAGAAGAGTATATTCAGGCGATGCTGGTGTTGCGTTCTCGGTTGGTGTGTCCATTTTCGGATTATGACCTTATTAAGGTGATAAAGACAAATATTAAAGACACCGTGTCTAGGGTCATCTATCCGATGAATATAACTAATCTGCAGAAGCTGAGAGAGGAGTGCCAAGACGCCGAAAAGATGCTGGCAACGCGTTGGGCGCGGCCCTCAGCCAGTACCAACTACGGGCAGCAGCGAGAGCAGCATCGAGTACACGAGCTGGACGTGGTAGCAGAAGGTACACAAGGCGGCCAACTGGAGCATTTGGAGGCGGTATATAGGCCACATGAAACTGGTGGGAGCCGCTCGAATCTCAAGTGTTGGAATTGTGCACAACCAGGGCATACATATTTCGATTGCGAGTCGGCGGTGCGCAATATGTTTTGTTTCAAATGCGGACAGCCAGGCGTGGTGCTGCCAAGATGCCCGAAATGCCGTCCGGGAAACTCGGAGAGGAGTCCGACGCAGCCGGAGGAGTCGCACTCTCGGTAGACGGTGAAACGCGTACCTCCGATGATACAGTAGTTAGGATAGGAATTAGTAGCGATAAGGATAGTACCGTTAGTCATATTTACTCACAGATATATAAAGTCAACCAGGCAGTCCCACCGAAGAAAGTATGGTCGCAGCGGAAACCCTTGGAGCAGCGTCAGCGCGACTATGAAGTAGCCAGGAACCGCATATTTGGTAGCCAGCACGAACCGGATGCGAGAGGGGCGTCGAAGACATCCTTGCGGGCGCGTAGGAGACACCGCGAACGCCGACAGAAACGCCAGGCGGTGTGTGCCGCGGTGAATTCTGCATGTCGTTCCGATAGCCGCCCATATGCTACGGTAGCGATTGAAGGCAGAGAATTTACCGGTCTGTTGGATACCGGGGCGTCGGTGAGCTTGCTGGGAAGTGGTGCCATAGAGTCGGTCCGAAAACTAGGTTTGGTGGTACGCGAAAACAAATCCGCGGTAAGGACAGCCGGCGGCGCGCCACATTGCATTATTGGCAGCGTGATGGCGCGCGTTAGGTATAACGGAACAGAGTCGGAAATGGTATTCCACGTTTGCCCGTCGTTGTGCCAACCGCTTTATCTGGGCGTGGATTTTTGGCGCAGGTTCGGTTTGGCTCCGAATGTGATCCCGGCTGTGGACGAAGGACAGCACGTGGCTGAGTTGGAGGAGGAGCGCTTAGGAAAGAGTACGCCAACGGAGCCACACGATTTAGAGGCGTGGCAACAGGAGAAGTTACAGCGAGTCGTGGCCCAATTCAGATCCTTCGAGGAGCACGGTCTGGGTAGGACGCCAGTGGAGCAGCACCACATTCAGTTGACGGAGGGGGCACTGCCAGTGAAAGAGCGTTTTTATCCCGTGTCGCCGGCAGTGCAGGCGCTATTGTTTGCAGAAGTCGACGAGATGCTTCGGCTAGGGGTTATCGAGCCAAGTGAGAGTCCATGGAGCAACCGAGTGACTTTGGTGAGGAAGCCTGGAAAGAACCGGTTGTGCTTAGACGCGAGAAAGCTAAATCAGCTCACGGTGAAGGATGCTTACCCACTCCAGAGCATTGAGTCGATCTTGAGCCGAGTGGAGGATACCATTTACATCAGCAGCCTGGATCTAAAGCATGCTTTTTGGCAGATCGAACTGGATCAGGAAAGCCGGCAGTACACCGCGTTTACGATACCAGGAAGGCCACTGTATCAATTTAAGGCCATGCCGTTCGGGTTGTGCAATGCGGCGCAGCGCCTTTGCCGGGTGATGGATAAGGTGATTCCCCAGCGTTTGAGAAGCCATGTATTCGTGTACCTGGACGACCTTCTCATAATATCCAGAACGTTTGAGGATCATTGCAAGGTGCTGCTGGACGTGGCAAGTGCTTTGAAAGTAGCCAATTTGACGATTTCCTTAAAAAAATCCAAGTTCTGCTACAAGTACTTGAAGTATCTGGGGTTTGTGGTTGGCGATGGTGCGTTGCGGACGGATCCAGAGAAGGTCGAGGCGATTCGGGCGATTTCCTTGCCGACCAGCGCAAAGCAGCTCCGCCGATTCTTGGGGACCGCTGGCTGGTATAGGCGTTTCATTCGGAATTTTTCCACGATTTCCGCGCCGTTAACGGACTGCCTGAAAGGCAAAGGAAAGTTCCAATTATCGGGCGAAGCGGTTGCGGCATTTCAGGAGTTGAAAGGGGCACTCACCTGCGCGCCAGTGTTGGTGCATCCAGACTTTCGGAAGCCGTTCGTGATCCAATGTGACGCGAGCCAAGCGGGCATAGGAGCGGTTTTGTTCCAACTCGATGCAGACGGGGCCGAAAGGCCGATAGCTTTTTTTTCAGCGAAGCTTCGGGGCGCTCAGCTGAGCTATAGTGTCACCGAGAAGGAATGCCTGGCTGCAGTAAAAGCGGTCGAAAGATTCCGGCCGTACGTTGAATTGATGCCGTTTAAGGTGGTGACTGATCACGCCAGCCTGCGGTGGCTGATGTCATTGAAGGAGTTGGACGGTCGATTAGCGCGGTGGTCGTTGGCCCTGCAGAGGTTCGATTTTAATATTGAGCATCGGAAAGGCAAGGAAAATATTGTAGCCGATACCCTCTCACGGCCTTTCGAACTGGAGGAAGTTGATTTTTTTGATTTCGAGACAACCGAGTTCGAAGGTGCGGAGTATACCGAGCGGCTGAAGCAAGTGCGGGAGAACGCGGAGCTATTTCCGGATTTACGCGTGGAGGATGGGCTGTTGTATAAGCGGGCGCAGTTCACGCGGCCCGAGCGAGAGGAATTTTCCTGGAAGCTCTGGGTACCGCGTCCTGTGTCCGCAGCCCTTATACAGCAGGCCCATGAGAGCGACGCGGCTATGCATGGGGGCATGAAGAGGACCATAGAACGGCTCAGGCAGTTTTTTTTCTGGCCCGGGATGGTGGCACAGGTGAGGAGGTACGTTGCCGGCTGTGAAACGTGCAAAGCAACAAAGCACAGCACGCAATTAGCGAGGCCGGTAATGGGCGCCGAAACCGTATCGCTCCGACCAATGCAGAGGCTGTATCTGGATTTTCTGGGGCCGTATCCGAGGTCCAGGAGAGGGAATACCACCATTCTGGTTGTTCTTGACCATCTGTCCAAATTCGTGTGGTTGCGAGCGATGCCAAAAGCAACCGCGGCGGCAGTGGTCCGGTTTCTGCAGGAGGAGGTGTTTCCGGCATTTGGAGTCCCAGAAACCGTCCATACCGACAACGGTAAGCAATTTGTGGCCAACCAATCCAAGCCAACCATCACCCACGTACGCACGGCGAACTATGCCCCACAGGCGAATGCGGCGGAACGCGTGAACCAGACAGTGTTAGCGGCCATCAGGACATATGTACAGGGCGACCACACGAAGTGGGACGAGAAGCTCTCGGACGTGCAGTGTGCAGCACGCAGTGCTATCCATGGCAGCATCGGCACGTCCCCGTATTTCGTTTTGTTTGGGCAGCACATGTTCACCAGCGGGAAGGATTACAAGCTGGCACGCAAGTTGGGGGCGCTGGAGGATGCGGAATTGCGCATGTTGCCCAGATCGGATCAGCGGAAGGCAGTGCGGGATGAGGTACAGCAGAGTGTCCACCTGGCATATGAAAAGGCGAAACGGCAATACGATAAGCGTGCGAGGATGGTAGCGTACGTACCTGGCCAGGAGATTTACAGGCGAAACTTTGTCCTCAGTCGTTTTAAGGACAACGTGAACGCGAAGCTGTGCCACAAGTATGTGAAATGCCGTGTCCGGAGCAGCGTGGGCAACAGCCTGTACGAGTTGGAGGACATGCACGGGCGTCGGTTGGGAGTCTTCCACGCCAAAGATTTAAAGCAATAGCTAAGGCCCGGCTTTGTTCGTCGGTAGACCGAGAGACCCATCTCAGGGTGTGGGCGGTGGCCTACGTTGGGCAGAGAAAGAACCGCGGCGCTTCTCACTCCCGTTTCTTCCGTTTGGCACCAAAATAAAACCGGAGTGTGGTGTTATGTGCGGCGCGGCAGTATTGGGAAACCACAAATGTCGTCGGACAAAAGGAGTGGCAACTCGCGCGATTGGCAGCTGGAGCGGGCCGATAACAAGTACTCGTGCGTGAGGGGTGAGGACCAGTGCTACCAATTAGGAGGGTTGCAAAGTGGGTAAAATAGCAATTCCGGGGGAATGGCAAGTCGTGGCCTTAGGGAAGAAGAAAAATCAATTGTGGACAGTGAGCGAGAGACACGTGCTATTGCGGGAAAAAACAAAAAAAGAGACAAAATAAGCGGAAGACAATATTCAAACACCGGAGTGACGACAGGAGGGTTGGGATATACACCAGCGAGGCTTCATAGGCAGAGGTAAGGGTCTAAAAAGGGGCCAGTGTGCCAGTGACTAATTTCTTACTATATGTAATAGGAGTAGCAGTAACTGCGGGCGTTCTGGGAAGTGCGCTGTGCGCGGGTCAGCACCGACCGGCAGTACTGGGTCTTAGGCCGGACCTCGGCCCTAGCGGAAGTCAGGCCAATTTCCATGCAACTGGAAGTCTGGGCTAAGTACCCTTCAACATTAAAATACTAAATATTCACACACATTCCGCTCAAACATAGAACCAAAATTTTATATACACCCTACATACATATACATAGCCATCTCACATACACCAGTGCAGCATATAACACAAAATTCAACTAAATACTCACACATATTCCGCTCAAACATAGAACACAAAATTTTATATACACCACACACTCCTTTATATACACTCCATACATGTTCACATACACCATATTCAAACACACACCGAATTTCCATAGCACTCAGACTCACATTCATCCCATAGCCACATAATATAAAATACAAAACAAAAACAACACCCAAACATTTAACCATATTGTAATACACACACGCCCATAGCCACATAATGTAAAATACAAAACAAAAAAACAACACACAAAACAATTAACAATTTTCTGTTAGACACATAGCCCAAACCATTCACAACATAATATAAAACATTAAACAGAAACACAACACCAAACAAGTAACCATATTGTAAACAAAAATTCAAATGTATACTTAAGAAAAAAGAACATAAAAAAAAAAAAAAAAAGAAAAGTAAAAGAAAATGTATAAAAACTAATATAAGCAAAAGAGGTTGGAATGTGTATTGGAGCGGCGCAGTTTTTTTTTGTTTATCTCCTTGTCATTACATATCATTACACCCCTCATAACCACATACTCGAGTATAGGTAGGTTAGGAGGTTCGAAAATCGAATAAGATAAATAGGCACAAAGAGCCAACAAACTGCAGCGTCCCAAAACTCAATGGCCTAAATACCCGAATATATTTTTATTGTAATAAAATTTAAAATTTGAAAATGAATCTGGAGTAGAATCCATTTATGGGGTGAGATGGGGTGACTAAAGTCCCGGAGCAGAAGGAAAACCAAAGTGAGCATGTTGAAGGGAGCCGGCAACAAAATGCCAAAACCGGCTCAAGGTAGGGAGGGCCACGCGGCTACATGACACCAAAGTAGCCACAACTCCACCCAAATTCCACAGGCGTCCCTCAGCCGACAATATGAGTAGGTGTGTTTGATAAAAAAATATAAATTCATTGTTGGTCTGCCGCACCCCTGTCGCGGTCGAATCTGACCCTGAGCCGATGGCTAGCCGGCGTAACGACAGGGGATGCACTGGCAAAGGCGGACATAACAAGTTTCAACAGAAATTTGTCGAATTCGCAAAACCTTGTAAAATAACACAAAATTGAATTATTTGCAAATGTGACGTTAAGCTACTCGAAAATTCAAAATTTTTTTTTCAAGCATTTCTTATTTGAATTATTAATTAGAAATACAGAAATTTTGAATCAAGCAACATGGGCCTATATTTTGTTTTTAGTTTATGAATACGTTTCTATATGAACCATTTTTAATACACAGTTGATTCTTAAATGTAATTTTATATGTAGGCGTATTAAATCATGTTGTATGAGCTTCAAATGTCAACAAAATATTTACAGCTTTCCCAAAGAGTTGTCATACAATAAATTGAAATTTCTACACATTAGACCCCAGCATGCGAACAATCTGCACTTCAGAAACAATAGTGAGATTAACTTTATTATTATTTGTGTTGATGGAAACTAAAGTACGCGGTAAATAAAAGAAAATTGTGTTTGTTTAAAAATTAGAAAGATGCTTGTGTTTATTTGATTTTATAACGTTGTTCGAATTTTTACACATAAATATAGAACTAAAAGAATTGAGAGCAAAATTACTTAAAACTATATTCATAATATTATTTAGTTACAGTCTGCAACTATATCATTAGAAATTGAAAATTCAAAAAATCATTTTTATAATGCCATCAATGTTATATACTTCACATATACACTTCGCTCCTTCAGATTTTTATACTAGACACACAACAACAAAATTTAGCATGTGCTGCACACCCACATTCAGATACATACTAGATATCTATAAAGCCACAATTCCCTAATTTGACTTGGGGAACATAAAAACAACTTCGAAAACTCAAATTAGACAATTAGACATTCGAATATAAGTATTTCTGTAATGTTAATAACATTGTTTAACAAAATTTCGCAAGCTCGGTTTGGAGTTTGTTGTCCAGTGCAAACAATTGTCAGCATGCTAGGCATTCTCAGATTTATTTTTAAACACCGAATTTAATTGCAGTACATTAGATTATATAGAAAGCAGTGGCGTCAAGCAACAACGAATTATTGAAATTAAATGCATTGTTCGATTAATTATAATTACATAAATTTGCTTTAAATAATTAGAGCAGCATTGTGGTCTACTACTCGAAAAAGTGGAGATATTAGTTTTGTATTATACACTTGACGCCACTGTTGCCTTTGCCCACACAGGCTGTCTCCCACATTATTTTCGCGTTTGGTGTTTACGATTATGTTTATATATAAGCTTTAATTTTTTTTACAACATCGGCCTGACGTTCCGTTTGATCTTGTTATGCTGGTATTGGTTACTATTATCAGTTGTTATAGGCTTTGTTTTCATTTTGTTTCTTCTCCGTCTCAGCTCCCCCGAACATGTATGCAGCATATGATTTCTGTGTGTTGCTGTTGTTGTTGATAGTGGTTGGCTAGCAAGCGTGCTCTTAATATTCCTCATCCTCTGGTGGTGCATCGTCTGGAGGCGCAAAGCCATCCTGTTATTGAGTAAACGAAATAATTAGCAAAAAACAATTTAAATTTTTTGTATTTATTTGTCACCTCAGTCGCATAAAGTATGTCCAAAATCTTTTGAATCAGTGGATGCGTTTCACCATCATCAGCTTCCTGGCAACTGCACGTATTTTCAATTTAATTGAATTTAATTAGATTTGGTTCTTTTTATATATTGTGTTTTTTTGTTGTTCATACTCACAGTATTTCAATGTCTCGAAGCTTCGAGAAGTAGAAATCACGCTCCTTCTCCAATCCATCCAAATTCAAACGCATGTCCATTACCTGGAAAAGGAATGAACATCAATTTAATTAAATTTTTAATAATAATTTAAGGTGTTCCCATCCACGAAATGGTTCAAAAATGATTATAGATACGTATGACTCATGATAAAGATTGAAAATATTTTTAGAGGAACTACGCAAGGGCCCAGTCATATCTATCAGAGCTTTCAAAGACGGTTCTAAGCTAGATAGCCCCGTTAGCGGAGGTGTTTCCTGCCTGAGTCATCTATCCCTGAACACCGCGACAATCTAAACTAGGCCTTACTATATATTATATATGTCATCTACTAATTGAAACGTCATTCTATTTCTCCTGACGACCCAATATTAAATCTTAAAACTAGCATGTTTTATAGAATGTTATGAAGGAATTTCTCCTTTAGCGCACTCGAAGACTACAACCATTAAATTAATGTTCTATTTGTTAAAATTATAAAAACTAGCGTATCACCATACATTAGAGGACTACTCGCTTAAACACGTATTAGTTAGACACAAACTAATTTGTTTTTAATTAAATTCGAATAAGTATTGGACAATATAGGGATACTCTTTCAATGAAGAGATTTGTGCATTCCACAAATTTTTTAAGGTCTTTGTGATTCTGTAAAACGTATTTCTTAAAACATGAGCGCACTAAAACTATTTTGTGAAGTAGTAGTCTTATAGTTTGTTTGTGGATATATGTATGTACATACATATAATCACAGGATTTGTTCTTTGCTTTATAGAAAAGGTTGTCTGAGTCGCCGGGTAAAAGTGAATCGTTTTTACAATAGTTTCAAAAGATATTCCCAAGATTGTAGTATTCGTATACGCACCTGATTAGACAACTCTTCAATTTGTTGACTGGACACAGCATTTCCGGCATCGTTCTTCTTCACCGCGCCAGTGTTGTTTGATGCACCTCCGATTCTGCCAGGCGGCGTTGCATTGTTCGTACGTGGCAACACTTTTGAGACTGCTTGAGTGTTCAAAGAATTAATAGAGAGATTATGTAAATGTTCAACAACTTCAAAGCAAATGGGAGTGATATTTCTGACTACGATAAAAAATACGAATATTTTTCAAATTTATTTAACAAACGTGAAGCACGTGGTATGATGTTTAGTTGTTATGGTATTTGTTTTCTTTTCTTCTTTCTGTTTTGTGTGCATTCAGTTTTGTTAAACCAGAGTGTCAAAGTGTAAGAAAATAAAATAAGTATAATGACCGAGTGAGTAGTGCTTCTAACTCTATAAACAATTTACATATGTACAAAATGTAGGAGGGATCATGAATGGAACTGAGCGATTTATGTTCACCGAGTAACCAAAACAACATACTGGGCTTTGTGGCTGTCGCTGTCGCTGCGGGGCGTGCCGCTGATGTGGGCGCACGCCTGTAGGTGCTGCCAATGCCGGAGCCGCCCGTGCCCGGCAATGATTTTGCTGCTCCCGAACCGAAGCCCATTGGTGCACCCTCGCGCACTGCGCTGGCATCATAATCTCTGCCATCGTAGTTAGCGTCGAAGAATTTTTTGAACCATTGCAAAAATTCGAAATTATCTTGGAAGCGACCCTTTATCAACTTGTCTATGGGTATTATCTAAAAGTAAAATGTGTGAAAAAAAACATATGCAGAGGTATATGTGAAAACAAGGCGCGAGAGGACAAGAACACAATAAGAAATTGATTGTTGATAAACAGTTAAATGGTACAAAAATAAACGAAAAATCAAAATCAAAACACATATGAGATACAAAGGAGATTTGTTAGTATCAGGAATTGGAGAGACCACCATGTGCGTTGTGTGTATATTTGTGTGTGTGTGTGTTTGTGGACGTCAACATACTTATGTGTGGGTGCAGTGCGTGGTCATAACGTTGAATCGCAGTTTTGTGATGTGTGTATGAGAGAAGAGAGAATCGGATTCTCTAAATGGAGTCCCACACTTTAAACGCGTGCTTCACGTTCATTCATCAAAATTTCAACTCTATAATCGAGCGCATTCGACTATTGAATACACTGTACCAACATTTCGATTTTATTATTTTTTTTTTTTTTTGTTATCATTAAATGTTAATTTTGGAAGATTTCATGAAGCTAGTATGAACGATTGAAACCTTGAACGGACAGACTATTATTATTATTTTCTGTAGTTGAACATGCTTGGTATTTTGTGCTTTCCACACCTTTTGCAGATCAGCAGACCTCCTGCTCATGTTGGTGGTACAGAGTATAACAAATACATATATGTATATATATAGAACAATGCAGAAATAACGCTCATACAGCCACCAGCACCACCTTCTTCATTTTGCTCTTGATTATTTTGATTCAACAAGTCCGTACCAGTTTGGCTGCGCTGTATGTTGGGCGCGGTAGCGGTAGCCACACCGCCAGCTGCCAAGCGACCACTATTTGGCATTTGTATTTGCCGGCGATGCATCAAATGTATATCATTATGGCTACTGCCCACGCCGCTGCCTCCATTGCTGCCGCCGCCACCACCGCCGACGCTGCCAGTGCCGCCCACGCCGTTGCCCAGTTTGACTCCATTACGCTGAGCCAATGGATCGTACTCACGTCCATCATAATTTGCATCGAAGAACTTCTTGAACCATTGTAGAAACTCGAAATTGTCTTGAAAACGCCCCTTAATAAGCTTATCAACTGGTATTATCTGTTCCATCATAGTTTAAGTTGTTCAAGTAGTTGTCGTTTTCGTTGTGATGGTTGATGTTATTGTTGTTCACATATTTGATATTTTGTAACGGAAACGGCAGTTAGTTACAACATAACATTTAGATGGTAGTAGTAGTAGTAGTAGTAGTATACGTATGTATCTATGTATATTTTTGTGTTTGTTTAAATAATTAAGAAAAGGCATGTCTAGTGTCTCTGATTTGGTCCAACAACAACACACGCCACACTTTTGATTGCCTTCAATTGCCTTTTCTCCACTTTTTATGTCTCGTGTACATGTATATATAGTATATAAGTATGTGTATGTTAATTACAAAATCATGCGTAAATCAAATTAAATGAGCTGTAAAAACAAATAGCAATACGATCTATCAATACATCCCCCAATACCTTACCTTGTCCACAGACATTTTTTTGAAGCCCGCCTGCAATATCTTAAAGTTCTGTATGTATTCATGTTCCAGATTTGTGCGGAATTTAACACGCTTGATGGGCACTGAATTCGGGAATAGCATGTCCATAAACTGACAATACGCGGCCCCTAAAAATGAAATCGATTAGTTAAAACGCAACGGAAATTGCCCCAGCGTGAGAGAATGAGTTTATTCATTAATCACCCAAAACTCTTGTCACTACTTACCGGTACACAATTCCTCAATTTTTGAGAACTGCGACTGCAGGCAATCATTGACCCAGGCCAACATATCATGACGCGACAAGTTATCCGTTGTGACATTTGTGGAGTAAACGTTAACAGCCATGTTGTCTCTCTTTGTAGCAACTGGAACTGGAAAATGTAATTTTATTGGTCAAGAGGTAAACTTCTTAAAAAATCAACTTTAGCCAGATTAACTTTTTCTAACTTAAGCCCGAAACGTAAATAGGTATTCTACAAATTCTGAATAAAAGGCAGAAAGAGGCTTGGCCTCAATCGTCCGTATAAGCACCAGCAACTTTTGAATTGTAACATCTACAGACACTCAAGTAACATAGGAACAAACTCTTTACAATTTTTTTTTAAATTTAAATTTAATTTTTTAAATTTAAATTTTTTTTTAATTGTTTAAATATTTTTCATTTTTAGGACTGCTCTGGATTAACTATTATTATTTTAAATTACCTTTGTAGGCTGGTGTAAATTTATTTAATTGATGTTAAGCCTACTTTTATACTTAAAAGGTAGGAAGAATAAATTTTGTGTGGGAGCGGCCCATTTTTGAACTCACTTCGAATTTTGTGTAGCCAACTGTTGTTAATTAAGCCCGATTATAATTGTTTTAGCTGTGCATTGATGTGGCACACACATATTTATATACAAACATGTGCGTGTTCAATATCAAGATCACGATATACAGTGGTAACAACAAATACAAGAAACGGCAAACAGAAAATCATTGCAATCAAGCAGACAATGTTTTGCGAGACAGATATGTGCAAACAAACATACTTATATATACACAAACGTACATACATAGGTACGTGAGTAATTTCAACTAAAAAGTGGCCAACAGTACACGAATTTCTAAAATTGGTTGAAAGTTGTGTGGCAAGTTAATTTCGCTTTTAAATTTATGTTTGCTTTTAAGCAAATACTTCAATGATTGAGAAAAACGTTTGCCGCATCAACGGATGGTCAAGGCCGATGCTTTTACAGACCATAAATAAAAATGAATTTAAACGTATAACAAACTATAAAACATCAAAGACTTTCAGGCAAATTATTGATTCTTATGGAAGGTGAAGGACAATTTCTGCATTTCTATCATCTTCTGAATTTATTATTTACACATACGAGCAGATCTTTCAGCTGATGCCACAAAGGCACACAATAAGTATGTAAGGCTTACATGGTTCCCTTAGGTTGGTCGTCTTCTTCTTAACTTGATTAAGGTAAAATGCACTGCAAATATTAAATTTATCTCAACAATATAAAAAAATGTTTTAGAAACGTTTTTACTCTATACAGGATATAATGAACAAAAAACAACTGATATTTTTAGACGTTAAAGTTTTTTTATGAGTTTTCAGTACGAATGTCTATTAGTTATATAACGCAACGCCTTCTGTGACCCCAATTTTTTTTTTTTGCTCCTAACAAAACTGGGAATATTTTTTCGGATTATCAATATTACTGCTGATTACGGTAGTTTAAATTGAGCAAGTAGTCTAAAATAATCGAAAGAAACAATCATGAATGTCTGCAACATTTAGAAACATTTAGGGACTGTTTTTAACGCACTAAAAAGGAGCTTAGCGAAGGGTGGGTGAGTTCTGAGCCTGCATAGAACAAGCCACACCCGCAAATACGTACACACATGTGTACATATGTCTACATAAGCGATAGACATATAGATTGTCTTACTTCTTACAATAGTAGTCTCCGATAAATAATTTGAGGCCCGTCGTCACTAAACTTTCACAGCGTAAAGTGCAAATCGAGATGCACACAATCAGAAATATAAAATTGGAATGAAAATAAACAGCAATAGCAACAACAAAAACAGAAGCGACAGCAGAAACAACAACAACAACCGCCAAACGATATGAGACTTGAGCGCTCGAACAATGAACTTGTACTGTTCTGTATTATAAATTGTGTGACTGGCTGGATGGCTGGCTGGTCGTTGGAATTGCCGCCTCTCGGCATTTGTCAACGCTTCGCTGCCACCGAAGCCGCCGATGCCACCGATGGTTCTTGACGCAACCGCAGGCCCAATAAGCAACCGAAGCATAATGTTAGTCATAGGCAAAGGCGAGCGCCGCTGCGTCAGCGTTTCTTTGGCATTATCATCAACAAGAACAACAACATGACAGTCTGACAGTATGCAATGTGAGTTGGCTAACAACAAACGTGGGCTCTTGATAAAGAATTAGCCGGCATTTTAGAGCACAGCGGCCAAGAGCCAGCAGCCCAATGAAATGCGCCTAAAAATACCAACCATGAGCTCTCGCGCTGTATGCCGCCGCATGCATGTGTGTGTGTATATGTTGCCCGTATTTCCGTAAAGTTTTGCCACGCTACCTTTGTGGCAGGCACAAGTACATTGACCCCTAAAAGGGCGGTGCGCGTACTGTGCTAAACTTATTGCGGAACTCCATTCAAATGTGAGCTGCTGTTGTACTCTTTGTTGGAGCATATTGTAGTATATTGATTTAAATGCGCCCCAAACTGTGGGCAGCAACAGAGCTTAGACTGAAGAAAAAGCGAGGTAGAGCGCTGCTCCAGCAAAATTGTGCCCCAAATACAACAAGTTGGAAAAACTCATTACTATTTGTAGAAGGGAGCGGAGAGAAGAAATTTGTTTGTTGTGGTGTACAATCTGTCAATAATGTTTGTTTTGTCTATATATGTTGGGGGTGAGCGGATCAGTCGCTGAAGCGGAAGTCCCGCAATTGTGAACTAATTAAGCCAGAAAAAAACCGAATAAACTATGGACTGCTCACAAGTTAAACAAAACAGCGCACAATAAAACAATAAAAAACAAATATATAAAAAGAAATTGTGTGGTTGGCTGTTTTTGGTGAAAAGCGTTTTGGCCATCATCGCCATCATCATTATTTTTGTTATCAACAACAATGTGGAAGTGTGTCAAACGTTAAATACCAAACAGCTTCTCACGCATAGCACACAACAAACAATAAGCCGCTGTGGCATGCAAAAAAATGTATACTGGGAATATTAAAAGCTTAAATCATCTACAAGTATGTAGGTGTGCATGTTTGAAAGTATGTGTTAAACCCGTACCAGCGCCAACCGCTGACCAATTCTTTGTACGTCGGCGTTGGCTGATGTCGGCAATTAACTGAATCAATAAAAATAGTATCAGATTAAAAGAAAACCAGCCATGTATTGAAATGGTTGTGAGTAACTGAACACCTATCAGACAGACACACACGCACACACACACACACACACAGCGGCCAACAATAACAATCTGCGGGGGTTGACCAGCCATAATCAGGTTGACACATGCAATGACGTCATGTGAAATGAATTTGAATTGCCATTAACGTTCGACTAGCGGCATAAACAGAACAGCCAGTAACCAGACGCAACAAAAAACACCTGAGGGACAACAGTCTGGTTCTGGTTTCTGTAAAGAAAATATGGTTTCCCAACAATGCACACACGGAAATGGAAATGCAACGCTACAAAAGAAACCATGTAGACACCATAGAAGTAATGCCCTGAGGCACGTGCAACAGAAAGAGTGGGACACTATGAAATGGCAAAATGAAGTGGCAAGCAGTAAAAAGGCAAACAAGAGTCGGCGACGATGGCAGCCTGAGTGACGATGCAGATTAGCTGAGGCACGAAAGCGTACGGATTATAATTGCTGCATTGGAATTTTTATGTGCCGCTAGTGTAGTTTTGTTGCACGCACACCACCACCACGCCAGAAGGATGCACACATATTTTATTTTTGGGCACACGCGGAGAAAACATTTACGCCTGCAACTGCAACTCAGCGGCGGCGGCGACATTTAAATATCTACGCACACGAACACACAACAAAGGCGCTCGCTTCCGCAGCATGCGTACATATGCATGTACGTATGTACATATATGCATATACATACATACATACATTTATGCTTGTATGTGTATGTGGCACTGGCACGCTGATGTACAGATATTTTTCTTTACTTGGGCGCTTACACGCGCTCAAGTGCTATGCACTTGAAGTTTTCGACAAAGCTATTTTAAAATCACCGCACACACTCATATTTATTGCTGATGAACTTTCTTTTTGCTGACGCTACTTCTAGATTGCCATTTTTTGCACAAGATGGGCGAAAGAAAAAGAGCCGCAACAACTACCAATGCACACACACACGCAACGGCAACATTTGCCGCTTACTGCGCTTTGTGGTTGGCAAATTTAAATGCAGTATCACTCACCTTTTCAACTACTATTAATTTATGGTCGTTTTTCGAATTTATTTTCTGTACAACTACCGAATAATTTAAACTTTTTGACTAAGAAAAGAAACACCACTCTGACAAGCCGTTCCGTTTTCAGCATACTAATGTGACCATATCACAAAAGCCAAAAAATACTACTGGTTCATTACCAAAAGTATTAGTTGCTACAAGACATCGAATAATACTGAAACACCTACCCCGAAAGGGTAGGTAAATACTGAAAAGCTGACATTAACGGAAAAGTTGTAAGACCAGAAAATATGTAAGCAACCATTTCTAGTTTCAAAAAATTCATACTATTCACAAATTAAAATCACCAATTGCACAATTCCACAATTTCGACCAATGTCATGCTTACAGCTAATAAATGCAACAGTTTCAATTTGAAGTGCAGACATTAAATGCCACTTCATGTAAATGCCTTTCCCTCTGTAATCGGTACCCGATCCAACCGATCCCTACATACGGAAAACACCGAACTTTGTGTCATGTTGAGCATTATTTAATGCTGCCTTCAGGCTCAGTCCCAGCACCTGACGCGTATTGGCTGGATCAATAATGCCGTCATCCCACAATCGCGCAGAACTGTAGTAGGGCGAGCTTTCTTTTTCAAACATTTCCAAAATTGGGGCCTTCAATTTGTTTGCCTCCTCCTCCTTAAATTCTTTGCCGGCTCGCCTGTGCTGATCAGCTGTTATTTGGGCCAACACATTGGCTGCTTGTGTACCGCCCATAACCGAAATGCGTGCATTGGGCCACATGTAAAGAAAGCGTGGGGAGTAGGCTGAAATAAAGAAAAGAATCATTTAATTTGATAATATTTATGAAGTCACACTTTTCCCACCTCGTCCGCACATGCCATAGTTTCCAGCACCGTACGACCCACCGATGATGACCGTGAATTTTGGCACATTCGCACAAGCCACGGCTGTAACCATCTTTGCTCCGTTCTTAGCAATGCCGTTCGCCTCAGCATCGCGTCCCACCATGAAGCCTATGGAAATAATTGTCTCATATACAAATTAAATATTGCAGTCCTTCCGCTTACCCGTAATATTCTGCAAAAATACCAAAGGGATTTTCCGCTGTCCACACAATTGTATAAAATGGGCGCCCTTCAAAGCGCTCTCTGAGAAGAGTACGCCATTGTTGCCCACAATGCCGACAGTTTGTCCATACAACTTTGCAAAGCCACACACCAAAGTCTCTGCATAGAGTTTTTTGAACTCCGTGAATCTGCTTCCATCAACAATGCGAGCAATCACCTCGCGAACGTCGAAGCTTTTTGTGAGATTAGGACCCACAATGCCATACAGTTCTTCTGCATCGTATTTTGGTGCCTCTACATCATTATTGAGTGTCCTTCCGGTCGTATTTTGGAAAGTCTTTTGGCTTGAGTACAACAGCTGCTCGTTGTAAGCATTTGTTGCCGGCAAATTCAAATTACTGACCACTTGACGCGCCAAATATAAGGCATGCTCGTCATCCACCGCATAATGATCCGTAACGCCCGATGTTTTGCAATGCAGGTCGGCGCCACCCAAATCCTCGGCGGACACCTCCTCTCCCGTAGCAGCCTTCACAAGTGGCGGTCCGGCAAGAAAAATAGTACCTTGCTTCTTTACAATAATGCTCTCGTCCGCCATTGCTGGAACGTAGGCTCCTCCAGCTGTGCAACTACCCATCACCACGGCTATTTGGGGTATTCCCTGCGCAGACATATTGGCTTGGTTGTAGAAAATGCGTCCGAAGTGCAGCTTATCAGGAAACACTTCCGCTTGGCGTGGCAAGTTCGCACCTCCAGAGTCTACCAAATAAATGCATGGCAAGCGATTTTCCTGTGCAATTTCCTGTGCTCGCAAATGTTTCTTTACGGTTATGGGATAATAACTGCCCCCCTTGACGGTGGCATCATTAGCTACCACGACGCATTCAGTGCTGTAAGTTAATGAGAGAGTTTAGGCTAATAATGTGTACATATGTATATCACAACACATCCAGTATTTACCCACACACGCGTCCCACACCTGTGATAATTCCTCCCGCATTTACCACCTCTTCACCATACAGTTCGTATCCGGCCAAAGCACTGAGCTCCAGAAAAGGCGATCCCTTGTCCAGCAGAAGATTAATGCGTTCCCGGGCCAACAGCTTACCACGTGAGGTGTGCCGCTCATTGGCCTTTGCACCGCCACCAGTTAAAACCTCATGGGTTATGCTGTGAAGCTTGCTTACCAAATTTCTCATTTCCGCAGCATTTTCCTGCAACATAAATTTATACACACATTTCAATTATTTTATTGGCATTTGCCAATTTGTTTATACAGACCTTGTATTCGGCAGAGTGCCTATCAATCTCAGTAGATAATACATTCGCCTCCCCCACGTGCAGGAAACGGGCAGGACTGCGCAGAAGTTGTGAGACTATGGGCTTCTTTAAGAGGATCTGGAACCTAAGCATAATTATGGATCGAAGAGTTAATGGAAAACAGGACCGACTGTGGAAAAGCGGTTCGATGTTACGTCAGTGTCGATGTGTGTGGGTGTGCAAGTGTGATAAGACAGCACAGCTGTTTGATCGCGCAGCCCTCGATCGGGACAGTGGCGCCAGCAATTGGTCATTTTAAAAACGTTAACTGAATCACTAGCCCATTAATATCCCCTTTTGCTTCCTGTTGTGAATACATTTATTTATTTATTTTAAAGTTTAATATTAAAAATTAATCTGAAGACAACCTCTGAAGGCTACGGAAGGAAGCATAATCTTTTTGCCACAAATTATTAAATTCATGTAAAACTACTAATAGTTATTTTCTTAGCTTTATTTAGCAACTTTTAAATGTAAAACATAACTTCTATTCTAAGCCGCTATTACGAAACATCATATGGCTCCTTAATAATTTAGACTTAACATTTTGCGAACCTTAAAATTGTACGTAACTCACTGGTACGTGATTGTGCACGCCGCTTTTAACACATAAGTATATGTATATGCATGTAAGTATGTGAATAAGTATTTAGGTAAGGATTAATAGGATTTTTGCTAATCGATCACATCCATCAAACATAAACATTTACTGAATCACTTAGGTTTATTTAAAGAGTAGGTAAATATATAAACTATATACGTAATTAAGTTGGTGTAGATATTCCATGAAGCATTTCGAAAAGTTGTACTACAAAAATATTAATTTTGCTAGCAGCGTTTGCGTGCTTTGAAAATTGTTTGCAATTTTGCTCTTTTTAAGACTCACTACTTAATTTTAATTTTGTGCAACTTCAACTTAAAGCCCAGAACCTCGCTCAGCACGCCCGACAGTGCCGACAGAATGACAACTTTGATTGTGGTAAATAAATATGGATTGGCACTAAGTCCAGAGATCTTGAATGGCGTTTCAAGCTCCTTTAACAGATCAGCTGCTAGCTTCAGTACGCTGTTTGAGACCATGAGTTCGTCCTTCTTCTTCGGTTTTTGTTCAATCTGCAGGTACAAATTAATTTGTTCGGTTATCAAAACCGAAACGCTACGATATTTGTGCTGGATTTTGTTTCCAAGTGTCATGAAGCGTAGCAAAAAGATCCCAATTGTTATGGACCACATAAGCGCCTCTAGCGTTAGATGAGAGTGCAGATGTACCGAGTCCTTCAGCCACTCAACACTCAGAAAGGCTAAAAGCAGCAGCGTGACTATAAATGCGGCAGACACAATAATATCGACGGAGCGTTGTGGGCCGCGTTTCTAAAAAAAAGATATGCAAGGTAAAACTGAATTAGAAATCCCACGATCTTTTTTTTATGGCCTAACAGATAAATAATTAGCCCACAATTTGATCGAATTTCACTAGTATTTTTAGAATATACATACAATATATATATTATGCTTAATGATTTGTAAAATAACCCAAATTTATGTGCAAATTATTTTGATGTTTGTAGATTTACACACCTTCAGATAGGAACGCACACTGAGCCAGGTTTTAATGTTGCGAACCTTGTTAAGGCGAAAGTGCGGAAGATTTGACTTTCGGGCCCGTCGTGACGACGTCAAATGAGAAAAGAGTTTCGCATATAAAAAGCTAAAATTAAAGGATTAAGCTCAGAACTCATTCAGTGAGAGGGCCTCATCTACATACCGTTGTTTAAAGGTGCGCTCCGCCACAGCAAATATTATGAACAATATGAGGGTCAAGCATAAACGCTGCACAAATCCCAAGGCAAGCACTGCACGCTCCCAACGGGCCTCACCAAAAGCAAAGCCCAAAAGTGTGAAGAACGATGCCGATGACTTCTCCCACAGCATTATGGGTATATAGAAATAGCTTATCTCGCTGCTCTTATCCGCATCAATGGTAATCTGAACGAAAAATAGGGAGGATTAATGATTAAAAGAAATGGCATTGTAGATAGTGGTTATTAGCTTATAAAACATCAACCGCTTCTATGTCGATATTTATTTCTAGGTTTATAAAACACATGCTTGTTTAATTCGTGAAAAATAGCATGTGGATTTACTGGTTTGTAGATTTGTGTTTGTATTTTATTCGTACTCATTTAAAAAATGTATGTACATAGAAAGTATACGTAAAATAAAAATAAAAACTTCGTGGAAACAATAAATGCTGTTTAATTTTAAAATAATTTGTTAGAAAATAGTGGACATTGAATGAAATATATCTATATACGTATTCCCATCTGACTTCTAATTTGAAAAGGAAAGCATTCAGCAGACACAAAATATATAATGCAGGTTAAAACGTTGCCAAGATTATTTTTTATATTGATAAATATGTACTATATATGTACATGTTTTTTAATCTAAGCTTAATACCTAATAAATGATACATCAATTCCGAGTTAGTAATTATGTAAATTATTTTGAATAATATTTGTGATAAAAAGTAATCAGAAATACGAATATTGAAATAACAATTTCATTTGCGGTCTGATGTAATCATAATAAGACCCAGATTTCTTATCGTAATACATTTTTGCATTTATTACTTACCTCGCACAAACGACAGAAAGTGGGTATGAGTGTTAGCAGAAATGAGAAAAATATTCCAATATAAATGTAATCATTTGTTTCAGCCATCGAATCGACGCGTTCAATAATACAGGAGGCGATCTCAAGCACAGACATTTGGGCCTTTTTAGTGTCACGCTGATCCCAAATGGTGCAGCTAACTGAAATTATGCAAAGTAGGAATTGTGTCTATAAAGCAGACAAAAAAAGACATCTAACTTACTGCGATCCATGGTGCTGTGTGGATTTAATATGGTAGTGGGCGTTATATCCAGGTCTGCGTACTCTTCGTCAGTTGCTTGTTGATGCTTATAGCCATCCGAATGTTCCATCTCTGAGGTGTAGCTGCAATCCTCGCTGTTGGTTGTAACACCCAACCAGTCCGTTGCAGATGTTGTGCACTCATTATTGCAGGCCGAAGCGGGACTAGATATGATATCAACGTCATCGCATTCATCGGACTCTGCACAGCTGGTGGTGGACTCATTGCCACGGGTCTGGGATTTCTTTTCCACACCGATGGCGGTGTTCGTGCTTGTGGCCGTACTCGAAACGTTGAGGCGCAATCGTAGCTGGCTTGTTGTGGGTGCAGCAGCTGTTCCTGGAGCAGCTGGTGAAGCATTACTACTGCTCGGCAGAGGCGAATGATTGTTGTCCTCGCCACTGGAGCTTTTGCCGTTCAAACTCTCAAAGCCATCGTCTTCTCCAATGTTGCGACGAGGCTGAAAAGCAGGCTCTAGGTTTTCAACGCTGCCACTGCTACCGGAAGCTTTTATCTCACTGGAGACGGCTAAAGTTTTAAGACTTTGTGTTGAGGTTGGTTGTTCGTGCTGGTCGAATGTGGCACAGATTTGAATGGGGGTGTGCCAATTGACGTTGCGTTTTTTATGCGGACTATCAGTCGTTAATGCGGCCACTTGTTCGTTGGCGGTAGCTCTGAGATCGTATAGGGAGTCCGTTGTAATGGTTGTGCTGTCGGCCGCTGCTGTTTGGCCTTGATGAGGTTGCGAAATGATGGCAGTTGTAGTCAAATATGTCTCCTCGCTATCGGTGCGCTTCAGCATAATAGAAGGTGTGGGCTGAGCGCTTAGACAACTGCACGGTTTGTTTGGAATCTTGGGTACGCTTGCGGCGGGTGCTGCAAGGGCTAAAGCTGAGATTGCTGGTATGGCTGTGGGCGATGGCGTCTTAGGAAGAACTTCAATATTGCTACCAGTACTTGACGCTATCTTTGCGCTAGCTGTGCGCCGCGACAGAGAAGTGTTGCTATTTGCTGGCACGCATTCGCTTTCTGGTTGACGAATTCTGCAATACAAGGTGAACATTTGTTAAGTTGTTTTAACCAAGCTAGTTAAGCAATGCTTACCGCACAAACTTCTTACGCCGCCTTGGTCGCGTCTCACGTGCTGTGGATTTGTCATTGAAATTGGTTGTGGAGAAGCGTCGCAACTTGGTTTTATTGCCAGAAGGCGTACTATTAGTTGCCACAATTTGTGAGTGTATTAAACTGATTAGCAAACTAAGCCCCATTGGTATCAGCAGAGCACTAAGCAGATCGGCATGCTCTTCCGCCTGCTTTTCAGCATCTTGAGCGGTTGTATTGGCAACCGTACCCGGCAGCTGCACTGAGTTTTGAGGCACAATGCGATTGCTATTTAAAATGTATATGGCCCAATTGATCATTTGTGTGACGTACAGGCAGAGAATGATGCCAAAGGCGTTTGGCGTGGTTTGCTTGACCCACCATTGCGAATAGAGTGGCAACAATAAATAGCGCAATACGGCCAAACGTATCACAGTTACTAAAGTTTGTTTTGGCTTTGCCTTAGGAAATGTGGAGCCTATAAATACAAAAAGAAACATACATTATAAGGCGATGCTTTGAAAATTATAAAAAAATCAAAACTTTTACAATATATTTAATGTATTTGTTAAATATAAACGATCTAAATCTAATCTAAGAACGATAAATCAATATATAAAAACGATTAGGGCCTTTAAACGTTTGCAAAACGCCAACAGTTCTATCATTTTCCGAACTACTTATTGAACTACCAATTTGAATTCCATGTGAATGAAATTTTATTAAATACATTGAACACTTAATAGAAGGCTGAATGTTTAGCAATCAATGAAAACGCAAATCGATATTTAAATGTATATTTTAGGTATCATTGAAAGTCCGACTCACCCCGCACCAAATCCACATCAATCAGTTCGGTCTTTAGTTTGGTATTCTTCAAGTTAACGCTGTTAAAACCATCCAAGATGCGCTGCTCGACAGTCTTCTCCCATTCTTGCTTATCATAGGTGCCTATTTTTTTCTGGTACCTGAACAATAGACAACAATTGAGACATGATTGTGTAGAGAATACGCAATAGAGTACTTACCATTCAACAATTGCATCCAATTTCATAGTAATAATGACATAAAAGCCTTTGAATTACTGCGCGCCCTGTAAGGAAAGTCATAAAGCAATGATTCAATTATGGTTAATTAATTGGAGGCGCACAAGTGTGAGCACAAACATGGCATATGCCCCCACACCTCAAGTCCAGCCCGACGCCAACGTTAATTGACACCGCAATAAGTCTGTTTCTTGACGACCATAAGTTGATTTTCCGCATAAATGACAATATGAACAACATGTGTACTAATGATATGCAAAAAGCTTTATACGAAATCGAATAGAACTGCGAATACACTCTGGGCAGTTTACAATTAACTGCTAATTATTGTAGCTACATTTGGAAAGCAAAAATTTTCCCACACATACATGCATACATATCTACATATGCATGTGAGGATTAACATGTATGTGTGTGCATTTCACAAAAATGAAACAAAATTGGTAACCAGTTGCAATGTGTGAAGAGATACGAAAATTACTTTCACCTTCACATTGGCAGCACAAGATAATTAACTTAAAGTTCTCCTTCTGCCGATCGCAGGCAAAAAATGATTTCTTTTTAAGTATGTTTTTATAAACAAATGTTTAAAAATAGGTTTTTAGACATACACGAAATTCAATTGTTTAACAGCCTATTGCTCAAGAAAAAACACACAAAATCCAAAATATGTCTGCATGTGTGTCTGCAAATACATAAGTGTGTTGCCTTGAACATAAAAGCAGGTAAACAACTTGGCAGACAAACAGCTGATTTAATGCGGTGACAGCGGCAGGTGTACGGGAGGTGGAGGTATAACACATTTCTGTGTGTAGTGGCAGTGCAGCCGAATGGATTTTGGTATGCTTGGGCTTTGCTGCTATGCTTAGTTCAAGGTGATCTGTAGGTATGTACTTGCATTGAATAACCCGTGTACTGAAAATTATTGATATATGGAAACGTCCGCGGCAATCTGCATTTATTTTAATGCATCATGAAAATGTTTTAATTCAAACTTGCCTGAAATTGTTTAACCACAACTACTAATCGATTTTTATCCGGAATAGCGGTCCGTAACGTTTTTTTTTCTTTGCAGGCACTCTTCAATGTCGACGTCTGCGAGTTTCTTATATATATTTGGGCACTTTAAGTTGTGTTAATGTTGTAACTGTAAATTTTGTATGCGAGGCGCGATATATGCTTTAATTTGCGTTCTGCAGCGTCTGATAAAGCTTTGTTTTGTCGCGCCCTCGGCTGCTTATTATTGTTTAGCAGTCCCGGTTTCGATAATAACAATTTGCATTGGATTTTTTTTATGTGTTGTTTCGCAAAGAGTGCTGCACTCAGGCCAATGCGTAATTTCTACAATCTCGAATTTCAATAATGCAGCAAAACGCAAACGAATGCCCGACACATCCTCTTCCTACTAATTCTTGAGGCTTAATAAAATTTTAAGAGCTGTGTCGATTCAATCAGAATAGTTCATTGAACATTTTGAACTTCTGAACTAACTTAGTTCTTTTTTTAATTGTTCATTGTTGTTTAAATGGTATAAATAAATTAATTTAAATTTGTATTTTGCAACTGTGAGCTTTTAATGACTTAAAATATTGTTATATTCATTTGTTAGTAGTGCAAAGTCATTTAATGAACAATAAAATGGGAAGCTAAGAGACCTTTTAAATTTGGTTTACGAGTCAGTTCCTGCAAATAAGGTCGTTGTCCAACACAGAAATAATGTTTGCCGCTGTACAGCATTGCAATGGGGACAAAACAGCTGAACATCATCTGTTCCAGCTGTCAGCTGAATTTCTTTCGTATGACGCCTTGGAATCCACAATGTGGATTTTTGGCGCCAACTATAAAAACAACAATCGCGTTGGGTTCGAGGTTTGCATTTGCTCACATGAGAAAAATATTTAACAAATGACATATAATCGTCGATCTGATGAAATAAATTACATATTCATAATATTATACATATATGTACATATGTACTAAATGGAACTAGAATTTCGCTAGACATATGTACATATGTATGTATATGGATAATTATGTACTTAGGAGGCAGTTAGAAATCACGCTCGGTTCGGGACTGCATGTTAAAACTACTCTTTTCAGAAGAAATACGAGTGTGGAAAAACCTTTGGCGATTTTGGGTCAATAAAATAAAATTTTCAGTAACTTTTGTATTAGTGGCCTTATTACATGATCTTAAAGATATACTGATTTAATTGGATCTCTCTCTGAATATTTCACATTTTAAAATCAATTAATTTATACAATTTAGTTATTCGATGGCTCCACGCCGTCCACTATTTGCAATCGGCCGATTTTGCCTCCGCGAGTTGACTTTCATAACTTCAACATTAAAAAATGTACAAAAATATAAAATACAAAAATAGGTATTTATTAAATAAACGACTTTCAGATTTTGTTTACACACATCTGTGCTTGTATCAAAATAAACTTTTGCAGTTTTGTTTTGTTATTTTCAATTTTCGGATGAGATTGCCACATTTCATGATTGTTTTTTTTTTAATCTCCTTTGTAGATGTGGAACACTTTTTCCTGTTTGTTTTTATAGCTTGTTTCGTAAGACCACTGAGCACTTAGGAGCGATGCGCCGAAATGCATAAACAGAGAACTGCATTGTGGCTTATTTCCCAAGTTTTCACCACACTTTTCTTATTGTCTGTCAGTCACACTCTACGCTTCCACATACATTCGTTCTCTCGCGTGAAAGCTATTACAAAAAGCTTCTCGAAATACAAGATCCCTAAAGCTTGGCCAGGCCTCTTGAATGGCACAGAATTTTCACCAAAATAATTTCAGTTGCGAGCGGACCTCTGCACGGAGTGGAACAAAATTAAAAACTAAAAGAGATCAGTCCGCGGAAAACGTTCAATTTTTAGAAATATATATATATACATTTATATATATATATATAAGCTAATTTTCTCACACCTATATATGTTCTTCCCAATATATATGTGCACACATAATATATCTGTGTATCAAAAAAATTGTTATACATAAAATAAATAGCGAAAGAAAAAGAATTTAATAGTAGTGTATTCATTTTGAATTTTGATGCATATTAAATATTTGTAAAACCGATATTCAATTTAATTAAAAAACGACGTTTAACGAAAATATAATTTAAAAAGTAAAATCTAATCACTCTCGCGCGCATGTTTGAGTTTAATGTTTAAACAACAAATTCGCAACGGCAAGGTCAAAGTATCTGCTTAGAACGTACTGTGCCAATTGAAAGGATTCGAAAGATGACTTTCACGCGTATGAAAACCCTAACATTGCTCGTGTGTACGTTGCTGGCACTCAGTTTTCCCGGATATGTGAACTGCGCTAATAACAAGAAAGGATCACAGGCGCCATCGGCGCCACTAGAACCAGAGGCCGTCATCGAGGAGGTCAATGCCAAGCAGTTGGAAAAACTCTTGGCCGACAAGGATTATGTTGCCGTTTTCTGGTGTAAGTATCTGCTCGCACAGTAAAAGAAATCTGGCTTCTTCACGCACAGCAACAACAGCAACAGCAGCATCGACTTAATTTTGGACGCACGGCCGTGCTACTCGAAATAGTAACAGAAGCGATATTATATAAATTTGCGCTAGTGAAAATTCTAAAAATTCACATACATGTGAAAATATGTGAAAAATTCGTTGTACGAAATGTCCGAGATTTTCACTCGCTTTATTTTTTGTTAGTCTCTGTTCTTTTTCCTACTTATTTTTATTTTTCTTGTGCGCTATCTTTGCGTTCTGGTTCTGTTTATGAGTAGAATTCGTTTCGGTTCTGCTGTGAGATATAGACGATGTCTTTTTGGCTGCTGTTGTATCGGGTTTTTTTTTGCATTATATCTACATAAACACATAGTATATATCTACATACATATTTACATACATGTGTGTGGCAGACGTACTTTTTAGTTTTATATTTGCCGCAATTTTAGTTGTTTTGGTCGAAATGGATAAAACAATCATTGAACAGACAATTCCTAAAATATTCATCACATATTTCCAAAATTTAAATTATTATTATGAATTCACATATTTCCTGTATATACACTTAACTATTTAAAAATATATACATCCTCAAATATATACTCTATATTTCACATCAAAATCTTTGATCGTTTAATGCCCAAATTGTTTCAAAAGCATGGCAAATAAATTGATCAATTTTCCTCAAAAAAAAACTAAAGTCTGCATAATTAAACATTTCGGAAAGTAAACGGTCTAATAATAGATCTGCTCATTTTGAAATACGGAGCTTTTTGAATCGCTCATGCGATTGAGAATATACAGCTGCACTCGATCTGGAGTTGCCTCCGATAATTATTTATTTATCTTACTCAAGTTCAGACTAAAACTCATAAATTCGTTTCTCAATAACGTTAAACGTCGAAAGATCAGCGCCAAACTGCCCCGAGCAGATTCCAAAAATAATTGTTGACAATGAAAATATTTTGTATATGAAGTATCACTGAAAGCCCAATGACTTATGCAAGCAAATTAAGGAAAGCAAAAAGAAATTACCTCGGAAAATGTGTAAATACTCGTACATATTTTCGTTAATGAAAATGTGCATTAAATTAGCAATTGGAGCATTTGAAGAATGCAACAGATAGTTAATGTTATTGCCACATGTTGCGAGAATATGGGAAACAGATTGCTAATTGTAGTCATTATTTAAATTCACGCGCTAATTTAAATAACTTTCTCACACTATAGATATGTACATATATAGTAACATATATATTGAGATTATATATTTGCTTTGATTGCATATGTTCCCCTGTATTTAGCAGCTATAAAAATCCATACATAAAATCTAATCAAAAGAGTATTAGCCGCCATGATATCTGCCTCTTACTTGTTTATCATCAAACGAGAAATCCAGTGAAAACCTATTAATGCTTGTTTGAAATCTTTTATTTGAGATTTGGCAATTTATACCTGAGTAAAAACAAAGCAATTGTTTATACACAACTATTTAACATACACATATTTACATACGAGAATATAACGTTGCCTATATATATTTCGATTACATTCAAACATTCAAGCCACTCAAGCAGACAGCAGACAACACCAGCACATTGGCAAGTCTTTTGTGGTACGATCCGTTTTCCTAATAGCTGCTGCATAAATTTTTATGAATTAATTTAGACAAATTTCTGTTGGCAGTTGTGTGCACATTAATAGCTACAGTATACTAGATGTTTGGGTTCTGTCATTTCATTCACTAGTCTGGGCTGGGCCGGGTTGGGCTGGCACCCATAATGCCATTAGTGGTTCTATATTTTTGCTTGATTTTGGACCTTGGCAGGGGGCTGTGATGATGCATTTGCCATTATGAATAATCGCTTCGGCTTTTGGCGTCATACGCGACAGTTGCTAGCCGTCAATTTATGTTGGTATCTTCATAGTCTATATCGGAATAGTACACACACATACACGCACCATCGTATACATACTTACATGAACACAAGTTGATTTAATTTGTATTCATTGTTTAATTGGTTGCAGATGCGCGCAGCTGTGTGACCTGTGATAAAGTTTTAGCGGAACTCGAAAAAATCGACGATGACACCGATTCCTTTGGTGTGGACTTCGTTAAAATCAACGACAAACGACTAGCAAAACAATATGGCATCAAGAATTTCCCTGCGCTTACATACTTCAGGTAATAAAGAAAATCGCAACCAACTCTTTAGTCCTAAACTCAACGCTACAATTCTGACCTCAAATCCTGCCTGCACAGAGAAAAGGAACCGATTATCTATGATGGCGATCTTATGGATGAGGAGGGTGTGCTCGATTTCCTAACTTCGCTCGAGGCTATGGATTTGCCAGATCGGATCGAGGAAGTCAATGCAAAGATATTGCACAAGATTATCGAAGACACCGATTTCGTTGCTGTTCTTTTCTGTAAGTACTAATTATTCAATATTTTTTGACTCTACTACTATTGCTCTATCACTCTATAAAACATATGATGATTACAATGAACTACTTAGTAGAAACAATTTTGATGATATTTATTTTAAAGCAGTTGCAGTTTTTAGCGTAATCGTGCGAAACGTAAAAACAATTTAGCTCTCTTGTGACTAAACCTTCTACTAGGTATAAACTATTAAGTTTTCTCTATAATACTATAATTCTGTACAATATTTTATTTACTCATATCTATAACTGTAATCTATTGTGACTAACATAAGCGTTGCAACATAAACAAAATGACGGCATCCTAACTTAAAACATAACGATGGTACTTTTCTCATTAAATGAACAAAATTTCTGCAGCTAATTTACTTAAGAAAATGTACATTTACATATATATAGTACATATACATATATGTATGCATTGTATCTATTTAAAAAACTACAGGTCCAGATCATGAAACATGCCCGCCCAGGGTTATGGGTAAGTTTGTGCATATGATAAGGGGTTTATGTCTTGCGTGCCCATACATTAAACTTCAATTTCTTCTATTTCCTACAAATAAATTTCCCAAATTAATTAAAGCTAGAAAACCTCAAACCACATATGCACAACACACATAAATAAGCCTAAAAATCCTAAAAGCCTGTTTTCTTGTAACGTACATCTTGCCGAGAGACCTTTGTAAATATAACTTTATAAGTATGTACATATGTGTCCTGATAATAACCAATGACTTATATTAATATAAAATAACGAAAAGTCGTTTATTTAACATGACTGTATTTGTGTCTAAAATAACCATTGCGAATGAATCTATGAATGTAGCGTGGGATATTTCAACAAAATATTCAATTACAATTGAATATTTCAATTTTAAATAGATTTTGACAAATTGTTGTTTCACGGCGGATTGTTACGAATCATTTTTTGAAATGCTTTACAGGGTATAAAGTCAGAAAGTCAAATAATTAGCACAAGCGTTGATCAAATCTTAAATACACGTCATATTTCTTTAAACGAAAGAAAGCTGATAGTTTTCGTCTTCATTTTTTTTCTTCTTCTGAGAACTATGGCTTTCAGTTGTAAATAAATTTTAAAATCAAAATTGGGCATAGCCTTAATATACTATAGCATACTTTAATATATCTTAAGTAAAATGTGGTTCTTTGTAGCTTTTTAAGGCAAATATTTTAATATGAAAATCAATACTGGTTCCAAACATAGAAATCATTTAAATGCCCCGTCATGCTTATCATAAGTATATAATATATTATATACCGAGGATAAACATTAATTCTGCAATAGTCTATATATTTATTTAATTTGAAATGCACTGATTTCATTAAAATATGACACAGTAGCTCACAATTTGGCGATTATAAAGCTACACGAATGAATAGAATTTTATTGATTAAAGTGATGGCTGTTTTGCCAGTTACAGTTGTCATCTCAAAAACATTTTACACGGACCTCTTTCACTCAAGTTCACACGCGTCGTTGTACTATAGAAAGGCCAAATACGAGTATATATGTGTACAAGTATGTACGAATATAAATAAATAAATAAATATATACTATATACTTACTATATATTTATATATACAAGATATATGTATATAAGTATATGAATTTATTTTTCAACAATATATGCTACAGCATTCAATATAAAAGTAATTTTAACTAGCAAATAAATTGGTACATTTCACATTGGCAATCGCTACACACACGACGACGAAGAAGACGACGACAAATATTACGTATACGTATAATAATAACATTAAAACAACAAACATTACAAATGAATGTCTGGGCTCTGCGCCAGATCATGTGTGTACTGTATGTATGTATGTATATGTATCACATTTTGTGTGTGCCCTGAGCACAAGCCGGTGCACCAAAAAAACTATTAAAAAAAAGGCAAATCAGATTTAACAAGTAGAAACGCTATAGTCTGGCGTGTGCGACTAGGGAGAGATCCCCTATCTTCAAATAGCTCATGATTAATTAATTAATAGCGCCCATGAGGGCCCATGCTTAGGTACTAAGTTCCCTTTGTTACTCATTCTCAAAACCATAGAGTCAATCTTGACCATACAGATTTTAATTAAAACTCTCTATGCTGAATATCGTTAGAATGTCTTAAAAATATAATGGGAATACACAGATTTTGAAAGATGAATTGAAGAAAAATTGATTTGTAATATACCACAGTAAGATTTTTCAATAAGATATTATATATATTTTATAATTGATCAGGATTGGAATGAGTACTAAGGATGAATACCTAGATGAACAAGATGTAAAATAAAAGAAGTTTTTAATTAAAAAAAAAAAAAATCCAATTTTTTTTTGGAAGCGGTATTTTTATATAAAGTAAAAGTTTTTCAGCTCTTTTTTTAATATATTTGTTAGACTTTTATTGTATTTAATTTCTTACAACTTAGCTTTAATAACAGAACTGAAAAGTGTCTTACCTTTTCGTGCAATAGTATTTGTTATAGAACAAATACAGCAACTTTTTTTTTTTTTTGTTATTATAAGTGTTCAAATGGAAATGAGTTCCATTTTAAGGAAACGGGAATATGCAATCATAGTTTACCTGTTTGCTGTAGAATAAATATTTTACTTATAAATAACATAATATAAATACTTATAGTTGGGTATGGCAAGCTCTTTTCATACAGGGTATACAATTATATTTCTGACTCAATGTGTTGGCTATTTGCATAAAATCAGATAATCTTGTAATATTCGAAACAGAAATAAGTTAAAACATTGTTTTAATTACATCTGTAGAAACATACATGAATATGTACTTTATTTAAAAGCAGCACAATATGTTCTTTTGAGTTTATTGTTTGGCTGTTAAGAAAAAGAAAATAGAATTTTTTATATAAAACATGATTCGGAAATATGTATGTATGTATGTTTATAAGTAGCATAAATTACTATTCATATGAGCATTTATCTGGGGGTTATTCACGGAAATTCGCTTTTGCTCAAAGTAGAAAAACAGCGGTAGCAGCAACAGAAACAACAACAGAAAAAGCAATAACAATAGCAAAATGTATAAATTTCATTTATTTAGTTTTTATTTTTTCAACACAGCCACCTACAATTTTTGTACTAAAAATAGAAACTCAAGCAGTTGGTGAGGCCAACAAAATGATTTTGCGCTGATGCCGCTGCTTTCTTGCGGTTTTCTTTTTATTTTTCACTCAATATTTGAAACAACTAACTGCATACATACACACATATGTACTTATATACATGCGATATATATATATATATATATATATATATATATATTTATCACGCACTGACAGAGCACAGTGGCAGAGGTCTCTAGATGAACAAGATGTAGATGCGCGGAATACGAAAAAGATTTCGGCCGCTTCTGTAGCGCCCATTGTTCTATAGTAGTCGAAAATGCTAAGCGCATCGACAAGTGCACATTAATTTGGTTTCTATATGTCTGTCTAGGGTTCTTCTGAGCGTCTCTGCAATGCTTTCAGTTGCTTACAACTGCAGACAGACAGCACTTTTAATTGCTTTTGCATACAGCAATACATCAAGTTGTGCAGGCACAGACACTCGCACTCGTCAAAATGGGTAGAAGAAATACAATTTACATAATATACCTAAATACATATGCATAGCTGTGTGCATATTTTTAGTTAAATGCAATATAAGCGCCTACATTTGCAGTTCCTTTAATGCATTTTGCATATGAGTATGAAAATATATAACAAACTGTCAATCAGTAAAATTTTGTGGACGCCAAACAACATGTCTACACCCATACAAAATGCGAATAGAAAAATGTACTATATTTTCCACGCGACAACTGCAGTAATTCCTGCGTTAATATTTACATAAGCATGTATGTATGTATGTGTGGGTGTATGTATGTGTGGGTGTATGTATGTCTGTGCCATGGCCTTGCCACCTTGGTGACGCCCACTCAAGCACCCGTGGCAGCAGCGCACAGTTCCATTAAAAATATTGGCATATTCTTATGCCAGATTTTTCAGCGACAAATGTGTTCTTGAGACACATTCTACATATACTCGTATAATAATAATAGATAGACATAAAACTAATTTTTGTATGCCGACTCTCCATTGCCTTGTGCAAGGCAAATGAAAAACTTTTAATTTAAATTGAATTAAGTTATATGTATATATTTTTTGGAGTGTTTTAATTCCAAATACAAGGTTGATATTATCAAATGTGGCTTTCTTAATTAGTAGCTATTGTGCATTGTTTTCAATGAGTTAAACAGCTTATTCGTTGCTTGACGAACCTGTTATTCAAATATTTAGTAAGGCTATCTTTGTACATATTACGTATACGCCGTGAACTCGAGTGCAAGCAAGCGTCCGAAAAAGAAAAGTAGAAAATGGTAGAACATATGGCAAAGAGCGAGCTTTCTCGAGCAGCTAGCAGAGTATATAATATATGTAGGAAAAAAAAAACAAATTAGAAGACATTTTGACAAACTGGCATCAATGAGCATTTTTGTTTTCTGCTTTCCTCCTCTTGTGCACTTTGCATTTCCGCTTGAAAGATAAACAGACCGTGCAAAGGCATAGCAACAACAGGTGGTAGATAGAAACAGATGTTGTTACACACACACAAGCATGAAGAACGAACCTATTTTATTCTTCTCCCCAAAGCAACCAATCTGGTTTGGCTTATGTACTTGTATGTTTTTAGCAATTCCCCCTTTACTCCTTCCTCTTATATCGCATGTTGGCTAGGTGTACATACATTTCGAAAAAATAATGATAAAGCGCACAACGTCCAAAATGTCCAAACAACTAAACTAAACCAGCTAGCATTGTCATGTATTTATATAAGTAAATGCCAACTAAAACTAGACCCTTGGTATCCTTCTATCTGAATCGTATGCATTTATTGTGAAGCACTGTGTTTGCGACTTTGTCTAATATTTGCCCTATTCCACAAAATCCGCAATTCATCAGATAAGCAGCAATGCCGAAAATGTGCCAAGGCCTTGCAAGAATTGGAGAATATTGATGATGAGGCTGATCAACTGGGTATTGGATTTGTCAAAATTCACGACGAAGCTCTAGCCGATGAATACAATTTGGGCAGCTTGCCGGCATTGGTCTACTATCGCCATCAGACACCGATCATTTACGAAGGTACAAACTACAGCCCGTAGACGTAGTCGTTGAAACTCACATTCATACATATTGTTAATTTCAATATCCACCCTCAAAAAAAAAAAAAAAAAAACAATAAAATAAAATTTAAAATCCACACACACACACCCAATGCACGAAAAAATCCGAAAATGTTTGGCTCATGTCGTTAATACTTCAACTGTGTCTGTGTGCCGCAGGTGAACTTCAACGGGAGGAGGATGTCTTGGAATGGTTGGTGCAGAATAAATCAACTGGTGATGAGGACGATGTGATCGAAGATGTCACCACCAAGACGTTATCAACGCTAATCAGCAATATTGATAATTTGGTTGTGCTGTTCTGTATGTAATTGATGCTGTATAGAAGCATTTAAGTAAAGTATTGGTCGTCTACAGATGATCATGGCAATGATGATTCGATGACCGTGTTGGAGGAGCTAGAACAAATTGACGACGACTGTGACAAGCATGGCATACAATTTGTTAAAATTGATGATGCCAAGGCGGCTGCAGAATACGGAATTGAATCGGTACAAGCTCCATCAAGCTCGCATCTTTAATCATATAATCTCATGCCAATCTAATTCTGGTCTACGTAGATTCCGGCAATTGTTTACTTTGAAAAAGAAATTCCAAATGTTTACGACGGCGATCTCATGGATGAGGAACAAATCTTACGATGGTTATTGGCACAATTGGAACGAGATGAGATCGAGGATGTTACGGATGAAATGCTCGACACTATGATTAAAGAAGGACGAGTGTTGGCGGTGTTGTTCTGTAAATATCATATGACTAAATGGATGGACTCATATTAGCTAATGGTGTCATTTTCTAGATGACAACAATGATAAAAAATCCCAAAAAGTACTCGAAGAACTTGAGAACATTGACGATGAATGCGATGCTCTGGGCATTACGTTCGTAAAAATCGATAATCCCGAGGAAGCCGTTGAATATGGCATCAATAAAGTTCCTAAGCTAATATACTTTGAAAAAGGCATTCCAACTATATACGAAGGAAATCTGGAGGATGAGGAGAAACTTTTAAAATGGCTCGAAGAGCAAACGAGTTCCGATCAAATCGAAGACATTACCGACGAAATGTTGGACTTGATAATTGAAAAAATGCCACATGTTGCTGTGTTGTTCTGTAAGTGATTTCAGGGCCGCTGATTCAGTTCAAGAATATAATTGCAGACAAGTGCAAATAATATTATTTCGAAGTCTGTAGATAATGTACAGTGTGTATATGTTGTAAATCTGAGATGTGTCTGGATATCTGCACTATATTTAACAAAATATGTGAAGCCTGCCAGCTGCTGCTGTCAATGTACTTACAAATGTCTATATTATAAAATAGCTAAATACTCGTATATGCCATAAAAAAGCGCTTCAACTAATCAACCAATTGAATACGTAGGTGACTAGGTAGCTATCTGAAGGCGTAGATTGGTAGACATATTAGTAATTAGTTATGCTTAGGTTTCGAAAACTTTCAAAAATTCAAAGATGATCCGATAATAATGGTTGGCTTAAAAATAACATATTCGATCAATTTTCGCAGACGATAAAGACCAGAAAAAATCACAGAAAATCCTCGCAGAATTGGAAAACATAGACGATGAGTGCGATCAGAATGATATTGCTTTTGTTAAAATCGATGATGATAAGGAAGCTAAAGAATGGGGTATCGATGAGATACCATCGATTGTACTCTTTGAACGTGGCATTCCACACATCTACGAGGGTGATCTGATGAAAGAAGACGAATTACTTGGCTGGTTGGTGCACCAGAAGCGTTATTCTGAAATTCCTGAAGTTACTGATGAAATGAAGGACAAATTGGTCGAGAACACTGAGCATTTAGCAGTTATTTTCTGTGAGTATGCCACTGTTTTCCTTTATACTATATATAGTTTTTAAAACTTTCAAAGCAATATTTTTTAGACGACAAGGAAGACAAGCAGGATATGCGCATTCTGAATGAACTGGAAAATATTGATGATGAATTAGAAAAGGAAGGCATTGTGATTGTTCGCATTGATAATGCCGCTGAGGCCAAGGAATACGGTCTCGACCATTTGCCTGCGCTCATTTACTTTGAAAACAAAATACCTGCCTTGTATGAGGGGGATCTCATGAACGAGGACGAGGTGTTGGAGTGGCTGCTAGTTCAAAAGAAAACTGCTACCATTGAAGAGGTTACAGATGAGATTTTGGTAAATCTGATAAATGAACATGAGTATGTCGTTGTGTTCTTTACGGGTCCCTGCGAGCCAGGCGAGAAATGCGATAACACCTTAAGCGCCCTGGAAAGCATCGATGATGAGTTGGACGAGGCTGGCATTATTTTTGTTACTACTGAGGATACCGGCATTGCAAAGAAATACGGTGTCAAATCTTATCCGCGTTTGGTATTCTTCAGAAACCGTGACCCTCTTCATTTCACTGGTGATTTGGAAGATGAAGACGAAGTGTTGTCCTGGATAACCGATGAGGAAACACTTGAGATTCCCGGAAAAATTGAAGAGGTTAATGTTAAAATGCTGGATAAGATTTTGGCAGAAAACGATCATGTAGTTGTGTTCTTCTGTAAGTTTCAGCATATAAAAAAATACAAATCTTCTAAATTAATGATGTTTTTTTGCAGATACTGAAGGCGATAAGAAAGCCCAAAAAATTCTGAATGAGTTGGAGAACATTGACGATGAATGCGAGGAAAAAGACATCGACTTTGTAAAGACATCCGACCAGGATATTGATAAGGAATACGACTTGCCTGGATTGCCTGCGCTTGCATTTTATAGACATAAGTTTAGAACAATTTACACTGGTGGGTATTACATTTTAAATCAAAGAAAAATTCAATATTAATATGTTCTATTTGCTTAGGTGATCTGATGAAGGAGGAAGCTATTTTGGAATGGGTTATCGACTTACATGAGTCTACGGCTGATGTTATTGAATCTGTCGATCGCAAGACCTTGCAAGTGCTGATCAATGATGTGGAACATTTAGCTGTTTTCTTTTGTACGTGAGCTAATTATTTAAATAAAACATAATTTATGTTTAGAAACTTTTGTTTTCAGACGATGACGAGTGTGAAACATGTCCTGGCATATTGGAGGAATTGGAAAATATCGATGACGATACCGATAAGCATGGCATCCAGTTTGTCAAATCCAACGATGTGAAGTTGGCCCACGAGATCGGCATTTTCGCTTTCCCCGCCTTGGTTTACTACGAGACTGGCGTTCCAATCATGTATGATGGTAAGCCAGCCAATCACGCAAAGCAGAATACTGCTCATTTATACAAATTTCATTATTCCTTTTAAGGTAATCTCAAAAACGAAAATCGAGTGCTGCAGTGGTTAATCAATCAAAAGAGTAAGCGTGCATTTTTAAAATATATTCTCTGCTTTCTAACTCACGCTCATAAGCTAAACTTCCAATATAAAATCAATTGAGCCACCAGATTCAAGCCAAGAGGATTTTATACCAAATTCGATTAAAATCAAAGAAAATCAAGTCAGACAATCGAAGTCATCTCCCTGTTTTTTGATTGATATGAAGTGCAAAACGTAATAAATATTTTCAATACAGGCAGCGATGATGATGAAAGTGATGAGAAAATCGTCAAAATCAGCTATCCTAAAGAAAGCAATGAGGAAAAGAAAGTGAAATTAAAACAGTTTCAACAAGCAATTCGAAATAAAAGACTACGAGTTACTATAGACAATGACGACGACGACGACGACAAAAATGACGATGACGAAAACAACGATGACAATGACGACAACGAAGATGAAGATGATGATGAGGACGAAAATGAAGATGACGAAGAGGAGAATGAAGACGATGAAGAGGACAATGAAGATGACGATGAAGAGGACAATGAAGACGACGACGAAAATGAAGATGACAATGAAAACGATGTTGATGATGACGAAAACGGCGATGATGAAGAAGAAGATGAAGACGCCAATGATGAAGACGACGACGATGACGGTAACGGTGATGACGAGGACGACAATGGTGATGATGAGAACGAAAACGACGGAGATGAAGACGACGGAGATGAAGGCGATGGGGACGAAGATAACGAGGACGATGACGAGGACGAGGATGATAACGAAGATGACGAGGACAACGAGGACGAGGATGATAACGAAGATGACGAGGACGAAAACGATGATGACGAAGACAAAAAGGGAAACGACGATAACGATGATGACGAGGACGAAGACGATGACGAAAACGACGAAGACGATAACGAAAACGAAGAAGACGAGGACGATGATGATGAGGACAAAAAACGAAATGACAAAACCAATGATGATGAGGACGAAAATGAAGAAGATGAGGATGAAAATGATAACGACGATGACGAGAATGGTGACGAAAAAAATAACAATAGGGATGACGATGACGACGATGAGAATGAAGATGAGGATGATGACGACGAAGACGAAAATGACGATGATATCAAATTAACAAAATACAAAAAGAAACAAACTAAAGGGCGAACGATACATCGGCTATCTGAACTATGTTCAGGTCATCTAATAGACAAAATAGGTAAAACGTTGTTGTGAGTTGCTTGCCAAACTAACAGAAAATTTTCTATGTTATGAGCCCACCAGTATATTTCTATCAACTCCACCCAAAATCTCTCACTACACCCAAAACTACACATAAAATTTTCATTGTCTATCAACAGACATGGGTAAATGGAATTCGAAAAATAAGTTTCAAAAAGGTAAACAATACACCTACATACAGTATTTACACCTGTGTTGCTTTTGTATAGCTTCTGTGCTAATGCAAATCAACCAACTGAAACATTAAATTGGCTTTTTACACAACCTGATACCTCGTCAATGTATGCCACGTTCTCCCCAAAGTAGGCAATTCCGGTAAATCCCGCTAAAATCCCGCTATAATTTTGGATGACCTTGCAAGTTGTCTCCGTTTTATCCTCATAAAATATGTAGCCCACTTGGGCTTTTATTAAAATAAGTATGTAATTTAAAAGTTATAGCTGACACAATGTTTGATACGATTTCCACAAGGATTTCATATTAAATGAAATCTTGTATTTAACTCTTCTACGAAATCAAAAAACTATAAGAACATTTGTTAATAACTATTTTGTTTCATTTATTATTATTTTGCTGTAATACTTAAGTAATAGTTTTGTTTGTTAATTTATATTAATATCAATATCAAACTTGCTCTGCTATAAATTTATTTCTAAACAAAAACAACCAAATTAAGTTTGTATAGCGCCAATATCCAACGCTATAAAGTTAAATATGAAAATTTAAAAGAAAATAAGCAAAAAATATTAAGCACGCTCTACTCAAATGTACAACAATGAAACATTGAACAAACGAATTAGGATTGAGACCTGTACAGTCAGCATCAAAAGCATTTTGTCAGTTATTAGTTTGAAAAAATTCTTTTAATTTTAATTATACAAAACTTATTTTAAACAATTGAAATTCTTTGCATTCATAAAGCACGCTTTTATATTCTAGTACTTTGCCAAACTTTAAAGTTAAAGAGTTTAAAATAAATTTATATATAAAAAGGAATATTGTACTAACTACTCTCTGTGGTAATTGCAAAAGTGTTGAAAAGCAAAGGGCAAAATAATGAGTTCTATTTTTGTTTCTCGCCTACTGTGATGCACTTTTGTTTACTTTTTGATTATCGTAATGGACTTTCTTGTTAGTAATCTCTTAAAATTGTAAACCAAAACAAAAACCAACGAAGAAAGAACTAAACAATCTGACAAAATGTTTTTGTTTGTTTGCTCACACAGATGACGAATGTTTCTATGTTGGATTGGGTCATGACGGCCATTCAGCTAAGCGCGGCAACAATTATGTGCCCAACGATTACAAACCATTCCAATGCTGTCCAACCAAATTGGAGAAGTCAACGAAAGTTCCTAAAATGACGGCGCAACGCATCACACATAGTGACGGTGATTCGGGAAAGCGTCAGGGCGGCAACTTCCAATTTGCCTCGACGACCAAAACGCAAAATGCCAAGCCTACCGCGAAGCCTGTGGTGAACAAGAAACAGGCGAAGCGTGTGCAGGATGCCAAGGACGATGATGATGATGATGACGACGATGACGATGATGACAATGCTCCATTGGTGAAGGTTTCCTATGCCAACAAACGTACTGGCAGCAATAAGCCACAATCGGCCAAGAAGCCCAAAGTACAGGATGATGACGATGATGAGTCTACTGAGGTCGAGAAGTCGAAAAAGTCGTCGAAGAAATCTGGAAAGCTTAATGTTAAAACCGGTATGTTGTGATTCCTCAAAATGAAGAACATACTCGTAAAAACATAAATCATAAATGTCTTTAGTTGTCCTTTGAATGCTAAAAGACACATACAAGCTAATTGTAAGACACAAATCATTTCGAAGATTAACGTACAAGTAGTAACTGTTTGATTATCATGTGCACCATTTTTTTTCTGTTATTCTTTCTACCTACATACACACATACATATGTATCTCAGTCATACTATATGTAATTATTGTTGAGCTCGTTGTTGTTTTTGTTGGCAAAAAGCATCAACACACACAAGATTTGTCGTAATTTTATTTGTTTATTTCTCTCTCTTTTCTCTTTTTGTGTCTTGCAGGCATTAATTTTTTCCAAAATCGACTAAAAAATATATATGACCTCATTTTTCAGGATATCTCTCTGTGGGAGTAAGGCAACAATTTAACTGAATTAAACTTAGCAATATTCAATTGAATGTATGAGTGAAAAATATGAAATAATTCAAGTAGCACGTATCAAGCACTGCTCTCATGTTAATATCAAACAACAACAACAACAACAACAAAAAGATCTAGTTAACTTAAAGAATTTGCAATGCAAGTGCAAGGCACGCAATATAAATCTAAACAAGAACTATGAGAGAAATGAAAACCTGCCGTGGCACGCTTAACATATATTTATATAGTCATTAAATTTTTATAACCTGCGCCCAAAAGACAACAATTAACTGATTAACACATATACTTGTACATTGTGCATAACGTTCAATCAAATATACACAACAACAACACAAACAAATGCATGACAGTCCTATATGTGGTTGGGTAAGAATGCTAAAATGCATGGAAGTTTTATGTTCATTACCCAACGATGTTTGAAGCGCAAAAATGCCCCACTTGAATATTAACTATCACTCATATATTTATCCGGAGTCCGGGAAATGCAAACGCAAATCAACAACAAAGCTCACATTGTTTTCTGAAATCACAATGCAAGAACAACCATTCAATATTTTGCCATCAAGACTGTCACTCTTTGTTCCACTCGTAATGCAGAGGACAGAAAATGAAATAAGAACAACCAACCCGAATGTTGGCGGCACACGTAACTCGAAACTACATATTTCGACTTAACTACCTAATTTTCTTCAAAATAAAACGCATCACTATTTTTCATTTCTGCAACTATATGTATGTAGTTGCCTGTAACTCAAATAAGTTGCATTTTGCCAAAGGGTTTTTTGCACAAAAACTTTGTTCAAACTAAATGCAATTATTGCAACAATACACTAGTTAACAATAATGAATATCAAACTACTCAATTTTCACTTGTATATTTGAAAATTCAATTATTAAAATTTGCTATTACCAAAGCTCGTAAATAACAGGTCATGAACTTTTTGATACTACAACTTTTTGTTATATATATTTTACATGTATGTAGTCTAATTTAAATGAACGAAATGAAAATATTTTTTGTAACAACTTTACAAGTAACCAAGCTGCCATTTGGTAACTGTTAACTATTTTAACTAAACATAAACAATGAGCGCAAGCTTAAATACTATTTTGTAACTGTAAAGAAAAAATTGTATTTATCAAATAATCGTGTTGTGGCAGCCAATACTTAAATAGGCAGACGCTGACAGCTCGTCGAAACTCGCATAAAAATCTTGTTGCGTCATACAAATCGTATACTTAATATTTACTTAATTCTATAAATTTTCACATGTTTTGTAAACAATGGCCTCGCAATGCTAGCCATATTCTTTGTTTTTTATTAGAGGACGTCTAGCGTGCTCTAAATCTAATTTTGTTATCGATATTTAAAAAATATCGAATTGTAATTATTCAAAGAATTTCTTGTAGCTAATTTTTGAAGCCTTTATCACTGTTTTAACTGAGAGTAGTACATCTAAATCATTTTTGTATGCATTATAATATATTGTTGAACAACAGCTGTAAAGTCAAATGTTAACTTTTTACTCTTACATACTTTATTTTGTAATAATAAACAAATTTCAAGCTGAAGTAAAATTGTAAGTCTTTGCTAAGCACGTTTTGAAATAAATACATACAGTTTAACAGCTTCATATAAAATGAGAAAATACAAATGATATGGGGGTTTTAATTATAAGCATTCACGCAATTACAAAACAAAAGTCAAATACATTTACTCGTATTTTGGTTGTTTTTGTTCGCTGAAGAAATATAAAAATTTACAGGCACATTATGAATAAGAATTTGTATATTTTGGAACAACTTTATTATTAGATAGAACAATAATCTGGTCATCAAAACATATTTAACACATTGAATCATTAGAGACCATATGTCGCCATTAATTAAAGCTACCTCCAGTGCCAAAAACTTGGCATGTTGCCCGATGCTATTGATATGTAGCCAAATAACATAAACAAAACAGCTTCTACAATATCTTTTTTTTTCATATCTAAGCTAACAAACAAATTTTTGAAGTTAAAATTTAATCAGGTTTGATCAGGTTCAGCACAACACTTACATAAACTAAAACTTATGATTGATTAACGAAACTGCAGCGCTCGGGTAAGTGTGACAAAGAGAATGGAAGAACCATAGCCATTTTCTATATTGAATTGTTAAAAAAATTAAATGAGTTCTTCCTATTTCCCAAATAGGCAACATTGCAAGTAATCAGGAGGTATTCCATTGGATACTCGAACAGAAGGCCGACCAAAGCATTGAGCTTATTAATCGTGAAAAACTATTCGAGTATATAGACACCAAAGACTTTTTAGCGGTTGTATTTTGTAAGTATAAGTGCGAAGATTGGTTTAAGGTACATTAAGCATAGATTAAGTTTATTCTTCAATAAAGCAGACTATTTAGTAGAACTAAGCGCGCCCACTAAAAACTGTAACTGCCCAACAAGCGAAAGGAATTATTTCGAAATTATAATTATTATTAAGAAAATGTTTTACAATTCGCAAATATATATAGTATGTCTACTAATTGGATTTATTTTCAGACAAAGAGGACGATCCCGACGCACCTCGAGTGCTGCGCCACATCGAACTGATTGATGACGAGGCTGCTGAATATGGAATTTATATTGTCAAAATGCATGACAAGCTTATGGCCAAGAAATATGGCTTTAGAAACCCACCAGGTCTTACCTATTTCCGCAAAGGAAAATATATCAACTACGATGGAGACATCGACGATGAGGAGGAAGTGCTCGATTGGCTCACAAGTCCCGCAAATATGGAGATGACGGATCACATCGAGCAGGTCAACCGAAAGATGTTTGAGAAAATACGCAAGAATTCCGACTATGTGGCAGTTATATTTTGTAAGACTTAGCTGCTCATGGGAAAATGGGAAAAATGAAAGTGAATCCAATTTTCAATCGCAGATAGCGAAGAGTGCAAGCAATGCCCACGTGTACTGGCAGAGGTCGAACATATTGACGATGAAGCGGATAAGGCTGGAATCGATTTTGTAAAGATCGATGATAAACAAATGGCCAAGGAGTATGGAGTATTTGCTCTGCCAGCAATTGTATTTTTCAAACCCACTTCCAAAGAGCCAGTCATTTACGCCGGTAAGCTGTGGACTCTTTGTTCTTTGAACTGCTAAATTAATGTTATAATAACTGAATAGGTGATCTTTATGAAGAAGAGCAAATCCTCACTTGGTTACTTACGCAAAAGGATCCAAGTGGTGATGTCATTGAAGATCTCGAAGGCGAAAGACTTGTTCAATTAATTGAAGAGTCTGGCTCTATAGCGGTGTACTTTTGTAAGTTCAAACAAGCCATTGATAAATTTAATTTGAGTCACAAATTACTTAAATTTATCAAGCTCAAGAAGTGTAAGCTTAGGTGCTGCAATCGGTTTGGTGACATAAGTTTATATAAAGTCGGATTCTTAACAAACATCACCAAAACCGAAAACAAAATCGTATGTGTAGCATACTTTTCAGCGAACTTCATGAAAATTCAATTTAATTCCCCATTTGTACTGTTTATGTGTTATGTGAGCATAATTCAATTAGTACTTTATATAATTTATGATCACGCTTTTGCGCAAAAAGGTTGCAGCAATTTTTCTAAATTAATAATTATATTTTTTAACAAATTCGTATAGGAAGTTGTAACAAACTAATTACTCGTATACTATATAAGCAATTTATCTGCGCTCAATGTATGTATCTAACATTCAAGACTTTCTGCGAATTTATTTTTCTATTTCTTAAAAAAAAAATCAAACCACACCAAACTATTTACGAACCACACAAAAATTAATTTAAAACGAATAAAACGTAGGGAACAAAACCAAGTGCGATATTTGCAATTCAAAAGCGGCTCGTAAGGCACGCCTTAAAAAGGAACGTGACCAACAGCAACAGGAAGGTGGTGGTGCCAGTGCTGCGGCCGCCTTTGGTGGTGATGCTGAGGCAGCCGAAGGTGGTGGCGAGGGTGCAGCAACAGCAACAACAACGGCGGAATCCTCAACGTCGTCAAACAAACACGACGATGGTAGCGAAAACTATGAAATTTATAATACCTTTGCATAGCAAAACCGAACGTGAAATGGAATGTGTCCAAGAATGTTAAACCACATAACCAACAGAACCCAATTCATGCAAAACACAACAACACCTTCAACATCACTTGTATGAGAATGTTTTACCCAAACACTTTAGTAACTAGCTGTAGCGCCAGATTGTCACCCGAAACTTACCACTGTCATTGTCTGCAATCTACATGCTTCATATATGTACTATATCTCACTCTATGTCCACCTGCAGCGATGGTATCCACTTTCTGTCTCTCTTTATATTCTCATATATTGCCAATTGTTTGCTTTCTGAATCTACTGTATGTACATTATTATCCAATCAGCCCCCACGCTGTGCTTAGTTTATGTGTAGTGCTTGCTTGTAGTGTGTTGCCTTCGATCCGCACTTGTTTGCACTCTTTGTTAAATGATTTGCATATTTCACAAATGCACCTGTCAAATGTCCAGATGCCGATGGCTGTGAACAGTGCACGAAAGTGCTGGAGGAGCTGGAGAATATAGACGATGACTGCGACAAACATGGCATTACCTTCGTGAAGACGCGTGACTTTTCTGTTGCCGATGGCTACGGCGTGCATGAGTATCCAGCCTTAGTCTACTTCGAGGGAGGTATACCCAATGTTTTTGAAGGTAAGCTTATTTTTTATAAATAATAGTATTATGCAAACTATTCTTAATTAAACATTTATGCCATAGGCGAACTCAGCGAGGAGGAGGAAGTACTGCAGTGGTTGATTACGCAAAAAACTGAAGACCGTATTGAGCTAATAACACGACAAATGCTCGAGACAATGGTCGAGGAAACACAATATCTAGCCGTTTATTTCTGTAAGTTATCTCACACAGACTATCAAATGCACTTTTCATAATATCATACAATTTGAATTACTACTTATATCCCTTCCTAAAAACAACATCTGCACCAATGCATCAATGCACCACTCCAACACCAAAACAACAAACTGCACCACAAACAAATATATATGTATTTAAACCAAACGAAAACCCAAATCAAATATCCTTCACACAATACGGCACTCAGTGCCTCCTGAGCGTAAGGGCAAGCAACCCGCCTTTTGTCGAAGTTTCTGCTCCCCCACTGCCCTTAATGACAACAACCTGAACACGACAAAACATTCATCCAGCATATTCGTACAAAACTATATTTCTCGCAAAAGAAAACGTATTCAAAAACAAGGTATTCCGTGTACAAATCGCCATTTTTTCATTTCCAATAAAAACAACAACAACAACTACAAAATAACGCGCATGTTTTGTGCTCTAACCAGTCAGCCCCCTCCTTAGTACATAAAGTGTTGTATACCTCTGAAACTCTTACTCTGAAACTCTTACTAAAACATGGCTTCAAATGTATTACGACCAAACTAAATCCCAAAATCCCAAAAGGGCGATTCAAATGAAATTTTGGCGATGCTGCGAACATATTCAAATTTAGTTTGGACGCGAATACCTTAATTTTTGTGCGTTTTCTTTAACATCTTCCTACTTACCTACTCGATTTACAAATACTAATCACAGCATTAAATAAAACTCAATACTTTTTGCCCAAACATTATAAATGTCTATCTTTATTATCTGTTTAATAATAATTTCGTTTCGCTAGACAAAATCAACTGTAATATCTGCGATCAGATATTGGAAGGGCTTGAACTGATTGATGATGAGTGCGATGTATTCGGAATACATATGGTTAAGATACAAGACCCACAACTGGCCAAACGCTATTCAATAAAGACATTCCCAGCTCTGGTTTACTTCCGGTAAGTCTCATCGAATTAAGCTACGATCACACATGCAAATAATTGGCACACAATTTATTATTTTTGGGCAGCGGAACAATTTCAGATTTTGATTTAAATAAATTTTTGTTTCCAATCTTTTAATATTGCAATTGTTATCTACAGCAATGGCAATCCTTTGCTATTCGAGGGTGATCTGCAAAACGAACAATCTGTGCTTGAATGGCTTATTGACGATGATAATCGTGAGCTGGCCGATGAAATTGAGGAAGTTAATGAACGTATGTTGGATCGTCTGATGGCCGAATCGACTCTCTTGGTTGTATTCTTTTGTAAGTGGCTGCGAATTAGGCATTAACAATCACATTTCGAATGATTTCTTATTATAACAAACAGACGATGATGATTGTGCCGAGTGTGAGGAAATACTTGAAGAACTTGAGGAAATAGATGGCGAGGCCGATATGTTTGGCATTGACTTTGTGAAGATAGCCAGCGTGGAGGCAGCCAAAAAGTACGAAATTGTGAATATACCTTCCTTGGTGTATTTCAGGTGCGTTACATAAACACATTCCTTTAAGTTAGTTTAGCCAAACTAATAGCATGTTTATTATCTGCAGAAAACAAGTGCCTGTTTTGTATGACGGCGACATGCATCAGCATGATAAGGTCATTACTTGGCTAACATCGCAGGATGTATTCGAAATTAAAAACGAAATCGAAGAAGTCAATCGCAAAATGCTTGACAAATTACTCGAAGAAAACGAATTTATATCAGTGTTCTTTTGTAAGTATATACTATATAGCGAAAATATTTCCGAGATTGAATATACATATTATTTGTAGATGAGCACAATCAACAGGACAGCATAGCCGCTTTGGAAAAGCTGGAAAATATTGATAGTGAAACGGATAATCTTGATATAACGTTTGTAAAAATGGCAGACTCACGCTATGCTAAGAAATGGGGCGTCACAAAACTGCCGGCCATGGTTTACTTCCGTCGCCGATTCCCTAGCATATATAGAGGTACATTATCTATCTTTTATTGTATTATATAATGTAGTTTTAAACAATACTTTTCACTTTTCCATTCAACAGGCGACCTATTGTCCGAAGACGAAGTGCTGGAATGGCTGCGCAAGAATCGTTTCCGCCAACCCGAATTGAATATATTCATGTATGCTCTGATAGCCTTGGCGGTAGCCTTCGTCGTCTACACCGCCTTTTTGCTGCAGTGCTTCAAGCCAGCGCCCCCGCCACCCGTGCAGCATCCCAAGCAGTCGTGATCATGTACGAGCTGGCTTGTAGGCTCATTTTTGCTGCTTGGAGATTTTAAAATATTGATTAGGAAAGAAAGCAACTTGAACAAGCGAAACTGAAAGTAGAGGTGTCTGCTTCTAAAGAGGGAGAAAGAGAGAAAGGAAGAGTGAGAGAACAAGTAAAATAATCATTACAAATCATAATCATCAAACACACACAAACACCTAGTCATCGCTTATCATCCAATCGTCTAAATTAGACGCCGATAAAAAAAAGTGACTACGACGATGTACTACTGCAGCATTGCTGCTAAATCCTAGAACCAAACATTTCTGATGTCAACAACAAGAAGAGAAGGAAAATAAACTTTGCAATACAATAAATAATAATAATGGCAATCCGTTAGTTCCAAAATAGTTCCATGAAATATACGTTTACTATTGACCCAGTCTAATTACTTTGTGAGCCTGCCTTACAATATTTTTATGGATCAATAAAATGTAATAATTTTTCAATAAAATACGAGTATGTAGGTACTTAATAAATAAATGAATTAATGAACACACACACAAACAGAAACACACTCAAGTCATAGTAATTACTTTAAAATTAAATTAAATTACCAATATATTATGTAATAAATGCAAGCAATAATTTTAACGGTAAACTATTATGGATAAAAAAATATAAAAATAAAATCTTCAATGATACATATATATGTATATATATTCTTTTAGTTCGATTCAGCAAACCCAAGGCAAATCTGCAAATTTAAATGTATTCGAAGTAGAGTTCATTTGTTGGTAACACAATTAGGGTTGTGATTTTGATTGATTTTTTTTTTTTAGTTTATTTTTCAGCTACTGCCGAAATGTATTATTTACATTTATATTTTATAACAAACATGAACATCTATTTACGAGAATATATGAGTATATATTCCAACTTATGGTCTTCCTAAATAAAATATAATTGATTTTTCTTTATTCTAAAATCAAATTTCGTATTTGTATCAACATTTGGACATTTAACAAACATTTCAACCACTATTAACGGGAATATATGAGTATATACTCCAACTTATGCTCTTATTAAAAAAAAGGTGAAGAGACTTCATTTATTAGACCTGCACTTCAAAACATTAAATTAGTTATCCACGCTTCAATCGGTTCTCAAATAAATCCGTTATTGCATTAAAAAAGTCAACATAACTAAATTATTTCATGATTTTCCACTTGGGAAGAGATTTTTAATACAGACTAGAGGTAAAAATATATTTATATATTAGAATACTCACTTATTTAAAAACCAATTTGCGTTTGCTATTACTTTGATATATGTATTATTTAATGTTAATGAATCGCTGATCCGCTTAGAAAGTAATTGTGTAAAACATTTTCTATTAATATTGATACTGTCAAATATTAATAGATAACTAATGTACTACAAGTATACTAGATAATATTATGAATACTGAACAAAAAAAAATTTCAATACAAACTTAAGCATGTCAAGAAAAATGCTTTCCATTTTTTCCGGAATATGTTTTTATCAATTTACATATACATATCTATACATGTATATTTATATACTATGCAAGTATATACTTGTACATATACTCGTATACTTGCTAATAATATGTGGTACCGAAGCTCGATTGTGGAGGTGTTTATCAAACGAAATTTACCACTGAATATAAAACTGAAATGCGTTAGGCTTTTTGCACCTGAAAATCAAAGCAAAATGTAGTTATCAGTCTGAAATAATAACAAAGCCGGCTATCTGATAACAGCGTGATGGGCATGTGCAAAGTTTCATGAGCACCGTTGGCAACAGTTGAAATTTCAGCAACGACAACAGCAACAAACCTCCGATAGTCTTAAGGGTGTGACGTGCGATCAATTATATTTTTATACCCTGTACCCGTAGGGTAAAAAGGGTATATTAGGTTTGTGCAAAGTATGTAACATGCAGAAGGAAGCATCTCCGACCCCATAAAGTATATATATTCTGAATCAGCATGACGAGAGAAATCGATCTAGACATGTCCGTCCGTCCGTCCGTCCGCCCGTCCGTCCGTCTGTCCGTCCGTCTGCCCGTCTGGATGAACGCAAGGATCTCAGAAACTATAAATGCTAGAATAACCAAAGTACCCAGATTCTCCTAGGTCTGAGAAAGGGCGAGTTTATTTTATTTTTTGGAATTTCCCCCCCCCCCCCCCCCCCCCTTCCCCCGCTACAGAATTTCATCAATAGCGTCCACATTTCAAATGCTACCTGAACCAAACTTTGCACACATAATTTATATATAATTATCTACTGTTGTTTAAAATTGTATTCATTGTATTCTGTCAATTCTAAGAAAAGTTATTAGCGAAACAAATTCTCTCCAGTGGAACCTCCCCAAACAAGTTCGCTCTTCTTCTTCCTCTTTTTGCTGCTGCTATGGGCGCATATAACTCAGTGACGGAAGGTTACCTGGGTACGGGGTATTACACTGTCGGGCTTGCTCGACTGTAGCGTTCTCTCTTGTTAGTGTTGTTCAAAGCAACTGTGTTTAAGGTAATTATACATTTACTTAAGTGCTTCACCGGACTTAGGCCGCCGCATTTCGTGTGGTCTGTTTGTTATCTACTTCTACTATATATACAGGTTGTCAGCTGTCGTTCTCAACTTGTTTGGGCTTCAGTTCCTTCGGCAACAATGAGCAACTACAGCAGGTCCGCTGACATTTACCATCTAGCCAGAGCGGCCACCGATGTTGCTGAGAAACATGACCTGCTGGTGGCTAAAATTGTTGCCATCGTGGTGCTGCTGGTGGTCACATTAATTTTTTGCTTCATTCCCTATGCACTGGATCGTTGCTTCAAGTGGACAAAAAATCAGGCAACGACAAATGCGCGGGAGTTTGTGGTGGTGCTGTGTCTGCTCAACTTTGGCGGTGGTGTGCTCATAGCCACAACATTTATACACATGTTGCCAGAGGTGATTGAAGTGGTTGATGCCTTGCAGCAGTGCGATATGTTGGTAGCCACCCCATTCGGACTGCCCCAGATGCTAATGTGCACAGGATTATATCTAATGTATTTCATTGAGGAGACGATGCATTTCTTTGTGCGGCGGCGACAGGAAAAAAAGCGCCTACTGGAAATGCAGAACAACACAGCCTGTATTACCAATGAGGTTACCATAACCACCACAACGGAGGTCGTTGAGGTGGCGATAGCTCCACCGAGCTCCCCTGTAGAGGAGCCCAACTGGTTGCGCGGCCTGGGTATTATTGTCGCTCTGTCGCTGCACGAGCTCTTTGGCGGCATGGCTATTGGCCTGGAGCCCACCACGGATACTGTGTATTTTATGATGGGCGCCATTGCGGCCCACAAGCTTGTACTTGCTTTCTGCATCGGATTGGAGATCATGATGGCACGCACACGGCTCTTGCTGGCCATTATATATCTGCTGGTCTTCTCGATTGTAACTCCAATAGGCATTGGCATTGGAATTGCTGTCAGCGAGACAGCAAGTGCTAATCAGCCCAGTATTCCGTCCGGCATACTCCAAGGAATCGCTTGTGGCACACTACTTTATGTGGTCTTCTTTGAAATCGTAACCAAGGATCATGCTGGCTGGCGGGTGTATCTCTCGTCCCTCGTTGGATTTCTATTAATGTTTGGACTGCAAATATTAAGCAAGTTCAAATCAATGTATAAAGCTATTGGGAAAAAAACTCAAAATTCTTGTATATTTACAGTTGATGAGGCTTCGGGCAAAAGCTCGTATGAATGTCCCTAGGAAGACTTTTGGAAGACTGATTAATTACCTCTCAAGAGAAGCCAAAATCTGATGTGCATACCTGTTGAAATACAAAAATAAAAGTTGTCGATGGGCATCTTATCAGAAACTCATAATTATCAACAAGTTCGCCGACCTGTCGGGAAATGAAATATATACATAGATTTCAATTGTAGAAAGTTTTAATGTACACTCAGAAAAAATACACTCTTCGAATAGAGAATGGGGCCAAAACTAAAAAATTTGTATTATTATATATTAATATTAATATTATATATTAAAGTCAAAGATTTTGTTTTTCAAATCATTTACTTATGCTTTAATTTAGAGCAAATGACGAAAATGGATTTCCCTAGTTTTTAGATTTGTTAAAATGTGGTTGAATTTTGGGACTAACAAATTAAAACAGAAGAATCATTTGGCCTATCCAAGCTATTTTAATCAAACACCAAATTCTAATATTCTGTTGGAAAAAAATTACCTAAAGTTACTTATAAAACCTCCTGCTATTATAAAGAAACTACTTGCACAAGAGATTTGTTCCAAATTCTAATTTAAAAACATCTTTCTCATAGTTCAATTCCATTAAAAAACTGCCATCTCGGATGGATTAAGACTACATTTTAGGAGTAGTAATTCAGAATTCAAGTCTGTTCAACTTTTAAATTCTTACATGATTTGATGTTAATACGCCCATGGTTGGTTTCTATTTTTAACCTATTTTTCTGTTTTCAAGGATAATGCGAAAGTCGAGCAAACCTGACAGTGAAATACCCTATACCCATAACCATTACAGTTTGTGGGGGCGAAATTGTTTCGCTAATAACTTTTCTTAGAATCAACCGATTTGGATGAAATTTAAAACAAATGTACAAGTAGAGACATTTTTTTCATAATTATGTGTACCAAGTTTGGTTTCTTTTTGTAGCTGCGGAATAATGATTATTATTGGAATATTAATAGAATTCTGTAATGATATAAACTCGCCTAGGGAATAGGAGAGTCTACATACCAAGTTTGGACAATATGGGATTAAAATAAAGAATATATATACTTGATAGGAACTTCGTGTCTATTACATACTGTGCACCAATCTCGATAACATTTTACGGCGAAAGAAGCAAATGAAGAATTAAATAGGGATTCTCAAAAACAGGACGAGATACTTTCACCTGTAATTAAAAACCTCTGTTCTACATTGTTTTTGTGAGTGTACATAATATTAGCTTTTCGCTTATACTGCACTAAGTAATTCCACATGTCAATCAATAGTCAGGCACTGAGCACGCCAACATGCCGCTGATTTAGTATCTCTGATTAATGGCGAGCGGTTGGCCATCGAAAAAATATAAAGAGCGAGTTCCATGAGGGTAACATCACTTGTTACGAGTGTGTCGCGTAGTGAAGATGGAAGCACGGTTAGGTAATACAAGTATAGTGGGTGGGAGTGCCAATATCAATGGAAGGGAATCCACAGCTGCACAGGATGAGCACAGCCTGATCGTCGCGAAAATCGTGGCTATGGTCGTGCTTATTGTTGTTACCATCATTTGCGGTGGTTTGCCGTACCTGTTGGATCATCGCTTTAAGTGGACTAAACGGGATCCGGAAGACACGCGCTCCTCCACAGTTGTGCGTTGCCTGCTCTACTTTGGCGGCGGCGTGCTTGTCTGTACGGCATTCCTCCACATGCTGCCGGAAGTGATCGAAGTGGTCGAGTTGTTGCAACGTTGTGGCACTCTGGCGAAGACACCATTCGCACTGCCGGAAATGCTCATGTGCACGGGCTTCTTCCTCATGTACCTGCTTGAACAAATAATGCACACATTTGTGCATCGTCATCAAAAGAAACTGAGTCGCAAGGAGTCGTTAGCCAGTGCGGCGTTCGAGCGCGGCCATAGCGGCCGTCGTAGTGCGTTGCAGATTCCCCAGGATATCCAAAAAAGTAGCGGGCAACACCAATCTGCCACTGCCGAATTTGGAAATGGGGAACATTGCCATTCGCACCTTCCCATCGGAGCCAAGTCGGAGAGTGTGGGCTCATCAGTTCGTGGGTTGGGTATTATATTGGCGCTATCGCTCCATGAGCTCTTCGAGGGCATGGCCATTGGTTTGGAGAATACCGTCGGCACGGTGTGGTTTATGTTTGGAGCCGTTGCAGCACACAAACTCGTCTTGGCCTTTTGCGTGGGCATGGAACTACTTGTGGCTCAAACGCGCACAGCTCTGGCAATTATTTACATAATCACATTCTCTATAATGACGCCAATTGGAATAGGAATTGGCATAGCCATTAGTAATTCAGGGAGTGCGAATAGTACAGATGTTCCCTCAGGCATACTGCAGGGTATTGCCACCGGAACAATTATTTATGTGGTGTTCTTCGAAATTTTAACCGAAAACCAAAGTGGTTGGCGTTCATACTTTTCCGCCCTGGCGGGCTTTATTCTCATGTTCGGACTACAAATACTATGTAAGTACATAACTATGCTCACATTCTTAAGAAGGGGGCTCTACTTCATAAGTGATAAGAGATTACTGTCATATATTTGCAATTGCTATTACAATTGAGGTGGGCTTAGCAAATCAAATCAAATCAAGTCAACGACACGCTTCATTTATCGCTACAAAAGTGAAGACAATTTATGTTTTGTTTTACTTATTTACCTTCATTTATTTACCTTATCTCTTTTAGCGGACGAAGCAGAAGGCGAGGATAGTGACTCATGTTCCTAAGGCGAATAGTTTTATAAGTATCTAAGTTATATAAATTTTAATAATAACGTCTTCCAGTACTATTAAATTATACATGTTTCCATTTATGGAATAGTAATACTTTTAAAACTGTTAATATTTTAAATCTTTAACATAATTGAAATCTTGGGCTATTCCAAAAAACTTTTAGTTTTCTTAGGTCAAGCTTTAGCTGGAAATATGTGGATTTGTGCCTTTCTTTGCCTTTTTTCGATTCGTTTAGAAATGTGAGATATGCCAACCACTTAAGGGTTTTCAAAAACAAGCCGCCGTACAGAGGCTATTACAAGAAATCCACGCAGCATTGCTGGGTGGAACTTCTCGAGATAAGGAAAGCTATCTTGGAACTTGTGACTGCAAAGGAAATGGAACAACGCCATCTATTGCCACAAATTCTACTTTCAATAGCTGCCGTTTCTGTTCTATCAACTATCAGCCCAGAAGGAGGAGCTATGGATCAAATGCCCCCAATAAACAGGTAGAGCCAGGTGAATATTAACGTGGATGGATATTATTCTTCGATCCTGGAGATTGTCTAAAGCACCAATAACTGTAACAAAATAAGTGGCAGTATTAATTAACTGCTATTGGTGATAAGGAACTAGTAGGAATTTCTGGGGAATGGGAGAGTGGTCTCTCTAACTAATGCTGATGATTGATGGCGTCGCTACTTGGGTATGTCTCGACAAATATTCTTGAATGCATCAATTAAAAAAAAAAAAATAACTTTTTTTTAATATACGTGTATATGAAATATATAGAAAGAATAATAAAACCATCACCCTCAGCTGGACAAAATGGTAAAATTATATTCCTTTATTGAGTTTTTGCCCACCAAAACATTTTTAAAGTCAGAAGGAAATACTAATCGTAGAAAAACGTGTAGACCCCGCTCTCAGGTCAGTTTTAAGCAAATGGCTAATGTTGGTAACGCTTTGTCCTACATATTAAATAGCCAGCCTTTAAATTTTAACTCATCTAAAATTATTAGCAATTGTGTGATTGATTTTTCAGTTCTCATATTCACGTCAAAGGTACTTAGTTGTGCACACTAATGGCAATTTGTCAACTTAGCTACTTACTAGAAATTATTGAATTGACTGAGAAAAAATGTAGAACTACAGGGTGCGCCATCTTTTATGTCGGTATGTAGATATTGAATAACTTTGTCATTAGTGAACCGATTGACTTGAGTAGACCAGTGTTGAAAACTTCAGTTCAAGAAATTGTACAGAACCAAATCAAATAAAAATATCTCATACTTGAAAATCGGTTGTTTATTTTCAAGGATATTCAATGTTTGCATACCGACATAAAAGATGGCGCACCCTGTACAGAACTGTAATTTGGAGGTGTAACTAACCTTTCAAACAAGTATTCACTCACATATTAAGGTTTTATCAAATAATTGTATTTCGAATTATATGTTCCTTTGCGGAAACACTCTTCAAGTTCCCATAGTCATAGCAGTAAACAGACTATATATAAAAAAAAACGCCTTTTGCAATCCATATAGTCGCCAAAATGTTTTTCAAGCGTACACAACAGACTCCGAAAAGTATACAAGTAACAACATGTACTCGGGACTCAAGTACTGCTTTATTAGACAATTTACGATCTACCGGCATACGCTTTAATGGAAATTCAAATTTTAAGCATTTTCGATTACTAAGGAGGATCGTTGTATATACATACTTCATGACGTATTTGCCACTAAGTTTTCTGATCAACTTCGTTGTAAATATCTCAGAGTTCACACCAAATATGTTGCTTCAATCGGTTCAGGTTTCCCTTAACTGTTTTGCTTTCGTCTTTAAATTATTAACTATAATGATCTACTCAAAACATCTGGAAGAGATTAATATCTGCTTTGATGCCCTGGATACTTTTTGTGCTTCGAAATGGGAGCAGCTTGCCGTGCAACAAATTGTTACTAATTGTAAAAAAATCTACTTTGGATATGCAGCCGTATATTTTTCGTTTTCCACATACACCTTGATTGACGGTCTATACCACGGACATCCACCTTTCAATACATATTTTCCTTTCATCAACTGGCGTGTCAGCAAAACTCAACTGATTGTTCAATCGTTCCTGGAATACTTTGGCGTTGGCTATATGGTTTATATCGATGTTGCTATAGATTCCTTCGGAGTGATAATAATTGAGCCGTTACGAAAGCATATGTGTCTGCTTAAGGCTCGAGTGAAGCGCTTGGGAGAAATAAATGTGGACTTGGATTGGTGGAGCAATTCAAATGTCACCCATGCGGAATTGGTTAAATGCATCAAAGCTCATAAAATTATTTTACAGTCAGTGTTTATTAATTACACCATGTGTTTTTTCATTTGTTAACTACAAGTATTTGTATTTCTTGTCATATTAGCTTATACGATGTGCTTCAACCTGTTATATCGCGCATCATCTTTATTCAGTTCATTATGTGCGGCTCTATATTGGGGATTGCTACAATAAACATTGTGGTTTTCGCAGATTCTTCGACGCGTCTTGCCATATTGGGCTACATGTTGGCGGTTGTAATGCAATCCTTTCCACTTTGCTATTATTGTAATTGTCTCATAGACGATTGCAACGATTTGGCCGATACATTGTTCCATTCGTCATGGTACCAGCAGGATCAGCGATATAAGAAAACTGTTGTGCTATTTTTACAAAAGTTGCAACAGCCCCTGACTTTCACAGCGATGAATATATTTGAAATAAATTTGGCAACCAACATAAATGTATGGCCCGTAAGTCTTATGTTTAATATTAATACATAAAATATTTTTTTCCAGGTAGCTAAGTTCGCTTTTACCATCTATGCGCTAGCCCAGGGCATGAATTTGAACGAAAAGTTACAAAAAATATGATTGCCCAACAATATATACGAATATATGTTATATCACCAATTAAAATGCTTAAATTTTAGCACAAAATTGGACATTGGATGTAGAAGCTGAAACCTCTTTTTGCCCGGCTTAATTCTGGATTCTAGATTCCAGATTAAATATAATAAGTAGTTGCATGACAAATTTAATAAACGCTTATTAAAAATAGAAAAAAACAAGATAGAACGCTACAGTCGAGCAAGCCCGATAGTAAAATAGCCTGTACTCTCCACAAAAAAGAAAAATTAAAAAAAAAAAATTAAAAAAAAAAAAATTAAATTATTAAAAAAATGAATGAATTAATTAATTAATTAAATTAAATTAGAATACATGTTTATGTTCAGTTTTAACAGCATACATTTACATCACGTACCTATGCGTGTTTATATGCGTGTATGTATGCAGCACAAAGTTGAACCAAAGCAGCAACAACAACAACAGCTGCGGGCAGCGCTGCCGACAGAGCTGCAGGCAGCGCATGAGCAGCGATTTTACTTATGGCTATAACTTTCTTCAGAATTGACCTATCATGATGAAATTTGGCACACGGACACATTAGTACCAACTGGATGTACCTACCATTTATTTATTTCAAAATTCCGAGAATTACGGAAGTTATAAGAAAAAACATGAATTGCGGGGTAGTGGGGGGGTGCATCGAAAAAAAACTCAAACTCGTACTTTCTCGGTCTGAGGAGAATATGGAAACCAAGTTTGGTTATTCTAGCTCTTATACTTTCTGAGATCCTTGCGTTCATACGGACAGACAGACGGACAGACGGTCAGACGGACAGACGGACGGACGGACAAGGCTATATCCACTCGGCTTCTCATCCTGATCAAGAATATATATACTTTGTGGGGTCTGCCACGCCTCCTTCTGTGTGTTACATACATGCGCACAAAACTAGTATAGCCTTTCACCCTTTGGGTACAGGCTATAAAAATAACACAAAAGTACTATCAATATACATATTTAACTCGTTTCAATAATACTTAACTTTTTGTGGGTGGTGGATCCGAAAAGGATTACGAAACCTTAGCACACCTAATGAGTCGTAGAATAAAGTGGGGCTAAAAATGTATCAGAAGTCTAAATTAAGCTCAAAGACGAAATTCGGTCAAATGGTGTACTGATGTCGATTTCAAAGTTTATACCTTACGCTTTCTCCATTTGGTATTGTTACAAGTCTTAACTTGTTTATTTCCAATTCCTTAAAATTATTTTTGAATTTGTTGCACTGCAAACTTCTTATCTTAAATTTATGAATTTTATAATACAAACAAAAAGATAAAATAAATAAACATCTAATGTACAAATAGTTTGTTTCCACAAATTGGGGTAAATATTAGCTTCTTTAAATTATTTCAAATAAGGAGTATGTTGCTTAACTTCGTATGTTTTGGTTATGTTATTTTAATCTTACTGTGATTACCATTATTTCTCAAGTACTGAGAAGTTATAGATTTATTTATGTAAATGATCACTTAATAGTTATATTAAAAAGAACACATTTTAAATTAAATATTATTATTTTCACATAAATATACATAATGTTACCTTTCAGAATAAAAAGGTAAACTTAACCTGAGTCACTTGAAAAAACGTTAATTATACGAAGAATAAACATCACCTGCAATTCAAGGGCGTAACTGTCCTTTTACACATTAAATATTACCAACGCATTAGGATACACATAAGCATTAGCTGTTTTCAATCAGAACTTTTTATTAAATAAGCATCTGTCATTGTAAGGTGAATTATATGTTATTTTGCAGAAACACCCTCCAAGTTCCCATAGTCATACAAGTAATCAATGAACAAACATCATAAAAATAGAGACCTTTTAAGAAACTCATATAGTAAGCGAAATGTTATTCAAGCGCAAGCAGGTAGCTGCGGTAAAAGTGCCGACTTGTACTCGGGACTCGAATAGTTATTTAATAGACAATTTACGAACTACCGGCATAAGTTTTAATGGAAATTCCAAGTTGGGGCTTTTTCGCATTGTGAAGATTATAATATTATGTTCATACTTCATGATCTATTTGCCACTTAGTTTTCTGATAAACTACGTTTTGAATCTCTCAGAATTCACACCCGGAATGCTGCTACAATCGATTCAGCATTGGCTTAACTGTTTTTGTTGGTCCATCAAATTAATAACCGTAATCATCTATGGAAGGCATTTGGAAGAGATCAATAAATGTTTTGATGACCTAGACACTTTTTGTATTTATAAATGGGAACAGCTTAGCATCGATCAAATGGTTTCTAATTGTAAAAACATTTACAATGGCTTTATATCAGTGTATTTTTGCTTTTGCTCATTCAATTTAATTGACGGGCTCTACCACGGTCGTCCTCCGTTTAATATTTTTTTCCCTTACATCAATTGGCATGACAGCGAAATTCAATTGTTTATCCAAACATTCCTGGAATATTTTAGCATTGGATATATGATTTATAGCGGCGTGGCCATAGACTCTCTTGGAGTGATTATAATTCAGCCCTTGCGAAGGCATCTCTATCTACTCAAGGCTCGCATGAAACGACTGGGAGAGATGGAAGTGGACTTAGACTGTCAAAGAGTAGTGAAGGATGTTACCCATGCGGAGCTAGTCAAATGCATTAAGGCTCATAAAATTATGATACAGTCAGTTTCAGAAAATATGATCTTTGATTTCCATTCATTCATCATTTCTTTTTTCCTTATTAGCTTATACGATGTGCTTCGACCGCTTATATCAATCATAATTTTCATTCAGTTCATTATGTGCGGCTCTATATTGGGGATTGCTACAATAAACATTGTGGTTTTCGCAGATTCTTCGACGCGCCTCGGCATATTAGCCTACATGTTTGCGGTTCTGATGCAATCCTTTCCACTTTGCTATTATTGTAATTGTCTCATAGACGATTGCAATGACTTGGCGAATGCAATGTTTCATTCGTCGTGGTATCAACAGGATCAACGATATAAGAAAACTCTATTGCAATTTTTGCAAAAGTTGCAAAAACCCATCAAGTTTAGAGCGATGAATATTTTTGATGTAAATCTGGCTACAAACATAAATGTAAACATAGTATTATTGAATATTTTCTCATATAATATAAGGAATTGTTTATTTTTCCAGGTTGCTAAATTTGCCTTTACCGTCTACGCCATCGCTCAGGGCATGAATTTAAGCGAAAAGTTACAAAAACTCTGATTTCCTCAACAATATGCACATTAAAGTTTTTGAATGATTTTGAAATTGTTTTTTACACTAATAAGTAGTGATGTATGACACCATTTGAAAAGTTTAAAATAAGTTATTAATAATTGAATTAACTTAGATTGGTCGTAAAATATCGTTTATGCTTTTAAATAAATCGCTTCGCGCCTTCTGGATTTATGTGCGCATTTTTTGCACTGCGATGTGTACACACTGACAGAGACCCACGAACAGCTGCTGTTCCGCCGACCGCTCTCAGTTGATTTTGTATGTAAAGTCGGGTGGACTGTGCATAGCTGCGCCGCTGAGCTGAAAAACCAATAATCTGAAATATTAACGCAAATAAATCGAGAAGTCTACTACTAAAATTTGGTGTTAAGTGTTAAAGTAAATGAATTTAATCTACCTTGCTTTCGTTAAATATCGTTCAATTTTTTGAGCACGACGACTTAACAAACGCTTCTGTTTATTCAGGCCCGCCGCCCGCCTTCCCGATTTCCCGTGAACTTGCGTTTTTTGTTATTGGGTGGTGTTGTCATTGCCCCCAACCAAAATTTTGGCACAGAAAAAAAAAAATCGAAACTCCCGCATTGTGAGGCACTGGGTGATAGAATAGGAACAAACATACAATCAAGTTAAAGAAAAATAAATGTAGTTTTTGAAAAAAAAGAATAAATAAATAAGCAATACTTATAAATTTTATATAACGCAGAAATTCAACTTGTAACCAAGCCTTGACAATAACAATTTCCCAAATGCTGAGCAATTAAAATACAATCAATAGAAAATAAAAATATACATAAACAAAACAAATGTAATCTAAAAAAAACACGCTCCTACACATACAGACCCATTTCTATAGCATGCAAGGCCTAAAATAGATCAGTCTAGACGTGGGAGAATAATCTCCGCATCGCAAACAATTCAGTAGCTGTTTTATATATTTTGTGTCACAGTGCAGCAGTAACAGTAAAATAAAACAGCCACGGCAGCAGCAACACCAAGCAGCAGCGGTAAAATTAATAATAAAAACAACAGAAAATAATTAACGTAAGACGAAGCAATCATAAAGCAAACGAAGACAGCGACAACGTGTGTGAAAACAGTGCGTGCATATTTCTTTCTTATTTATATTTTAGACTTGCCGAAAAAAACACTGCACTACACCCATAAACATACACACGTACATACATATGTATATGTCCTACTTAAAATGTAAACAACTACAGTTAATACATTGAACGACAAAAACTGATGAGCCATGCAAAATGGTTATAACTTAACATTGATAATCAACAATATTTCGCAACAATTTGAAATTGCTCCTCAATTTATAAAAGGTTTGTAGTTTAGTAGTAGTTTTATCCTTTAAGTTTTTAAATACATACATACATATGTACATATGAATTTGCCTATGTAATATTATTGACCTCGCAACACTGATATTTATAGACACCAATATCTTTGGCACTTACATATTGGCTTTCTTAAGCGTAAATGTCTGTACATACATACATACATATTTATGCATATATGTATGTACATGCATACATATGTATGTATGTACATATTTTCGATGATTAATATTTGTATTTTGATTTTTTAATTTAGCTTTAAACTACGACGCATTTTTATGATTGTCAACTTGACTCTTAAATTCTCGGTAAATTTTAAAAATAATTTATCTGGCCAACTGACGGCTTGTTTGCTGGCAATTCTATAAATAGTGTTGGCTAGCATTTGACGTCAGTAGACACGTGTGCTGAATACAAATTATGTTTTTTTTAATTGTTAAATGTACTCGTATGCATAAATCGCATAATTATGGACTTTTACGCAATATGTATGTACATATGTATGTATGTGTGAATAATACATTTCGTGTGTACATTTTTTTTTTGCTTTGCATTTGTCATCGTTTTACGAGTATGATAAGCAAAAACAAAGAAAACTCAGTAAAAGTACAAAACAAAATGTACAAAACAAAATTGATAATGGTAGTTTGTTGTTCGTTGCTACAACAACAATAAAGTAACCGGGGGTGCCCAGACACGATAAATAAATCAATACCATACAAACGAACATACAGACATATTTTTATGATAAATCAAGTCCATTTACTCATCAGTTATATAATTTTTGAAATGTTGTTAAATGTCCTAACTGCCTATTCGTTAATCGTTGTATCGCTAGCCTGCGAACAAAGACGCTTATGATTTTGTCCAGAAGACAAAAGGCGTAAAAAGCTTGAAGTTTTTGACCTTGGCTTATTGACAATCCGCACACGCCAATTGTGGCGGCTGTGGGGCTTTTTAAACAAAGAGGGAGCTTCTGGCGCTGCTGCTGTGTTATTTGCATAAGCCTCGGCTGTAACGACAATCGTTCTATAAGTGCGTGCATACATACATACGTACATACATATGTACATATATAATCAGTTTATATAGCACGATTTAAGGCGGCTGGCTGTCGAAGAAGAGAACAAACAAGCGCGCCACCATTTTGTCGTCAAACATTTTTTTGTTTCGCTTATACTCTCCATTTGCACCATTTGAATTTTATTGTTTTCGTCTGCGCCAAGCTGAAGCTTCTATCTAGCTGCCACTGCCATTGCCACCCACTGACCCAGCAGAGCGTCAAGTGCCACATTCGGCGCATACGCACATTTATTATACATACCTACATATATATATATGGAAATACATATATAAGTAGTATATGTACATACGGGTATGTATGTTGTCTGTGTTGGCACTTTGTTGACTTCGTATTTATCTTCCCCTGGCTGAGAGCTTACCGATATGGTTTTGTCTATGGCTGTAGCTATTGTTGTACTTGGCAAGTTTCAAATTTGATTAAATGTTACCGTAAACCAATCACTTGCCAAATCCAATTTTGAGCAAGCATAATAAAGTCATTGACTTGCTGCTCAAAAACTGGTCCCACCACTTCCACATACACAGATGTACATATATGTAAAGTGGCATCCTTGTGCCATTATCATCAGTTGGCACCCCCGATCAGGCGAAGGTGTAATTAAGAAGAAGTCGTGGGATAGTCGTTTTTCAACAGTCGTAAGCAGCAGTCGTGGCATTCAGTCGTCAGTAGTAAAGTTGTACAGCAGTCACTAAAGTTGGTCAGAAGTTGCAAAAGTCGGCGTCTAAACATATTTTTAAGTCTTATGTTATTATATAATACTATTCTTATTGTTTGTCAAATACTCGATATACTTTATTAAACGATTTATAAACCTAATAAATCTTACATGGGGGCTCAACCGTGTCGAGCAGCCGGACAAATATTCAGAACAGTTCAAAGTTTTTAAGTGAAGCATTCATAAAAAATGATTCTTACATAAGGGCTCAGCCGCATAAATTTTCATACGCAGTCAGTTGAAATAATACATCTAAAAGTTGCAGTGCTTAAAAATGATACGCTCAAGCAGAAAAAATAAAAATGGCGCACCAAGCAAGAAAAATCTGTTGCCGGTGGCGCGCATGGAAAATGGAAAGACATCACAAAGTGTAGACGATCTCGATCTAACGTTTGAAATGGTAGAGGAAAGCAGAGCAGTGGTAAATGATGAACAAAGTGTAAATCATACGTGCGAAAAAGAGATAAATATATACAAGTGCGAACAAGGCACAACGGCAGGAATAAAAGAAAAAGGTGCGAACGTCGAACTACATGATAATTGCGCAGTTGAAAATACCGAGAAAAGAATGTATTCTGAGGAGACACACACATGTATACAAAACCACGATTTGTCAATTTTAATTAAAATGCTGAGTGAAAAGAACGATTCTAACCCAAACAAGAACAGTGTGTCGGTGGAAAGCTTTGCAAAAGTAGTCCCTGATTTCGATGGCATAGCTATACCAGTTAAGCAGTGGGTAAATAATTTCGACGAAAACGCCGAGGCATACGAATTAAGTGAAAAACAAAAGTATGTGAATGCAAGAAATAAAATGGTTGGCACGGCCAAATTATTTGTGGAAACTATTACTGTATCAAATTATGAAATGTTATGTGCAGCCTTAATAGAAGAATTTGATAAACAGCTGAGCAGTGCCGAAGTACATAAAATGTTGCAAAAGCGGAAAAAGCGTGTGTCGGAAAATTTTCATGATTATGTGCTCCAGATGCGAAAAATAGCATCACTTGGACAAGTTGAAGATCAGTCGGTTATAAATTATATAGTTGATGGCTTAGACGTGCGTGACGATCTAAAATTTCCGTTGTACAGTGCGCCCACGTACAAAGAACTTCGAAGTCGGTATGAGCTTACTGAATTAGTGGCAAAGAGCAGTTCGTATAACAAACGTCGCGAAAACGTTGATAAAGTAGGAGACAAACAACAACAACAGCAGCATTGCTACAATTGCGGTTCAACAGAACATAAGCGGGCAGAATGTAAACGAGAAACAAAATGTTTTAAGTGTAACGGTGTCGGTCACATAGCGAAGCAGTGCGTGGCAAGCAAACAAAGCGTTAACATTGTATTAAAGGAAAATCGCGTTAAAGAAATAAAAATCGGGAAAGCAGTTGTATCGTGTTTGATTGACACTGGCGCGGATGTTTCACTTATGCGAAAACAAAAATATGAAAACATTTTCGGTGACCAAAAGTTGCAAAAGAATTTTACTAAACTGTTTGGCTTAGGCAATATTGCCACTGTCGTGTTGGGTGAATTTACAGAAACAGTTGAGGTCGATGGTTTTGTGACAAATCATACATTTCTTGTTGTACCAGATGCAAGTCTAAAAGTTGAAATAATTGTTGGCTATGACTTTTTACAGAAGTTTACTGTCACACTAAATTCCAATGGTTACACGTTCGTACAGGCGCAAACAAAAGCTGATGATGAGCAGTCTGAGTTGAATGTTTTTAACGTGGTAAGTCCAGCAAGCGAGATCGATTTAAATGTTGAATCCCAGTATGCCGAACCAGTCAAACAAATGATCGCCAATTACAAGCCGGTGGACAATGCAGTAGAATGCCCAATAAAAATGACCATCATACCGAATGTTCCAAGCATCGCTTTTCGCGAAAGTCCAAGCCGATTGTCTACAACAGAACGTGAATTTGTACGAAAACAGGTGGATGAATGGCTTCACTGTGGCATTATCAGAGAGTCGTCGTCAAACGTTGCAAGCAAGGTGGTGTTGGCCAAAAAGAAAGATAGGACCTACCGATTATGTGTGGACTATCGTAAGCTGAATACCCTCGTACTTAAGGATAGGTTCCCAGTACCAGTTGTCGAAGAAGTACTCGAGAAGATGCAAAATGCGAAATATTTTACTGTTATGGATTTGCGAAATGGCTTTTTTCATGTGCAGGTAGAGGAGCAAAGTCGAAAGTATACAGCGTTTGTTACCAAGGAAGGGTTGTATGAATTTAATAGGGCACCCTTTGGATTTTGCAACTCCCCAGCAGTGTTCGTACGATACGTTAATTACATATTTCAAACATTGATTAACAAAGGCATAATGGAGATGTATGTTGACGACATAGTTATTTTCGGAGATTCAGCTGGTCAATGTTTGGAAAATATGCGAATTGTACTGAAGCAGGCAGAAATGTATGGGCTTGATATAAAATGGGCCAAGTGTCAGTTCTTAAAGAAGAAAATAAATTTTCTGGGTCATGAAGTAGAAAACGGACGTGTTTGGCCAGGTCAAGAAAAGGTAAAAGCTGTGAAGAATTTTCCTCTTCCCAAAAACATACGGGGAGTACAGGCCTTTCTTGGACTAACGGGGTATTTTCGAAAGTTCGTTAAAGATTATGCATTACTAGCCAGACCGTTGACACAATTGTTGAGAAAAGAAGCCGAATTCAAAATTGAAGGGTTACATGTACAGGCGATAGAACAATTAAAGAATGCTTTGACGAATGAACCAGTATTGAAGATATTTATGCAGAATGCGGCAACACAGTTACATGTTGATGCGTCAAAAGATGGGTTTGGTGCTACTCTTCTCCAGCAGCATGATGGCAAGTGGCATCCTATTCTGTACTGGAGTAAAAAAACGACACCTCAAGAAGAAAAGTTGCATAGCTATTTTTTGGAAGTGAAAGCAGCATATTTAGCAACAAAAAAGCTACGACATTATTTAATGGGCATTGAATTTGTTCTCGTTACTGATTGCGCAGCGTTTAAGATGACATCAACGAAAAAAGAAATTCCCAGAGAAGTAGTGCAGTGGTTAATGTATCTGCAAGATTTTACGTATACCATAGAACATCGCGCTGGTATAAGGATGAAGCATGTCGACAGCCTCAGTCGATTCCCAGTCATGATCGTAAGCACAGAAGTTCAGGCACAATTTTTAAAGGCCCA